AAGGTAACCTGAGGAACAAATGCGAACAACAGGTTCCACGCAGCACTCTCGTATGCATGGCGGTATTTGTCTAGCAGAGGTAGAACAACAGGTCCAAGGTGAATAGCACGAACGTCACGCCGCTGTTGATTGGCGGCGTCTCGTTCGGTTAGACCGAGACAGTGCTGCTTGCAAATCGCGTGGCGCAGGTGAGCCAGGTGTGATCAGAACGTGATAGATGCGTAGACGAGCTTGTTCGAGTGCCGGATGGACAATTGATGCTATCAGCGCTAGCGTCAAATGAGACATGAATACGTACAAAAGATGATCGCCGCTGGTCCTAAGCCCACACTTATGCGGCGCTGCAGCGAGCTACCCAGGTCGGGCGCAATCCACCCTCATGCAAGAAATCATTTTACCAAACTGAGATTGAATGCGCACTGACCCCTAGTTGTATAATTAAGAGGAATGAATGATGGAAAAACGGATATTGGGAAGGTAACCGGAAATGAACATTCATCGGAAACGCCGCACGATAAGCGAAATGTGTAGAACAACCACACGGAGGCAACCACAGCGGTGACACTCTTCAGAGAATAATATCTTCTCATATATATATCGCGCGTCCTTGTTGAATTGCTGCATCACCAATAGGCTCTTTCTAATATCAAGCGCGTGCCTGTTTGTTTTGTTAGCAACATGAAAACGACCATTGAACTGCTTGACTCCCTCAACCCGGAGGAGGTCGCCGCGAACAGCTTGGCAAGTCCAAATTCGCGCTCGACGCAGATCTCGCAGACACGCCATCGGATAGCGATTTTGAAGGCATGGCAGCAGATCCTCTCCACTCCTAGAACCCTCACTGGTGATGCTCGACCACAGCAGCTGGTAAGCGTACTCGGCCCGAAGACCTTAGATATCGGCTGTGGGCAAGGAGATCACCTTGCTGCCACCGCGGCTTTGCTGAAGAAGGGAGGAGAGGAGGCTACGGTCATTGGCGTCGATCCTGCTCGACTTGACTATGGTAAACAAGGATCAATAATGCGAAAGGGTGCATGGTGTAGACTGATAGGTTGCTCACTTCCTTACAGGAGAGCCGTTTACTCTCGGCCAAGCGCAGCAGCACCTCTCAGAAAGTTCGCTGGGGTCGCATCTCTCTTGGGTCCAGGACGATCCGGTGCACTACCTTGATAGTGCTGAGACCAAAGCCTCACCGCCCACGTCTGGCATGCTTGTCCATTCGATCTACTACCTTCCTACAGCCGCCACCTTTGGTTCAATCCTTGATGCATTGCACCGCTCAGGGGCACAGCATGTTTTTCTTGCCGAATGGTCACTGTCGATCGGAGACGACCTGCGAGCATTACCACACCTTCTGTCGGTGCTTCTTCAGTCTGTTGAGCCGCTTTCAGAGGGAAATATCCGTACAGTTCTATCGCCTCGGGAGATGCTCAAGCTGTCCGAGAGCGCTGGATGGGAATTGATCGGCTCGGAGCTCATGCAGCCTTCAGACGACGTGCAAGATGGCTGTTGGGAGGCCGCCTATTCCCAAGACATCGCTCGGACGGCATTCGAAAGAGAAGGAGCGCTTTCAGAAGCAGAAAGAACGGAAGAGATAGTCCGGAAAGCTTCGATCCGGGCTCATGGCGAGGCACTCTTACAGGCTATTCAGCAGCTACCAGAAGGCAAGGCGTCGAGAACGAAGCCTATGAACGTCTGGGTCGCTGTGCTGAAGCGAAAGTGAAATGCATGTAAGGACTGTATAGCTTGCATTTCATCCACACGTCAATCTACGGTGTGGGTGGCCTCTTGCATGCACCCCATTTGCTGTTGTCACGTTCGATGCCGACTTGAATAAGTTCTGGTATCACAGCCAGGTCAATTTGACGAATCCCAAGAATGCTTCAGTTTCATTATATTTTTTGGAGATGATGGAACGAGGACATTGTTTCTCGGAAATGCTATATGCTTTGTTGGGAGACACCCGGAAAACACGTCGCTTCTCAGATGCTCCCTTTGAACTGTTCAATTTCTCTCCATATCGGTACCCGCTTGTCAGTCCGGCGTCGGTCCGCAATGCGCAGATCACAGGAACTCGCTAGCTCCCTTACTCCTCTCCACACCATCCTAGTAGTATCACTCTATAGTCTATCCAAGTCCAACTACCTATCCCTTCATCAACTACTCTTCGACTTATTCCCATTTAGATTCCATACACTCAACATTGCCCTTGATTTTGAAAAGACTGTCACAGGCTTGTTTTGCCGTACCGTATGGCGCTACGTCGATTGTCTTCGCGAATCTATCAGGTAACATACGCATCTCCAGTCATAGTGAGAGCATCCACAGGGGCGGTCACCTGCTCGAGATACTTCTTGGCTGGGCCAAAGGTTCTGAGACTTGAACTGTGTGCTTGAATGACGCAGATCACTCGCCACTCAAAGTTGCTTGAGCCCTGACGAACTCGTGTCGTGAATCAAGACCAGCGGTGGACACGATACAATACTGAGCCCTTCGAAGCCAAGAGCAGGACATCTCGTAAGGAAGGCCGTCCTTCGGGAGCCCTAAGCCGAAGTTCTCATCACGAAACACAAGCAGTGGCGGAAGCAGCTGCGATCTGTATACTAGTTCAACTTTGACGATGCCTAGTCTGGCGCCATACTGAGCCGGCAGATAGAGTGACCTTGAGCATCCAGTCTGCTGGCTGAGGGCAAGAAAAAAGAACCGTTCTCCACAATGTAACGGTAGAAGAACAAGAGCAATTAGTAGACCCATCGCGGCACAGGTAGCTGCAGCCTTTTAATCGGGCACAACACTTGACGCAGCGTAACCCAGCAGTTCATGGAATGAGCCCAACTCCTACTAGAGGGGACTCAGCCAAGAATGGGTCGGCTGACAGTACCAAGCCTACAAACTCAACAAGCGCGATAGCCCAGAAGAGTAGCCGCACACGAGCACATGCATGGTACCATGCACGATATCGTCACCTAGGCAATTTCGGTTTGAGACAAAACAAGCTTAGTGGGGACTCGTCGTCTGGCGGCTGGGCTCTACATACATGTGCTTCGGGGGTTCCGAGACTGGCTGTGGCGTTGTGGAATCGGGGTCTTGACATTCCTGCATATGCCCCACAACCATACAAATACGATAACGCGCATGTCCAACTCTTCTTCACATCGATTAAAGCCAGACCGTCTCAGTGTTGCCCTCATTAAATTTTAGAACCCTTTCAAGGCTCACGTTTCTGGCTCGCTGCCGTACTTCCGGGAATGAGCGGCTAGACTCTGCCTCAAGGCATGGGCCATTGGCTGCCTCTTCAAACTGCCAAGCTTTAGATTTCCTCCATATGCTTGCTACTTCACAATACTTTTACAGCCTCAATTCTGCCTACTGGCTACCTGGATGCCAAACGAATGGCTGTTATTGGATCACTGCCATCACGAGAATATTGACTTGAAGGTTTGTGCTAATGCCCCCCACGACCACCCCATCGAGGTGATGTGTGGGCGCATCCAACGAGCTTACTCTAGTCATTCATCAAAGCATGGGAACCTCCTTGGTTCGGGAACCTATTGGCAAACAGCAATGCCAGCACTTTCTTGCCTGCTACCCCACGTAGAGTCTCGCCATCCACTTTGCCAGAGGTCCATTGCAGACACGACTCAGTCGCACAATATCATTTCAATAGAAGATGGTCCTCGTCGTCAACGTCATCCGCAAAGCGGCTGTTAAACTTGCGGAATCTCGATTCCAATATCAGACGGCACAACGGAGACATAATCATCGCCCCTAACGGCAGGATTCCTCACTGAAAGCTCCTGGCAATAATGTTGTCCGCCGTTGTCAACGAAGAATAACTATTCCTAAGCTCAACTTTGTCAATATATATATCGCCGAAAGCAACAACCACGCTCTTACTACATCTATGCGCCTTTGGAAAAGATAGAGACATCAACACTATCATCATCTGGAGGCGGACTGCGACTATCTTCCAAAAAGCAACTTGAGCAGCTCTTAGATCCACATCTCCCTAGCAAAGAGCGCATGATCGATTAGGTTTCATCAGTGCATAGATGGCCCATCTTCAGTCGCGCTTCACAACGCGAGCAGGTTTAAAGCGACTAGTAAAATATCATGCTGTGTAAACAACGGTTTGTCTGCCTCGCATTGACCTGGAAAAAGGGCAACCAAGCTTAGGAGCAAAGACGTAGGCTATCAACGAGAAGGTCAACCACGACTGATTTCGGTAAGTACGGCTGACCTTTACGTGATGATTAAAGTCTCATGCACTTTCAATCTGCCCAGCTAGACAGACACCAAGGTGCTTTCACCGAGGCGTTGCTGGCTGGAGTTTCGCTCAATGTGCTAAATACCCACAGCATGACCTGTGATTCGCTCGCGCACGCCAGCGGTCACGGCCATCTTCGTCACAAGAGGGCCCGGAACCGAACGCTCCAAAACTCTTATTGTCTAGTTGCATTATTCCATGTCAATTCTTCCCCGCTTCGTGCGGTCTGGAAGACAAAGAAAGTATTGTGTTTTTACACTGCCAGGACTTTCGTACACGAGTAGAGGACAGACAGCAGCTTCTGTCAAAGCAAACACTTAGGACGATGCGAATCGGATACCAGAATCGTTGTAACAGCAACTAAGCTGTATGTGCAAGATTGCAAGGACTTGAGGCGAATGGGTGTGCATAGTGGACTGTTGCACTGCCTGCTTCATTGGGCTGCAAAGCGACCTCCTTTTAGCAGCTGCATTCCTGCTCCTTCAAGGGTTGAAGAACCAGGAAATACAGACCGTCTGCAGGACACCGTCGTGGCCTTGGTCCCCAGAGACGTGACACATTTTCTGACAATCTCCCGACATTGCACATGCCATCGCAGTTTGTCAATGAGGCCACCCCAGGGGATGCTCACTCATTTTGATGGTGCGAAGACTAATCGATGTTCGTAAGGAGTGAAAAGCACGGCAAGAATGTTGGAAGTTGCTGTACAGGATCCGGCATAAGGCATCGAGCACTTGCCAGAGAAACCGAAATGAAACGTGCAGAATGAAATGTAAAAGGGTTGAAGTCTAGGAAACGGCAGGTCTATGACACCAATTGAATGACCGCTTTGGGGATCAAAGAATGGAAGGGATTGAATACGTAAATCAGTCACTGCAAACATGCGATACCTGTCACCTTGTGAACTCACAGCGCAAAGAGCATCGTTCATTTAATTTCCGTTCCACTATTTGGAGTTGCCATTGCAACGTCTGCGATCGGTACCAGGGCCGATCTGTTTGAGGTCGTAGCAGCTTGCAATGACCGTCATCACCCCTCCGAATGCATGGTTACCGCGAGGGCCCCCGTCCGCAATATTGCCGCAAAAGGCAGCATATGGTTTAAGCTGAATCGCGTTTATTGCATTGGCGAATTGATACGCCATGCCGTAGTCAGTGTTGCCATCAATGATATAACCAGCTGCGCCAATGTCGTCAATGTAAAAGTCGTACACCCAATTCACGTTGGCGTACGATGCCTCGTCGTGGCCAGAATCTCCACTATGAGTGCCTCCTTGCAGGAGAGGACTTTCGGACCGGCGCCTCCAGCAAACCGTATAGCTGCGCTTTGACGGCGTCCGGTCGGCCCTGCCAAGCGAAATCGTGACAGACTTGCGGCTGTTCCTGTCTTCGTTAAATTTCGGACCTTTTGCTCAATATCCATACCCTAACCCTAACTTAAACGACTGCTTGCAAGTGTCGACAGTTCACTAACCCTAACCCTAATGCGCAGTTCAATATGTGTCTTAGCCGTCCCACTTGTCGCTCTTTCTTTACCCCATGAACATCCATTGAATTACTCTGCATCCTTGCATGTGAGCGTCTATCACGCTGATCAGGTTCCGCAAAATCGAGTATTTAGGTCGGACAGGCAGATGCTTATGCTACAGATGATAGAGGTATCAAAGACCTAGTTCTTGGCGCAAGGCATCAATGTGATATGTTCTGCGGCTCGTAATATCAGTGTGCTTGACTCTATCGCGGAGCGTAGACGCAGCTTGAACGAGCTTATCTGCGTGAAAAAGCTGGCCGGTTGTCCTATGCATAAGGCTGTAAAAAGCAGCCGCTGATTGGGTCTCCAAGATAGCCTCCTCGTGAAGCTCAAGTATGGCAAGTGCCACGCGGAAGAGAGTAACCATCCCTTCCACGAAGAGCAGATCCCACACGCGGAAAAGGACTTCCACCGGGAGACAGTCGGTGTAAAGGGACAGAAACCATGCAAAAGTGACGGCTGGAAGATCGACGCCGAGGCCCTCGATGTGCGCCCAAATCTTGGGAAGGAGCTCGCCGGTGTACTCGATCAACACCCTCTGGTCGGCTTGAGAAGTGAGGAGGTGCGACGTATAGTAGTCGCGCGGCATGATCTTCTCAATCAAGCAGACCAGTAGCCAGAAGCTCTTCGATTCGCTTGGCTCGGTAAGGAGCAGCGTTGCCGCAATGTTGTTCATCGCTGCAAAATCAAATCAAAGCATGTCAGCAAGGCGCGCATGGTCTAATCAAAAAGAAGTCGGACGACCTCACCCTGGCAATAACCAATTTCTACATCGTACCATGAAAAGGCGACTAGTACACGACGGAGCTTGGGAACCCCTGGCCCATCGCCTCCGAAAAAGACATTCGTTGGCATGGTGCGATGGACGTCGAGGTCAATTTGCGTGAGGCATTGATTTTGTTCGCCGTTATGTTCGCTTAGTAATTCCTCGTACCGCCCAGGCTCTGCCATTTCATTCACGCCAGAGCATTCGGACCACACTTGAGAGCGATACGAAAGAGGGATGCCGGAAATGCAGAGCTTGAGAAAGTGGCGCCAATCTTCCTTGCCAGTCTTGGTCGTCCCCATCTGAGCGATTCCTACCAAGGTCAGGGTAGCGTCCAACAGACCTTCGGCTGCCTCGTCCTGAAGAGGTAGCGCTTTTCTTGGTTTCCTTCGCAGGGTCTGCATCTTGTCCTGCCGCTCTTTGAGGAAAGAATCCCACTTGATCCTCTGCTGAGCTTGCTGTTCGTCGTACATTTCGTCGAGCTGCTTGAGCAAGTGCTTCACCGTGCTCCTCCGCTCGGCTGTCTCCTCCTCATTCGTGCGCGTCGAGACATTGATGCTAGATGCCTGTGTCATCGCCTTTGCTTTCTCTGCGTGCCCCATTATGAAAGAAGACCCACAGCTCGCAGGGGGCCGTTTGATGGCCTCGATGCTGCCCGCCGAATCCGTCTCTTCTTCGCTGTCAGTTGCTGGCTCAACTCGAGTCCCGGCGAGCGGTGCTGGCGCAACCGTACTAGCTGCTCGTGCCTGCCGGAGCATTCGCAGATCTGAAGGTGTAGCGCAATACATGAAGCCGTACCGGTCCGTCAAGCTCGTGTCCGAGGGACGGCCGGGGCCAGCCTCGGGCAGTTCTTGACCGGAACCGCCGTACACCTCGAAAGGGTCCGCACCATGCTCATACGGAGATGCGCTCACCAAACGCTGCCCCGCAAGCGTGGGAGGCCGCGCCTCCTTGGGCACCATTGTCTGCAGCTCCAACGTCTTGACGGGAGCGGGAGTGAGAGGGAGATAGGGATCTGTAGAAGCGTTGCCATATATCTGTGGCAGCCGTGTCACATTTGGTGTTCTTTCTTTGCTGGTATCCAGCGTTCTTGGATCTTGTAGAGCGCGCAGGGGGTCGACAGAAGTGGAGCCGCCAAGTCGGAGACCCTCGGCAGCGGAAGTCCGACTCCGTGATATGACTTGACTAGCAACGAGTGTCGGCTCGAGAGAGCCTTGGCACTGATCGAGTCCCCTTGACACAGGCAGGTCAGGCGCAGAGAAGTTAGTGGAGGTCGATCTGACATCCTCGGCTTGAAATGCGGAAGCCGAATCTGCGTAGACAGCAAGTACATGACGCAACTGGGGCGACGAGAGAGGTGCTTTCACCTTGACAGTATCTTCCCCATGTTCGTGCAGATCGCTCGCATCAAAGGCTTCGCGCACAGGTGTCTGTATAGATGCTCCCGAAGCTGCCATTTCAGCTGTGACGGCTCGTAGACCCTGGACTGCTGTCGAGGGGGCATGCTCGTCTCCGGCATTTGTGCTTATATCATGATCTTCCTCGACTTCCGCATTCGGTGCATCCGAAGGCGCTTGTCGCGCCGTGCGTCTCCAAGCGATCCCCCCAAAGATGCTCAGCGTGTTTGCGGATCTACGTGAAGAAGCCCGCGCTTGGCTGGATGACGAAGCGCGTGACGAAGAAGAGCAGTGACCGGCCTTGACCGAAGCCGTTCCATCGGCCGAATCGGCCTCATCCTCTGTGGATGAATTCCCAACGGTGAGCTCACCAGGTGCAATGCTGGTCGAACTCGTAGGAGAGATGCTCGCTGAGGCCTTCTTGCTTCCTGCACCCCAAGGCATGAGCCCACTGGCCCAGTCGGTCAGGGCACTGCCTTCCGTGCGTCGACTCGTCGCCACGGATACTACCGATATGCTAGCCATAGATTCAGATCGCTTGCGTCCTGCCTTGCGACGATGATCGTCTGTTGACGAGTCTACAGAAATAGAGCTGTTGTTTCCTCGTAATGGATGGGTGGAACGCGTCACGCGACCCGCTTCTGTCTGAGGTGGCTGACCACTCTCGGGTCTCTCCTCCATGTCCTCCGCATCCTCCCGGCTGATCGCTTCTGACATTGCCTCCTGTAACGAGAGATCTAGCATGCGCTGTTCCCTTGCCACCTTTTGCGCCGCTGTCTGCTGCTCTGAGACACGAGCCAAACAGCGCTCAATTTCGCCTTCACCAGCGCCATGTTTGCGTGCGAGGTCAACAAGAGCACGTTCCCGCCGTGATGAAGTATCTTGTTGCTGATGCAGAGTGTGTTCAAGGGCAGCAATCCTGGTTGTTGATTCTTCTATGTGTAGAGCGAGGTCGTCTCGCGCATATGCTAGCCCTCTAGAAGCAGCTCGCAGAAGAGCTGACGTCCCGCCGCGGTGATTAGCCGTGTGCCGTTCCAGTTCTGCATCGCTCATCTGAAGTAAGGAAAACAGGAGGCTCAAAGCCGCATCAAAACCCCCTTCCGCTGCTTCCTCATCGTCGTCACCATCGACAAGCATCATAGAGACGATCCCCGTGGCGCCAGTACGATGTCTGGATCTGGATGCGACTGGCGTCTGTTCCTCGCTTGCTGGGCTCGGGTGCGAGACCCCATCTATCGGAACAGAGTGGAGAGATGCCTCGGCCGAATCGTCACGCGAGCCACAGCATGTACTCGGCAAGTCCGTCTCTTCAGACCTCGTCTCCACACCTGCTGCCACAGAGGTAGGACGTGAAGGAGTAAGCCTTGAGGCCCCGTTGCCATTGTATGGGGCCCCTTGCAGCCCCTGCGCTCTCTGTACTGCTTCCGCAGTCTTTCTTGTCAGCTCAAAATAGCTTGTCGGATGGCCATCGGTGCGGCCTTCTACGAGCGGGACATCGAATGTGCTTCCAAGTAAGGGGTCTACCATTGCCACTGTTATTGATGACGACGGGGTGGCAGTCTGGTTGCCTTGACTATCGTCCATCCTGATCTTCATGCAAGTGGAGAAGAGACCCATACATCAGTACTGCAGATATTTATTCAAGGGAGGATTCAGCCGACATTTACCTGGCTCCCCGCCAACCGTAGGCGCCCACAGATGGCGGCAGGTTACCGCGGGCATGCAGGCATGTTCAATTGACGATGCCAACGAGGAACATTCGCAAAGCCGTCCTCGAGTCCACTCGAGAGGAATTGAAATTATCTCTGGCGGTTAGATCGACACTAGCAGAGCTTCAGATTACGGCTCCTGGGTGCAACGAAAGGCATAAACAACCCAAGCTGCTTCAAGCATTTGAAACATCAGACACTTGTAGCTAATAATACAAACAGAGCGATGACGGTATGGGAGGGAGGACGAGCCACGACTCTCGCGACCGACAAACAGCTAGGGTTTTCGTGCATAACATGTGATTCGCATGTTGCCGCGCGGCAATCCATGCTTAGCAATTGGAAATTAGGATCACCTCGCCATCCCATCCCTCTCCTCATCTCACGTCCTGATTAGCCTATACAACTTTTAGCGGTGTTCGCTATCCGCCAGCGAGACCCCCTGTGCGTTCGGGGACGAATGAAAAGAGAGTAACGAGCTTAGAGTCAATCCGGTCCCCCGGCCGAGAGGAGTGAACGGAGTTCAGGACTATTTTGAGACGCTCCAATACAAAATGGCGGCAGGTGTGAGTTGATACTGGAGCAGTACTTGCTTCGATTGCACATCGGAAGATGACCGCTCTTTCCATGGGCGACACACAGATCAGCGCTTTGAAGATCCAAGCGCTCGAGCGGGCCAAGCTTGCGGACCAAGCATTGCAGGCTCAGAATGCAGAAAACGCTCGCCAAGCAGCCTTGGCTCGCATTGCGCGTGAACAGCAAGAGCGAAAGGTCCAAGAACGAGAGAGGCAGCTCAGGATGCAAAAAGCTGAACAGGAGCGTAAGCAACGGGCAGAGCTTCAGAGAAAGCTGAACGAGCAGCGGCAGCGGGAAGAGGAAGCGGAGACGGCGGGGCCATCGAGATCACCTGCAGCATTCGCCGCTGCCGCGGCCAAAGTGATGGACAAGAAGGTACGCAAGGCATCTGAACAAATGAGCAAGATCAAGAATCAAAGTGAAAGACAAGCAATCAGCAGGAATATATCAGATGCCAGGCGCAAGGCCAAAGTGATGGGCGAAAAGCCGGACTTGACGAGGGAGGAAAGGAGAAGGGAAAAGCTGGCCAAGCAGCTTGGAATGCCGGTCTCCAAACGAGCTCCAACCTTAGGGAAGGCACCGTCTGCAAAACCGTCATCAAGTTCATCGCCGTTATCCAGACTGAAGAATATACGGGAAAAGTACAACAATGCAGACCACATCAAGCTGTCTGGTAAAGAGCGCGACCGACGAAGCATTGAAGATATCGAAAGGGAGTATCGGGAAAGGCGAAAGTTGACCAGCCCCGGCAGTGGTAGCGGCAGGACAGTAGATGACGAGCGGCGCAAACTCGACCAGCGGCGCAAGAAGGCAATGGAGAAAAAGCGGAAAAAGAAGGAGCCTATTGGCTTCTTGAGCGACTCGACTGACGCAAGCGATGTCCAGGATTTGCGGCCAACTAAAAGAGCAGCTTCATCCACTTCAAGCAAGGTTCTTACTCCACCGCGACAGAGACAACCGACAATCGATCCAGCCGACTTCCTGCCTGGCGCTCCCCTGCGGCCAGAGATGCTCGCCGCAGCGAGGGATAAGGAAGCCTGGAGGGAGGAGCGCTCGAAAGAGAAAGGAAAGGGAATGGCAACCGACAGAGCAAGGTCTACTCATGACTCTCAGGCAAACCAGAAGGCTCGAGGCAGCAAAGGGAAAGCAGCCATCACAACTCACAAGGTGACTGCGAGAGAGCGATTTTTGCAAATGGAAGCAGAGAAGCGAGCTCAGAAGCAACAAAATTCGGACAGTTCAGACGACGGGAGTGAGACAGAACCCAACGAAGACTACAACAGTGAAGAATCAGAATTGGACGTCGATCGACGGCGGCCAAGCAGCCAAGGTGGCAAATCAAATCTTCCGCCAGATGTACTGGCGATGCTGAGAAGGGGACGCGACAAGCCCTCGTACGACTCTGTCGACTCTGATGACGATGACATGGAAGCAGCAATCGAAGAAGTGGAACAGGAAGAGAGGAGAGCTGCCAAGATTGCCCGAAAGGAAGATGAGCGCGAGCTGGAGCTCGAGATGCAACACGCTGCAGAAAAGGCCAAGCGCAAATCTCAGAAAGGAAGGGCCTGACTTTGCCGCATTTCGATGCGGATCTCCACACATCAAGCAAATCTACACAGGTGTTGAATTGCTGGTAATGATTGAGTCTATTAAACAACTTGGTCTAACAAATAAGCGCCAAGAAATATTCACACCATCAGCTCAAGACAACCATGGTCAACGCCTGAGGCGCATGTACTCACACCCTGGAAAACCGTACTCGATGCCTTTCTTCTTCAGAGCAGCTTTCCTCTGCGTCTGCCGTTGCAACAGTTTCTTCTCCACCACCTCCTGCTCCTCCTTCGTTCGGGGCTGATCGTGGAGCGTACGCTCTCGCCGAGTGCCTGTAGACCCTCTCCATTTGCGATTCGCTCCTTTGAACAGATCAGCGTGGACTTTGTCCTGAGGAATCATCTTGACCTGAAGTAGATGCCCCATGAGAAGATAATTGTCCATGGTCTCTTGCACAATCTGCGCGACCTCCACGTCATCGAATTCGATGAAGCCGTAGTGTTTCGGCGCCCCTGTTTTCTTGTTTCGGGAGAGGCGCAGACGGGTGACATTGCCAAATTGCGAAAAGTAGGATCGCATCTCATTTTCATAGAATCCCCTTGGGATGCGACCGATGTATAACACACCCGCTTTTACGTTCTGCGTGCAAAAGCCAATGCGCGATGTCAGTCAAGAGAACTTGGAAGCAGCCTGAGCAGAAAGCGCACGCACAGCGCTTGCGCCGTCGCGCTTCCTCTTCTTTCCAACGGCGTCCAGCCGGGCTTTGACTGCTTTTTCGTCCTTGCTGCTAGGCAATTTGACTACATCAACGATCGGAGCGTTCCTTCCAACGCCTTTATCATCCTCTTCATCTTGTTCGTTGTCGTCGTCGTCGTCTTCCAGGTCGCTGGCCATTTCTACGCCTAGATCGGCCAGACCTTTCAAAGTTGAGCTTGCTGCTACATGCGCAGCGTCTTCCTCGGCCTGTTCAGCGTCATCACTAGATTCCTCATCATCAGAAACGTGCCTGGCGGTTGGCTTTGCTGTCTTGATCGCAGCAGTACCTTTCTTGGCGGATTTGAGCTTCTGGGGCGCTGAAGCATCAACTTTGCCAGGCCTTCGGGACGATGTTGCCGTAACAGCCTTGGTAGAATCTTTTACTTTGACCGTTCCTTTGTCAACATTGGTTGGCTTAGTAACCGAAGCAGCTAACCTAACAGCCTTTTTGACTGGTACATCTTTTGTCGCCGCATCCCCCTCTCTTGCGCGCTTTTTGCCTTTTGCTGCTGTCGCAGCCGCCGCTTTCTTTGACGCAACCATAGTTGGGCGGAGTTATCGCTTTCTTGCTCCTTCTTTCGCAGTGCACGGTATCGGCTTTCGCACTGTCAAAGCACGAGTAAGAAAGGTATAAAGGGTTGGTCACCAAATGCTGCCTGGCATGTCGCGAAGCCCAGCCTTGAAGGATCGATCACGAGCAGCCGTGACAAAAGGTGTGCACCAACCGTCGAAGGGGGCAAAATTTTGTGAAGGGCCAAGTGCGGAACCGACCCTCTCGGCCGAGAATATGCCACTTCCTGCTGTCGAGAGCCTCTCATCTGACTTTGACTGCTCCACTGCAGCAGGGTCGCAACGTGGCTCTCTAAGCTTCTGTCTCCTTCCACAGATGATCTTCTTGAGAGCGCCTGACAAGTTGTGATCCTTGAAAAGGCATGGCATTCCCTTCTAATCAAAACCCCCATCTGCCTAGCCCCATCAAAGAGATTGAAGGCACACATTGGATCCATCTCTAACATCGTAAGCTTTCAAAATGACGCCCCAATCCACCGCCCCAGAGATTATCTGGGCGCAGCGCTCATCGGCAGACTCCGAAGACCAATGCGTAGTCATGGTTACGATCAACGTGCCGAACCTACCCCTAGCTCCACAGACAAAGCTCGACCTCAAGCCAACAGGTTTTGAATTTGAAGCTCATGTCCCCGCAGACTCAACGAAAGGGATTGAGGAAAAGCACTATGCCTTCAAGCTCGACTTTTTCGAAGAAATCGACGTTGAGAACTCCAAGCAATCCCAGACAGACAAGTCTCTCTACCTCGTGCTGCGAAAGAAGGAGAAGAAGCTGGAATACTGGCCACGGCTCAGCAAGGAGAAGATCAGGCTGCATAATGTCAAGACTGATTTCGACAAGTGGGTAGACGAAGACGAGCAGTCTGGCGACTTGGACGACGTCATGGGCGGCATGGGCGGCATGGGCGGTATGGGTGGCAGTGAGTAGTTCGGACTTTCGGTCCAAACTTGTCTCCTCTCGTTCTAACCGTTTTTTTCCTTCTCTACCCATAACAAGTGGGAGATATGATGGGCATGGGCGACATGGGCGGTATGGGCGGCATGGGCGGTATGGGCGGTATGGGCGGCATGGGCGGCATGGGCGGCATGGGTGGCAGTGAGTATGCCCTCAGTCGCTACGACTGTGCTCTTTGAATGCTGACAAACCTCTGCTCTGCTCCAGTGGATATTCAAGAAATGCTTAAGAACATGGGCGGTGCCGGCAGCGGCATGGGTGACTTCGACTCCGCTGAAGATGAGGAAGACAGCGATGATGAAGCACAGGCAGGCGAAGCCGCACCAGCAGAGACTTCCACTGCAGAGAATGCGAAAAGCAAGAGTGCTAAGGACATCGAATCCATCGACTAGGCTGATTCGCCGGGAAGCTGGAGCTTGTTGCGCCCATGTAAATGTTGCGTAGCCTACCCTCCCAATGAAACACATCTCAAAATGGCCGAGCTTAGCCTTGACATGACGTCCTCGACTCGAGTGATTGTGTGATGCTTCCGCCAAGGCGAGATGGAGACATAAAACCGCGATCCGCACGATTTTCCCTTCTCTCTAAGCACCGTGTGGAGTGGCGATTTCCACGTATCGCGTCGCCCAAAGCCGTTGGTATTCGAGTTCACTGGTGATTCTCACTCAACCATCAAAAGCATGCCTCGGGCGCATAACCGCTGCATAGAGACAGACACGGTAGCGCCTTTCGAATGGAAGTGGTTGTCAATTGATAGCTGATTGTTGATATTCGAGTTCACAGACGACTGGCATTCAGTATTCAGAGGCCAAATGATGGGATTGATTGCCAAAGCATTGCATGCTTGGCAATTGCGATTGGATGAGAATGCCGAAGCGCTTTCCTTCAGCCGCGACACAGCTGAACATATCAGTCGGCGCTGAATTTGTCGCCATCGGGGTTGCGCTCGTATATGTACGATGAGCCATGAATCATGAAACTGAGTGAGGAGCAACAGCATCAAATCAAGGAGGCTGCCCCCCCCCCTGTTGGCAAGCTCGCGATTTTCCAAAGCTATACCATGACCACTCATTTCATTCACAGATGCAACATGAAAGGGACAACTACCAAAAACCTTGTTTCCTCAGAATCGCCAGTGTTTGCGTTTCAAGTACGCGGTCACAGGCAATGTCTAATGAGGGAAATGCACCGCACCGAGCACATATTGAACTTCAACACGATCGCCTCCTCGTTGTACCTCGAGCCTATGCGACAATATGATGGAGGTACAAACCAACGCAAAAAGTCGAGGGCTTCCAAGTTGGTTTCGACAGCGAGTCGAAAGGCTTGGCAGATAGAGGCCGTTTCGAGGCCATCCGGCCGGAAATAAGCCGACCCCCGGTGATTGGCGACACATTCACCGCAAAAGAGTTCGAGAATGGCGCGCATTTTGTATGAAACCTCATTAGCGTCCGCCAAGCAGCGATCACATTGGTGCGTCCGCGCAGCCGCTCATGCACTGCGGTGCAGTGTGGCCGGGCTTTGTGCGAACGCAGCACGATGACTTTACATAATCCAAACTCGGAATATTCCTTTGACTGACTGGCGACACGCCTCCGATCTGCGGCGAGAGCGTACCTCGAGGGAGACTAGTGCGGTGCTGCCTCCTGTTGATGGAAGCGGGCCAGCAATCACCTGCCATCATCGACCAGCAACCACTCATCGCCTTTCCTGCCTCCCTTGCCGTCCCCATGTTGTCAGACACACTACAGTCATATATACCATGCCAACTTCTTCCTTCATCTACGCCCACCACCTCGTCCACATGCCCCTGCCCCTCTGTATAACAGCCACCTACTCCCCTCACTCACTTGCAAAATGTCTGCGGCAGTCCCTGGTTCCGACCCGCCGATGGTCGACACGATCACCGCTGGCGTCGGCGACGTCACCCTTGCCTCCGGCCCCCCTGCCACGGGTGACGCCAAGACCCCTGCTTTCACCGGCGCCGGTCACAGTGCTGAGCCATCCGGTGCCACATCAGGCGTCAACGTTCCCGCAGGCTCCTATATCGTCACCCCCGTCGCCGGAGGTGGCTCCCAGGTGACCCCGATCTCCCCTAACTGCAGCATTCTGTCCCCCAACAGCCCCCAGGCTACTCCTAGCGTCGTCAGTACCGCTGGTAGCGGTGCTGCTATACCTGGGAAAGTCAACACCGATGCCCCTGAAGCTGAGGGAAGCCAAATTGTCAGCCCCGCCTCGGGTACTGGCTCAGTAGTCGCACCCGCTGCCGCCGCTCCAGCGACGGTTGAAGCAGCTGTCAAGTCTGCCGACGCTACCGCCGTCGCTGACCCCGCTACTGCCGCTACTGGGGGTACCGCTGCAGGGGTCTCCGCTGCTAATGCGACGATCACCCCGACCGTCGCTCCGACCCCTGCTATGAACCCCAAAGACATCAAGAAGTACGAGAAGCTGCTCAAGGTGCGCCTCTCATCTCCGCCTGCCTACTCTCATCGCGCCATGCACACTGACCCACTTTCCCCCCTGTGCGCTCCATAGACCGAGGCCAAGTTTGAGGAGAAGGCTCTAAAGCAGACGCTCAAGGACGCTGCCAAGTCTGAGAAGGCATATCGCAAGGCCATTAAGGCCGAGCGGCAGTCGCAGAAGCGCCACATCAAGGCCATCACAGCTGAGCACAAGACTTCCAAGGAGCTCTCCAAGGCCAACGTCGCACACGAAAAGGCCGCTGCTCAGCTCAACAAGGCCAAGGAGGAACTCGAGATCAAGGAGAAGCACAAGACGGCTACCCAGGAGGAATACGAGAGGCTCAAGGCGACCATCGAGACCTTGAGGAAAGAGAGGGCTGAGCACGACAAGGAGCGTGCGGTCAAGAGCGCCAGCATCCGGCCAGAGGAGACCTCATAATTCGGCTTGCTCTTCGCTTCCCGGGTCTCATTGCCGCTCACCTCGATAACCACCACTTTCGATTTTGGCGCGCATGTCATTCCAACGCACAAAACTCTTTCCTGGGACTTGTTTCCATATTTTCCTTCCTTTTCAAATTTTGTTCCTCACCCTATGTATCGGATTGGTTCACTGTCAGCAAACATGGCCGAACAACTTTGTTTTGAATTAAACTGCCACGCCTACATACCCACATACACACCAAGCAAAAGGTAACGCATCTTCGCCCACCGCAAAGCATTCATACGACCGCACCGATCGTTGGCAGCTGCTTCGCTTAGAATTCATAATGCAATTCATTAGAGTACAGACTTTGTTTGCTGTGTGCACTAGAAAGCGTCGCAGGTGTGACAGATGGAGCCGTTCCATTCCGCCTCCGTGAGTCTCATACCCTGCTGGCCATCCTTATATTCGTGAGTGGAAAAGTCCTTGTTGGCGGTTCTTGTCTGACCGTCCTCCTCCTACTCCTCTTTCTCCTCTTCTTCTTCCTGACATCTGGCACTCCTCTTTCGCCTGCTCTACGCCTCATATTTGGGGATGATCTATAGCGCATTCTCCGTCGTCTTGATTGCACCTGTGAGGGATGACTCACTGCAGATCGTTCGCCTGTGCGACTGCCTTGGTTGTTTTCCACAGCGAAGTGGCGTCCCCGAATAGCAGTTGGGATTGGTCGACATTAAACCCGCGCCGGTTGTAGGGCCTTTGCGCCACTGGCCCGTCGTTTCGCTCATCACGGTGCGGTATGACACTTCGCGATTCATTTGCAGAAACTATAAGTAGCCGCCAATGACTGTGCGAAGTCCAGTGAGATACTGCAACAAGCCACAGCGAAGGAAATAGATAGTCGCTATCTTATGACAAGATGGTCAGAACGCATTTGCAAGTAGCTCACAGCCATCGGTTCCATGTGTTCCCATCTGAGCTCTGGCACCCCAAATGCGCACCACGTAACGACACACTACCAGGTGCCCATGACAGCAACACGACCGGAAACAACGCGCTTCTTCCTGTGGAGAGCTCATTGATCGCATTCTTTCCTGATCTTGGCAGGCCGCTTGAGCTCCTCCGCCTTGACATACAGTTGGCCGGGGAGAAAGCGTGTGCGATCTTCAAACGAAGGTGCCGAGATTTGCAAGCTTCGCTCTCTGATGCAAATGTTGAAGCTACCGACGCAGCCTGCGTAAAAAGGGATGTACATCAGGGAATGCCCAGATTTCCTCCTGAGTAGCGCCTCCGATCACTTCCACCTCTCTAAGGAGATCCTTGATTGCCGTCGACGGCGACCATCGCTTCCATCGGCCGTACATGCCCAGATTGAGGTAGTTGAGGTCTCAAGTTTAGGCCAAATCCCGCTAGAATCGTCTCAATAGCTCGGCTTGGTCGAATCTTTGCCAGCTCCCGCTTCCAGCAGGGCTTCTTTGCGGCCCATAACGTCCTTCTTCCCACCTCTATGACCAGTTCCCTTGAAAGTGCACCATTTCCCCTCTCCTGCTTGCTTCAGCTTCGCTCTCATGCTAGGCTCGCTGCTGGGTCACCCTGCTCTGATGCGGTTTTTAATGTAGCTCTCAAGTGCTGGGCGGTGTGTAAAGGAGAAACGACTCTTGTGTACCGGAGTGTTTAGCTTGGCCTGCAGAGGTCAAGCTATGAAAGTGTTCTGATTGAGCGTGCCTTCTAACTTGTTCATCGCGCTTTTCCGGTTTCGCCGACGATTCTGTAGTCGGTTTCTCTGCCAGGCCGCCCAGAGCAGTTGCTCTTTCACTGACTCCGAAGTATTGAGAGGTGAAGAGCCGGACTCCAAAGCTGCTTCTGTATCAGCATCTTCTTCCGCAAGCGCTTGAGCGGATCTCGTTCGGCTCTTGCTGTAGCTTCTCTTGGCTATGCTTGCGCTCTACATTCTTCAAGCCCTGTTTATCCTCTTCCTCACTCGTAACTTTGTGTTCCTGTTGGTCCTGGAGTGACAGACTTCGCGTCGTTCCCACCGTGGCTCACGGTGGAGGTCGTGTTTGCTTGAAGGAACAGACTCAAGGTACTCATCCTCCTCTTAAGCAAAGGCAAGATCTGAAAAACGGGGTTCATCACCGTCCTCTGGAGGGTCTAGTGGAAGAGTGAGCCTGCACAACGAATTTCCAGTAGGGCAATACCCCGGATTATTCTAGGCGAGCTTCAAGCTTCAACAAACGAGCGGCAATCAATATTTACCTGGTGAAAGCGAGATGCCCCTGGGTGACCGTAAGCTTGCCTATCTTAGTTTGTGCACTATTGAGCGCATCTTTAGCTGGAGAAGAAGAAGTAGGTTGCGTGGAGAGGATATTCAGGTTCTGTCCGTACTTGTGCGAGCGTTAAACTAAACGTTGAGATAGCTGAAGGTTGGCGCGAAGCGAACGAGGTTGACAGGGTACGGTGCAACTGCAATTAGGAGCCACAGCTGCCCGCTGTTGATTTTCTCTACGCAAAAATGAACGCAGATTCTGTGTCGAAACATCGGCAAGGACATGGCGACGGAGTCGTCCAAGCAGGCTGAGCCGCCGGCAAGGTCAACGATGTTTGCCCAAAGGCGCCAAGTAGTCAACGTTCCGCAATATTTCGCTGTGCAGTCCGAGGAATCCCTTTCTGCTTTATGCCGTGGTTCACACTTCATGTTTGATGTACGACTTGCATCCAAAGCTGAAGCCAGGGGAAGGTGCTGTGTGTACAGCGCTCTAGTGTCGAAGGAATGAACATCTCGGCCGCCTCGAGTCTGCAGTGCGAATCATGCTTCAAAGCTTCGTTTACAGCTGTTTGCCACGTCAAAGGGGAACAGAACAGCGACACATACGAGAGATTCCATGTCAGCAGCATGGATGACAATGCTCATAACCAGAATCATTAATGAAGGAGCAGTCTATGGACGCTTCAGCACAGGGAGCAAGACGGGAAAGCTTATTGCGAACGTGGTAATGCCATTTATGATGACTGTTTCTGGAAACGTTATGTAAGCAGACTTTTCGGATCCATCGACTTTCTTTTCCTGCGCAACTTTTTGTGATGCACAGGATGCTTCATCTCCATCACAATTTGCAGCAAGTGTTGCGCATGTCAGTACGCAGCACCAAGCGTCAAGTTGCTTAACCTAACAGCTGAGTTCAAATAAGTTTGTTTTCCTTGTTGCTCAGCTCCGAAGTGAAAGATGGCCACGCCTCGCCAGCGCCGCAAGTCTCGCTCCAGCAGCCATGGTGGCCCGTCAGCACGCTCCAAAAAGGCGGCGGTCAAGAAGCTCAAGAAGCCAGCCCCCACCATTAGAGGTCCCGAGATCCTCAAGGAAAAGTGGGATAGAACCAAGACTGTCAGGCAAAAGTGAGCATCGAAAGAAGGAGCCAAGACACTTCTTGATCAAGCTAACCAGGTCTTCATCACGCCTTGAATCAGCTATGCCGCACTTGGTCTTGTTTCATCCTTGCAGATTCATCAATCGGGTGGCTACGACAGAGATGACCCATACAATAAATCTACATATCCCTCCGCCACGTCAAATGAAACAACTGCTGCAGATGATGTTCAGAAGGATGAAGACATGACCGAGAACAGCGCGAGCGGATCGAAGCCTGCGGACAAGGGCAAAGGCAAGGCAGTCAAGAAGGGCATGGCGCGCATCATCAGAGACGCAGAAGGGAATGTCGTGCATATCATAGAGGCTGATGACGAAACAGACGCGGTGTATGAGTCGACCGCATCTACTGCGCCGTTGAAACCGAAGAGAAAGGGCAAGGACAAGGACAAGAAAAAGGACGTTTCGACTCCCTGGGGCCAACCACTTAACGATTCAGATGACGACTTCGCCTTCGAGGACCCGACGGGGGGAACGCGACAGCTGACCAAAGAGGAACGCGCCGAACGTGATCGGGCCCTTCATCTTCCCGTTGCAGCGTTGTCAGCACCAACGGGATTGAACGCAGCAGCAGCAAAGAACGCGAGCGCCGCATCGCTCAACGCAGCGAAGCTGCATTCAGCGCTCGACTCACTCGCCGGGGAGCTTTCCGTTCCAGTACCAAGATTCACCTCCCTGCAGGAAGAAGAGTGGCTCAGGTCTCTGGTGGCTAAATATGGGGAGGATTATGAGGCGGCCAGCAAAGATCGGAAGCTCAATATTTGGCAGAGAACGCCAGGGGAGATCAAACGAGCGTGAGTGCCTGGCTTCGAAAACGCCTTCCATATGCTTATGTGCCTATCTCTGAATATTTCTCCTCAATTTCGACAGCGTGCGAAAGGCCGGCGGTAAACAGGCACTGTTCTTGGTCTGAGAGCTGCTCGCAAGGTGTATTTTAGTATTTTTCTGGACTTGACTGGGTGAACTGTGGCAGATGAAACTCTCAATCAAGTTGCACCAGTTTTGTATTTCTTTTTTTATCCGACCGTAACCTCTCATAAAAAAACGATATTAATTCGAACCTTAACTTGAAGTAAGTCCTTCGTCCTCGCAAAGCACGCCTATAAATTTGACCCCGCAACACCTGCGTCAAGTATCCATCACGATTGGAGATTGATCTGCCGGTATCTGCTCACCTGGATCGATCCAATCGCGACCTGTGGCCTGGAGCTAGAATGCGTCTTTTCACGTCCGTAGCGCTGCTCGGGGCCTTGCTGGGTGGCGTGCAGGCAACGCAGATCCCTTTCCTCCCCAAGGAAATCGCGCCGTCGCCAGTTTCCGACGATGCCACCTTCACGACACTGCAACACCCAGCCTTGCCTGCGCACACTTTGCGCATCACAGAAGTTGACCCGGATCTGTGTGAACGTAAGGCTCGCTCGTTCAGCGGCTACATGGACGTCGATGTAGATCGTTTGCGCGAGCATTACGAACGCCATGACCTATATTCCACTTCCATCTCCGAAACACATTTAGACCTCGACTTCGATGCGAAGCATGTCCCAGGCACTATCGAGCACTTCTACTTTTGGGCTTTCGATTCGCGCAACGATCCGAACAATGACCCGCACGTTCTCTGGCTGAACGGTGGGCCTGGATGCTCGAGCTTCACCGGCTTGCTGATGGAGTTGGGCCCTTGCAATGCTGCCGACTTTACCAAGAAAAACTACAGCGGCACAGAGTGGAACCCATTCAGCTTCAACTCGAATGCCACGATGATCTTCCTTGACCAGCCAACTGGTGTGGGTTTTAGCTACGTGTCATGGGCTGATCCCAAGCGCAAAGGCTCGCCGCCTGGCAGAGTCTACTCCACACCTGCTGCTGCTCGCGACGCATCTGCGTTCCTGCAGCTCCTGAATCTGCACGCACCCGACATTTTCCCCTCGGATTCCAATGCTGACATCTTCAAGAAAAGCGAAAGGCGCATCAAGGAGTTCCACATTGCTGGCGAGTCCTATGCTGGCAGGTATATCCCCTTGATTGCCGCCCAATTGCTGCGCGACAACGAGGAGGCCGCCCGGCATCCTGAGCGTGGTCTGGAGCCTGTCCCTCTCCGCTCTCTCTTGATTGGCAACGGAATCACCTCCCCCAAAGCCCAATACCCAGCTTACGTCACGTGGTCATGCACGAACGTTTCTGGTGCAGGACCATTCTTGGACAAGAAAACGTGCGATGACATGTATGACCAACTCCCTGCCTGTTCGCGTTTGACGGAAAAGTGTGCTAATAGCGACCCCAGTGGTACCGGACCGTACGACAACCTCGCATGCACCACCGCCGCTACTTTTTGCGAAGAGGCGCTGTCAAGCAAGTGGGACTTAACCAACACGAGTATATACGACTACGAGCACAAGTCAAACTACGACGAGGAAGGATGGGTCGCGCACTTGCTCAATCTCAAGTCCACCAAGGAAGCCCTTGGAGTTGACAAGAGGGGCCCTGGCGACGCGCATGACGGCGTGTTCATCGGATGCAGCGACGCAGTCGGCGAACGTTTCGCTACCACCGGCGACGGCGCGCGAGACTCGACGTGGGCCGTCAAAGAAGTCCTGAATCAAGGAATCCGTGTCTTGGCGTACTCGGGAGTGAGTGATCAAACATATTCTCTGGAAGGGAGATGTTTCGCTAAGGCTATCGATTTGCTTGTGGAATGAATTAGGGAAGGGACTTCATTTGCAACTGGGTAGGCAACGAGGAATGGACGAGCAACTTGGACTGGGTCGGTGGCGAGGAATTCAGGAAGCGTGAGCTCGAACCTTGGCATGAAGTTGCACCTGCTGGCTCCATGGCCAGTAAAGGAAGGCTGGCAGGCCATTTCCGCAACTACGCGAACTTGACTTTCGCAATCGTTGATGCGAGCGGTCACTTTGTCCCGCATGGTGAGTTCGAGAACAGCTTTCTAGCTTTCGAGGTGTTCTCGGGATATGCAGCTAACCATTTTTCTGCAGATCAACCAGTAGCGGCGCTCACGATGGTCAACCGCTGGCTGCACAGCCCCGCAAACGGCCGCCTCAGTGAAGCATAGATACAGAGCAAATAGACGTGCATTTTCCGGATGGAATAACGAGACCAAGCGAGAGGATCCCTGATCCCTCATTTGTATAGTAAGACGCTGCTGTCTTTATCAACCATACAAGTAGCGTTGAGCAAAGTCCGCCTGTATGCGAGATTACAAATAAGTGATGCCACTACCAAGGGGAGCACCCGCTGCCTCTGCTGTTCCATCCTTCCCCTTGAGTTCCTCTGCCTCAGAGTACAGGACCCGACCATACGACAAAATACAAGTGAAGAGCCTTCCGTGTCAGTCTTCCAAACTTCAGTGACGACTTCTGAGCCCATTGCAGGCCAACATAGTTGAGCGCTCAGCACGAGGGCTTAAGTAGACCCACGATGGTCGCAGCATGGCCGACATACTAGAGCATTTTGTGTCATCCTCCCATCGCGCACGGCTTTAAGGCTCCGGGCAGGCTCCATTGGGAAGTCTCCGAAACTGTAGCGAACGTACACGTCTGCAATGGGAGAGGCATTCCTTATGTAGCTGTTTGGAGAATGGCAAAGATAGGGTGAATGAACTGGGACTTTCTTACGCAACCTTGTGGTCCCAAGATTCTGACTTGCATACACTGTCACCTTCAGCATACCTCTGATCGAAGAGTTCTTACGTCATGGATTTGCCGGTCGTCGCATTGTGCGGCACTGGATGGTTGTTGCAGTGTCTTGAGGCCTGTGGCGCAACAAGACGTCTCAGTGAGCCATCCGGACTCATCAAGTGGCTTTGGACTTTAACAATGCATCAAAGTGAGGGTCGATCCAGGACTGTAGCGAGTGAAGAGGCGAGTTAGCTGCTATCGCGCGATCTAAGGTTCTGTCAGAAGGGATTTGCAGTCCACCTGTCGGTTCCTTTTGTTCCGACGACCTCGTTCACCTGTTCGAAGTCGGAGTGTTTGCTAGCCAGATGCTCCGTGTAGGCTCCTTCGCCGTTGACGATGTTTCTCACGCTGTCCCCATATGTACAGCTATAACTCAGCGGATGTCATTGAGACTGGAAGGGAAAGCGTGGATTGGGAATTCACCGTCATATATCATGCTATGGAGCAACCCACCGTAAGCTGGGAAAATGTAGTCCCCTGTCGAAGTACGAATGTATAAGTCGTCCTCATTGTCGCCATGGTTGAGCTGGGGCACGGGCACTTTCCCATCGGGCCGTTGACGTTGTAAAAAGATGTGACTATGAAAGATTGCGTCCTGTAGGCCACCCGTAGTCAGACGACAAGAGTTATACGTTCTAGGAGATCCGAAAGAGTCAGTTGGGGAAATGCTGTCTGAACGACAACGCCGTGCCTTTCGCACCGTCCCAAAACGTGTTTAACAGCAGTTGCCACGAAGGGATATCAGCCAGATGATAAATGCTCACGCTGCGAGCGTCAGACACCTGTCCAGCCCCGTTCACGGAATTGACTAAAGCGAATAAGTCTGTGCGGCAGACGAAGGTGGTGTGATTACTTGCGATTCGTGGCAGTTCCAAATGGCGTCCGTCATGCTCACGCATCCCCAAGGAATCAAGTTAAGCAGGTTCTATTCCGGATATAGATTATGAAGTGCTCGTTTAAAATCATGCAGCATTACAAGGAATCAGCCTCACTATCAAAGTGTCACATCCAAGTAACCAGTTTTACCTTGTGGTGACGCTGCACGACATTTACAAAGATCAGTTCAACACTCTTCCAATCTGGAAGCTCGTAGTGAACAGCCTGACACATGCGGCCCCTTGCAATGGTTGTAAGCGTACCACGGAAAGGTGCTGGGCCAGGTGGACCTGTAGGAGATTTTCCTGGAGCCGACTTGATGCTCAAGTTCATTTTGGCAAGTCTAGGATGTAGTATTGAGGTAGATGAGGAAGCCGCGGCAGTTGAAAAGCGCATTTGCAAAATAAAGAGGTAAGCAGGCCACAGTTTGAAGAGGGAGCAATGCGATTTGCACATATATGCCCGTCACAAGCAGAAGACCAACGATGTCGATTTCCTCACGGGAGGTACACCTTTCATGTCCGTCCACAGATCAATCCAGCGAGCATCTGTGTTACGCGTCTCTTGTGACAATGTATTTGTTGCCTTCAGAGGAGCGCAGCAACACGCTCGCTTTCGAATTCCTTTTCATGGCAAAGCAAATGGCAACTGTCCACGTGCTTTTTGCAATATTGGAATTCTTCCAAGGTTAGTCCTTCCAGGTCGTTTTTGACGGTGAAGAAAGCCAAAGTGGAACGTGCTCCATCCGGATTGCGGACCGGCCGACCCCAGCAGCTCACCTTCGAAAAAGCAAGGTGAAATTGCGGTCGAAGCGAGTTATGAATCGATGGCTTCGGATGGGATGGACAGAGCAGCGCACCTCCCAGCAACCAGTGAGCGACAATGAACCATGGGCTACCTGGATAATGCTACGGCCGTCTCGTGCTCTTTTATCATTACTCTTCACTTCCAAGCTGTCTGCGTCAAAGTCATCATCTCCTTAGTTGCAACTCCAGATTCCTAAGTCTCAGATTATAGGGACTGAGGATTGCGGTTCCTCATTGGAGCGCCAGAGGATTTGATTGGTCGGTGGTAATCTAACCTATTACTTGTATCGATTCCCTACTACCGCCGGAGTACCTGCAACGCCTGCCATATCCCCAATCTCAGGCTCGTTTGCAAAAGCTTACTTCGATGCTGCCCACGTCCGAAAAGTTCGTCATGGTAACCGGCGGGTCAGCGATGATATCCATGCAATGCCACCCTCGCTCATCGCGAAAAGCTACAACGTCCGCACAACATCTCGTTCTCTTGAGAAGAATGACTCAATCATCCCTATATTGAAGGCAGTGCGCGCAGAGCGCCGCTGTCCAGTGATGTTCTTCCACGTCTCGATTTCGTCGAGGCGGACTTGCTTAGTGACAATCCCTGGGATAAGGCCGTGGAAGGCAGCGAGAATGTGATGCATGTCGCACCGCCTTTTCGAGCATCAGCATCACACTACGTAGATGAACTGATCAAGCCGGCCAAAGAGGGTACGGTCCGCGTCTTGCAAGCCATCCCCAGATCTGAGGCAGCGGGCAGGAATAACATGACCCAAGTCGTCCTCATGTCTTCCATTGTGGCTGTCCGCGATGGGTGGCCGAACCTCAAGGACAATGTCTGCACCGAAGCGGACTAAATAAGGGTCGAAGAGCCAAGCGTCACGGCTTACCACAAAAGCACGACGCTTACCCAGCGTGCGGCATGGGAGTGGTATCAGGAAGGAGACAAGGCAGGCATCGAGCTTGTCACCGTGAACCCTGGAGGTAAATCAGGCTTCGCTTCGCCGTAGCGCTTGCTTATGGACGAGGGCTTGGCGAATGTTGCATGTTGTGCACGTCCTAGTTGTGTTTGGCTTGCCACTTCAAATGGCCCAAGAGTTGATGTTGAAGAGCATCATCAAGCGGGTGCCAAATGGCACGATGCCTGCAGTTCCCAGTATTATGTTCTGCATCGTCAACGCCCGAGACGTAGCTGACCTGCGCCTGCTCGCCATGACCTCCCCGCAAGCTGCCGGTCAGGGGTACTTGTGCGTGACCGGCAACCCGCTTAGGCTTCTCGCGATTGCGATCGCAGACATCCCTCGCAACCGCCTCTAGAATGACGCAAACGAGCATGTTCGCAACAATGGGGTTAAGGCTCCCGCCAGACAGCTTCCAGGTTGGCTCTCCTACACCGCCGCGATGGTTATCCCGCGTCTAAAGCCAATTAAGTCTGAAATCGGCAATGACTACAAAATATCAAATGATAAGGCAAAGAGCGAGCTTCGGTGGGATTTAAGAGCCGAAGAAAGGATCATGAGCACGGCCAGAACGCTCATTAAAGTAAAGGTCGTCTAGCTCGGCAATGGATAGTTTCGTCTACGTGTTGCGCTTCCTCGCCGCGTATTGTTGTTTCATTTCATTATCCACCATCGTCGTTACAACGGATATGCGACACACTTCACAAGTCCTGCTGTGCGAGAGAATCAGGCGTGGTATAAAACCTCGAGCTTGGAGAGGCTCACCCATGAGCAGGTCGGGGAAAGAGTGCAGGTGAGATCAAAATGCGCCTTTTCGGGAGCGCTTGCCCAAGCCCATCGCATGTTCGCCATTTCCTGTTGTTGCATTCGCTGCCACATCGGCGTCATGCGGAAAGGGAGACAATGCAGAAGGACCCGGCGAGCCACTAGGGATCCTCGCTCTTCGCCGGCGTGTTGTGAGAGAAAGGTTAGAACGATGAGGCTTGCCGTCTTCTCCGCCGTCGTTGCCGCCGCCACCGCCGTTGTGCGCGGACCCAGAAGCTGCACCACTGCGACTGCCGTTGTCATTGTTGTTGCTGCTGCTGCCCCTCTCGACCCGCTCGATCGCGCGCTTCGCAGGCGTCTGCGGGACAGGTGTCGTGCGCAGCCGGGCACCAGCGCCCTTGGACCTCGCGGGCATAGGCTTGGCGCTCGAGCCGCCACCGCTGCTGCCGCTTTTGTGCTTCTTTGCCAGAGCAGACGAGAATGCATACGAGGGCAAATGTGACGCATTCGGCTTGCCGCCTGCTGCACCGCCGCGGCTGTGCAGGAACGAAGAGGAGGAGGATGCATTCACGCTGGCACCATAGTCGGACGCGGTGCTGGCCCCGAAGTTGCGGCGTGCCCAGACATTGACAAAAAGGATGCGCTTGAGGCGGCGATTGTAGAAGAATGCGTACGTCGCCCATAACACGCCTCCGACACCGGAATCGTACGCAGCATCGTCGCCGCTGTCCTCATCGTAGAACTCGTCATTGACGGCTCGCTCGCTGGGGATGCGCTCCACGTCGTAGTCCATCGGTTCATCGCTTACGCCGCCTGCCGTCTGTGCTTGACGATTGGTCGGAAGCGAGTACTGGGGCAGTGCCGCTGTGGATGCTGCTGTTCGGCCGCCCTGGTAGAATTTGTCATCCTTGCGCACGCCGGACCCGCCGATGGCAAAGTAGTCTCTGCGGATCGAGACTGGTGTGCGTGGCCTGTCATCGTATGCGGCGTTACTGGAGCGCGAGCTGGCGGTTTCTGCGCGCCGGAAGCCTCCTTGGTAGTCTTCGTCGAAAATCGGTCCCTCGTCATCGTCGTCGTCATGATTCGCACCGGCCCTGTTCTCTTCATCACTCATATCTTCCTCCTCCTCCGCAGAATCTCCACCGCCGCTGGCTCTCGGCGTGGTTTCACGCGTGTCGAAGCCGCCTATCCGTCTGCGGGCATCGCCGATGCCGATGCCACCTAGACGACCCGCACGCGCCGAGCGCTGCGCGATGCCATCGTGATCCTCGCCATCGCTCCAGTACTCTTCGTCAAAGTCGCCAATGAGGCCAGCATCGGGGTCGTCTTCGTCGTCGTCCGGCTCGCCGGACGCGTGCGGATCGGACTCGAGGTCTGGGTGGAAGGTAAACACGTCGCACTCGCCGACGGCCATGATGTCGTCGAGCACGGAGGAGAGGGCGGGGTGCTGTGCTGCGGCTGCGGCTGTTGATGCCGAAATGGAGGAGTATGCGCCGGAGAACTTGGCAATCGCTGCTGCTGCCCCTGCGCCCCCTCCGATCGGGCTGGTCGAGTGCACGTAAGACCCAGCTCCTGTACCGACGCCAGCTTCACCAAAGCTTGACGCATTACCGCCGCCAGCACTGCCAACACCGAGGTGCTGCACGCTGGAGAAGCTCGACAAGCCACCACGCTCGCCAGCTCCTCGCATACCACCAGCTGCAGCTGCGTAGCCACCGTCTGGCAAGCTGCTGAAACTGCGGGGCGTGCCGCTGCCGCCGCGGAGGTTGAGCAAGGTGGTGCTGAGGGAGTTGAGCACAGCGGCGGGGTTCTCCTCACGGCGAAAGTCGGCTGGGTTGATTAGGCTGAAATCGTGGTCGGGGAACGCGGCGTTGAGCGCAGTGATGAGCAGGAAGAGCTTCTTGCGCGCCTGTGGGTCGTTTAAACGCCCGAAAGGGGAGTCGAGCGGCGCGAAGGCGCCGGTAAACTGGGTGCGCGGGTCCTCCAAGGAAGTGGATACGGGCCCGTGGTGTTCGTGGTTTGAGCTGTGCGCATCGTTGCTGTTGCTGCTGCTGCTGCTATGGGCTGCGGCGGAGCTGGCGGAGGAGACGCTTGAGAATGACGCGGCATTCATCATTGTATGCGGATTGGTACTATTGCTGTTGCTGCTGCTGGAGGAGTAGGAGCTGGCGCTGGTGTCGGGGTAGTAGAGCTGCTGCCGTGCCATGTACGCATCTTCGAGCTCCTTCATCAGCTTGCGCTCCTTGGAGACGGCCTTGCATGAGTAGGCCTCGAGGCGCGTAAATACGCGGCACTCGGCCGACTCGAAGGTGAGTGCACGCGAGAGCAGTTCGAGCTCCGGGTAATCGAGGTACTTCATCGTGGATGAAGATGTGTTCCCGCGTGTGCGTTGAGTCGATTTGCCTCGGAGGCGGCTACTATGCGCGCGCTGTCCAGATAGGCCTGGTGGAAGCACACAGAATTTACCCTGTCTGAGCAGAAGAGGACATAGGCACAGGCTGCCAAGGTCAGCATCGCGTCTAGCATTACAGTCGACACCGTCCTCCGCAGCAGCACCTACAGTCAGCACAGCACTACGTCGACGCTATCCGTGAAGTTGGGATTTGTGAGGCGGGGGAGAACGGGGACGATCAATTCGAGCAGTGGCTATGCGATGGTGTATAGCGGCCCATGCGCAGCGCTTGATGCTGGATGGATGGAATAATGCAGATCCGAGCTGCGGAGAGGGGGGGAGGGGAATCACGTCGCGTCACGCGTGTTAGCTCTGTGTGCTGTGTGGATGGCGGCTGCGCCCGTCGCTCGACGCCGTCGTGCAGCGGGTGATGAAGGAAGAGCGATGCATCCGCACCTTTACATATCCGCACGATTTGTTGATCCTATCGGGAGCATGCTCGTCGCCTCGACCGTGGTAACACACAATGGGCGTTGTATGCGGGGTAAGACTTGAACGTGCGTGCTGGGTCCAAACGCGCAGGCGGGGCGTGTTGCAATTAGATTAGGGTTGCTGCCTAACCCTCTCTTCTCCAGTGCTGCAGAGAAATGAAAGCTTCTTTCAGCTGTGCGCCGGCGCGACCACATGGGAGATTATTATACATTACATACGCTGGACAGGGCGTTGTTCTTCTCCCACACACATCGCACCCCCTCCATCCTGATCGCGCCCTGTCGCCGCGTTGCAGCAGACCAGAAGGAAGCATCCGTACCGCAGCTGCTGCGGAGATCCAGCCTCTCTCTTTCTCGACAGACACGCGCGTTCTTTCACCCGCCATGCCTCGCGGTCGCAAGTCAGCCAGCTCCGCTGCCGCCACGCCCTCCGGACGCGCTCGCAGCAACTCGGTCGCGTCCAACGCGTCCGTCACGTCCAACCGGTCCCGTAGCAATGCCGCAGCAGCACGTAAATCAGCAGCATCGGCATCAACAACAACGGTAGCAGCGGCGGCAGCTGACGACGCATCGCCCGACAGAGACCCGCCCTTGCCAGAGGAGCGCAACCCTGTTCTCCCCGACGCGCACGTCCCCGTCAAGCTGCAGATCATTCAGAGAGACGCAAGGTGCGCGCCCATCCCTGTCTGCAAGCTTGTGCTGGTTGTTGATGGAAGGAAAGCCGGCGGCTTAAAGCTGGACCCAAATGCTGACAAATGCCCGATCACTCGTCGCGTCTTTGTGTTATATATCGCAGTGACGCACCCAACAATGTCGCCTCCTCCACACCAAAGGAGATCATCATCGGCCGTGTCAAGTTGCCGACGGTCAACGGAGCGACGCACGGCTTTTTGCTGAAACGGTCAGTGGGCGCTACGCCGACGGAAAATGTCACGTGCAAGCTTGTGCTGTCCAAACAGATAGTGTTGTATCCTGACCCTTTCGCTCCGAATAATCTGGCTCTACCTTTTCTTTTTATTTGCGTTGTCCCAAAGATTCGACACGGACGCCGTCGCCGCGTCGGCCATGTTCAAGCTCGCGTTCCCGTACGCCACGCTCGAGGCCGAGGAGAAGGAGATGTCCTACCTGGACAAGAAGTTCGACTGCAAGTCCGCCAACGGCGGCACCAAAACAGAGCTCGTCGCGGTCCCCCAGTTTTCTGAGGACGGCAAGCGCAAGCCGGGTCGCGCGCGGAAGGAGTTGCGCACGTTCTTGCCCGAGGGTAGCACCGGCGTCGTGCTCATGGGCACATGGGTCCCCGCTGCGGACGCGGCCAAGCTTGCGCAAGAGTACGGGCTCGAGCGCTTCGCCCAGCCGCTCATCGATGCCAGGGCCGCCCACTTCCACGGCAAGCCGTACTTCGTCGACGACAAGGGTGTTCCTATCGCCCAGGCCAACGGATCCCCGCTCGAGCCCGCACAGCTTGACGCGCTTCGCCATGGCCTCCCGTTGCCCCCGCCATCGATCAAGAGCACCCCCGCTGGGCCGACGACGCCGCACGTGTCCAAGGTCATCACGGGCAGCGTCAACGGCACCGCAGGCGCGACGACGACCACGCCCAGCGGCAAGCGCGCCCGCGTCGACAGCAGCATCGAAGTGGATCCTACGACGGGCTCCCCGCGCATGTCGACGACGGCAACGGACCTGATCCAACACGCCGACGGCAGCCGGACCGTGCTGACGACCAAGCACAACGTGGAGCTCAGCGGAAGGACCGAGGCGGAGATCCAGGAAGACATTGCCAGGTCCAAGGCGATCGCCAAGCAGGCCCAGCAAGACGCTGCCGCCTCCGCGTCGACGTCGAGTGGCGGCAGGAAGCGCCGTGCTGTCGCAGAGCCCTCAACCGGCGTGGACCCCCTGGTAGACCAGGGGGAGGAGGGGGAGGACTACACAGATGACGCGGCGTCGGCAGGCGCCGCACGGCGGGGGGCCAACGTTGTGCGCAGGACCATCCGGCGAGGTACGCGCGTCGCGCGCAGGCGCCCCATCGCCGCATCTGCCACAGCGCTCGGCGTCGCAGGCGCTGCCGCCGCGGCCGCCACTGCGCTGCTCAACCCGCAAAGCCTCGATCTCGCCGTACAGGCAGTCCAGGCTGGCGTCGCGAATCTGCAGGGATGGCTGTTTTGAGGTGTCGCACCACCAGCCAGGCAACCAGCAAGCCAGTCAGAAGCCTCGCTCCGCTTCCCCCCACCGCAGGGTGCAACAAATTTCTCAGTATCCAGGCCCTTTAGGCACCCCAATCTACGTCACATCCCTAAAGGCTGCATGCTAGCTCGACAACCCCGCTGAGCCACGACCAGAGCCGTGTGCCTCACACACTCTTTCGACTCCGCTCCTTCTACACTAGGTCTTGCCCGTCCCTCTTTCATTTCCTTTCGCTTCCGCTCAATTCCTTTCTGCATTTTCGGGTCTTGCAACTTCTCACTTCGGCCGCTACATGGGTTTCTCTTCCTTTTCTCTTCATCTCTTCGATATCGGTTTCCAACACCCTTGTAAGATTGAGCGCCCACGTTCGATTCTCCGAACGCATGTAAACAGGATGAATCTGCGAATCGGAATACCATGTTTGTTTGTGATATTGAAGTGACCGCCTGCCTGCCATGTCCACTCCTCGCCATTCTTGTCGGAACTTTGCGTTTGGTACGTATAATGAGAGGCACAAGTAGAACACGAAATGGCATTGCACAGTGACAGACCGAATCGTAGAATACAAGCGGTTGTGGTGTGATATCAAGGCAAGCACGCGGCTGAGACAGCCTAAGCGCGCCCTGCAGTGAATAACAGAAGCGGCTCCGTCAAAGGGGAACAAGGGAAAAAATTGGCGCGTGCATTCGTGCCTCGATGAGGGCAGAGAACAGCAAAATGCGGCGCACGAGCAACGCATGGCATAACATCCGATGCGAGTTGAGACACGACTGGCACGGTAATTGCCTGAACGCGTGGCTTGTGTATGCGTTGGAAGTGTCGGATGGTGATGTCGTCGCCGCCGTAGTCTCGTCGTTGTGCAAATGGACGCAGCCGCTCCTCCCTTGCCGCTTTCGAAAGGTGCAGGACAGCGAGAGCGAAAGGCGAGAAGACACAGAAGGCTCCCCAGAGGCTAACCACATGTCGGCGGCAGCACTCCAAGAGTAGTCACGCGTTGAGTTTGCCCTTCTCTCCCGACCATCACCACAAGGGCAATAGCGGGGGTCAAGAGAAGATTAGATGGCCGTCGTCAATTGCACTTAAGCCTCGCGCCTTGCTTTACCCTACTCGCGAACGAGAAAAAAGCAAAGCGCTCGGCATCCTCCCCGGCTCCAAGCGCACGGTGCAACTCCTCCTCGCGAGCCCCAGGTGGGAGACGCGAAGGAGGCGCCCTGCCGTAGCAATTGCAACTTGTAACGCTGCCAGCCGCACATTTCTCTAGATGAAAAACGGTGCGAAGCCGGTGAATCCGAATCACAGTCTCGTCGCCTAATTCCATCGTAATCAGTCCACAAAACCATGCCGCCACCAAAAGGTGGATCATCAAACGTACTGTCTCGAGCTTCTCCAAAGGAGAAGTCCTGAAGCAACAAGGCGCGAGGCAGGACGTACGCGTAAGACTGAGCTCTCAGTCCCGTCCTTGTAGGCCTTCCAGCGCAAACCAAGTCCTCTCCGACGACTCGACCCGTATTGACACTGTGACGCGCACTTCCGCCACCTTGGAAAGTGCTGGCATCTTCTTCCCGGAAAAGGCAATGTAGTTCGGCTTGATGCTGTCCCAATCTCTTGTGAGGCTCGACGGGTATGACTGCGCTGAAACCAAAACATGTGGAGATGCTCGGCAGCAAAGAAGGCCCCGCTCCTCGGAGAGAAGCAAGCAGAAAAGGGGAGCTTTAGGAAAAGTCTCATCCATTCGTCAGCATCTCCAAGCAGCAAAACTACCAATCCACCTGCTCCTAAATCAACGCTTGAGACATTCGCAAACCCTTCATATCGCTCTTCCAAAGGAAGAGGAGAAAAAAGGCGGTGCCCTGACCATTTACGCAAGCTCAGCCACTCCCACCATAAGTGCAACTCGTATCATCCAAGAAACAGCCCAAATAACCTTGACTGACGCCCAGCCAACTTTAGCATAGCGACCAGCGCACGACCGCAAAACCTCTCCCGTGCCCCTGATCCTTACGGAGTGCAACAAGGGTGGTGTCTTCGGTACTCGGGTCTGCTGTTCAGGTGCTAGCGATGCTTTTGCAAGCACAGGTGGTCTTTTGGTGGCTTACGCCTCGAGGGAGCAAGGATACTGCATGGTGGCTGTCTCCTTTGCCGACTCGTGAGAGTTGGCGCGGAGAACTAGTTGCGATGAGAGAAGCAAACGAGCTCGAAAAGGTGGGCTGTCCCTAGCGCGAAGGGAAGAGGCAGAGGCTCGGAAAGGTGCTTGTTGCTTGGATGCGAGATGAATGTCGTCCTCAATCTGTTCCTGGTCTCCCACCCTTCACCTCTCACTGTTGCTCGAACCTGCTCACGTAATATCCAAGCGAGAGCAAGGATATGGTTGGCGAGTCAACCGCTGAGCCCACTTTTCGAGAGGAGCCCTGGAATGGGCCTTTCATTTCTTGTGCGCATCAGAAGCCATAGGCTTGCGCCCTCCTCCCTCATCACTGATCCTTTGCTTCGCAGCGGAAGGAAAAGGACAAGGGAATCGCCCAGCTAGAGCAGCTACATGCAATCACTGTCAGGAAGAAGCGCGTGACGTCCAGAAACGATTTGGAGCCGTGCAAGTGTAAGTCCCCTCTTTCATCCCTGGGGAAGAAAGAAGGGCGGAGAGGAAGGTTCTGCTCCTGCAGTAAGTCCATCTGACTCCAAGCACAATGCACGAGGGCATCGTGCTCAGAACAGCAAAGTGTGAATCGAGAATGACTGGGACCAGGCAGTGATGTCTAGTAGGAAACAGCGCCACGCAACCCACTCTCAAGAAGAGAGTGAGAGGTGTAAAAGCCAGGGTAAAAGAGGAGTACGCGGACCTTCCCACTTGCTGCAGTACCCCATTCTCTAGAGAGAATGGGAGCGAGGCGAGTAAAGACGACCTTTGGCTGGAGAGCCACTTGTCTCAAGCAAGTCGGCTCTGTATCCTGCTTGATGTACTCACGACAGAGGAGAGGAGAACGCTGCGCCCGGAAAGCTGGAGTGTTACTGCGTTGCTGCTATTGGTGACGAGCCAGCAGAGGCTAACTGATTGGGATCAAGCGCCTGCCCTTCCACGGACCTGATGCGCAGCCAGGCGACTGAAAAAAAAGAGATGACGAGCTGCCAGCTTCCCCCCCAGTCTGCTCGCCGGAGTGGAAGGACCAGATATGTACCAAGCATTCAGCCCTTGGAGAGGGAGAAGGCTTCTTGTGCAGCGGTCATCCGGCAGAGCTCACTGAGCGTGAAGGTGAGGCGTATCTCTTATCGCTTCAAAGAAGGAAGGTGCTCATGCCAGTAGAGGCAACAATGGTGTGTATCAACGAAAGAACATCCAGAGTCGAGTCAGCTACAAGCTGCGGGCGGTTGACAAGCGATGAGGAAATGAAGAGAAAAATAGAAAGAACATTTGTTCCGAGTTCCATGTTCCGAGTTCCATAGCCTGCAAGCGGGACACACAGCACATCGTAGTCGGGTCGGCCTTTGGAAAATGGCAAGTACGTCACTTGCAGCATCGTGACATCGCACCACTATAATCATCACGTCGATTACGAAAGGAGGGCCATTTGATTCCTCGTTTCTTCGAAAGCAAGACTGCTCGCCAAAGGTGCAGCAACCAGGACCTATTCTGGCTTGAAAAGGAAGAGACCACGAAACATTTCGATCCATATTTGTCAAGGACGACTTTGCGTGGGGATCGCCGTTGATCCTTTCATCCGAACTGCTGGGGCACAGGGTCTCCAATCCATCTCAACAACAGCGTTCTCTGAGCGCAACCGACTGTTACCACATTGCCACCGCATAAATACACATAAGCAGAGCTTCTCGCATCGCAGCATGGGAAAATTCAGCATCACCGACTTGCCCGACCTGAGCGGGAAGGTGGCAATCGTGACAGGGGGTACCAATGGTCTCGGTGAGATCAGCGTGCGCAACCTCGCGCTCAAGGGCGCCAAGGTCTACTTTACCGCACGCAGCGAGTCGAAGGCGCGCGCAACGATCGAACGGGCCCAGGCGAATTTCGATACCCTCAAAAGCAAGGCGAACAAGGAAGGTGTCACAGTCAAAGGCGAAGAGCTTGACCTGCGCATTTTGCAATGCGACTTAACCGACATGTCGACAGTGCAGGCTGCAGCGCAAGATTTCCTCAGCAAAGAAGAGCGCCTCGACATTCTCATGAACAATGCCGCCGTTTGCGCCCTCGACCACGAGCTGACTAAAGATGGCGTCGAGATTCAAAATGGGACCAACCTCATTTCTCATTACTTCCTCGTCATGCTGCTGCTGCCGATCATGATTAAGACATCCAAGCTGCCCGAGTACACGGCAGTCACGCCAGAAATGGGCGCGAGGAGGACGGTGCGCATCGTCAACATGTCATCGCTTGGGCATAAGATGATCGCTCCTCGACAAAACTGGCGAACACTAGCCGACGTCAATGATGGCTTTGAGGACCAGAAGTTCGGCGCTTTCAAGCGCTATGGCATGTCCAAGCTCGCGTGCATCGTCTTTACGCGCGAGCTCGCGCGACTTCTGCGAGACCAGGCACACGAAGACGGTGTCAGCGTAGTATGTGTCGATCCAGGGCAAAGTCGAACTGGGCTGCTCAACGGCCCGCTGCAGCAGTACGGCTTCCTGTTCAAGATCTACATCGCCTTCTCATCACCCACTTGGATCCCTGCCGAGCAGGCCGTCGAGACGCAGCTCTTTGCAGCTTGCTCGCCGCAGGTCGACCAGCGAGCGCTGAACGGAGCGTACATCCGCGGCAATGGCAAAGAGAGCCCTATGAGTGATGCTGCGGCTGACAAGGATGGGCACCTGGGCAAAGAGGTCATGCAGTTCTGCAAGAACTTTGTCAAGGAAAAGTTCGCACTGGATGTCGATCATCAGCTTGGACTGTCCAACCCAGAGGCAGCGAAAGTGAAGCAGAACGATACCAAGGAGGCAGCAGCACCGACGCAGGAGACAGCACAGCCTGTCAGTCCGGCCGCCTGAGAACTTTTTTGACACCTATGGCAAGCGGCAGAGAACGGATCTTGTCCTGACACCAGCGCAGCGACCAACCATTTTACGTCTGGCGTTTATCCCTGACGAGCGACTCATTTTCGCGATGTATTGTGACAAACGGCTTGGAAGCAAGAAACGTGAAAAATGCGATGATGATACCCACACCAATCACATCATGTATTTTGCGTTGCGTCCTTGTGGAACGTCAAACCAAATCATCCGAGCCTGCTTTCCGGCGTGCGGCATAGAACTTTGGTAGGAAGCATGGTGCTTCCACCTCTCCTTGCTCGATCTTGTCTAGTAGTCTGATCATCTGCAGGCAATGAAAAGCGTGACAAAGCATCAGTAAATGCTGTGCGCGCACAACATTGCCAGCTGAGGCGTGATGCCGAACACGCACATCATAGTTGATACCAGCAGAGACAACTGAGTCGCCCTTGTACTCTGGGTGACTGCGCACAAATTTGCGGATCCACGTAGCAGTCGTCATCAGCGAGCCATTTGCGCGTGCACCAACGAGGTCAAGGTATAGGTTCATCTCGCAGCGGGTTTCGACATCGATGTTGAGCGAGTCGAGGTAGTTATAGATAAGGCCTAGCAGGCCGGGGAAGTGTTCACCCTGATCACCGGAGAGGACGAAAGCACAGAGGTGAACAGGCTGCCAAAAGAGGTAGGCCTTACAAATGGATTGAGCACGTACCTTGCCATTTATAAGCTCATCCATTGTAAATTCATCATACTCGTCCTCCACCGGTCCAAGCTCCGGACTCGGCGCCCGGCTTGATCTGCCCGACCTGTGTCCAGTCCCTGTCCCGGAAGCGCCTGCCGTCGCATGCGCGCTGTTGTGCCCATTGACGAGCACGCTCAGCCGCACGTTGTTTGCCTCGGCGGAGCCGTCAAACTCAAACATCCCGCGCTTCGGGCTCGCCGCGCCGGAAGCGCCGACAGACTGGGAGCGCGGTGAAGCGGCACCGGAGCTCGCGCGCGAACGCATGCCCCATCCTCCCGCAGGGTTGACGTTGCCGTGCCGTCGCCGTTGCCGGAAGACCTCTTTACGGAAGTAGAACTTTTGCGTGTGCACGGCGTCGCGAATGTGCGCGCGCTTCATGTTCTCGTCAACCTGCAGGCGAAGAAAAAGGTCGGTTCATCAGCGTGCCCCCATTCAGACCGAAGTTTGGCCGAACGCACCTTTGAAATCGGAATGTAGAAGTTGAGGCCAAAGCTGAGGATGGCGCGGGTGAGGAGAACAACAAAGATACTGAACGCAGCGTTCTCAAAGTCGGTGACCTGCACTTCCATGCTCCTGAATTCGACCCTCCATCCAATCTGGCCGCCAGGAGGAGGAGGCTTGAAGCGCATCGTCTGCCAGTTGGTGGACTGAATGTTCTCGAAATGATCCATGCTCGTCTCATCATTAAGGTCAACCATCTCACTAAAGATGACGAGAGGGTCGCGGATGAAAAGATGAGCCAAGTGGTTGGCGAGGAGCTCGTCAATGCCTTCTCCTTGCTCCATCAACAAACGCTTGATGTCCTCGTCGATCGGTAGAGGGTTGTCATTGTACTCGGACCGATTGGCGGGGTCCTGCGACAGGTATGAATCCACGCTGTCATACCGACTCTTGGGCATGACCATCCGACTGTCTTTGAGCGGCGCCAGCCCCCGTTCTTCCTTTGTCCGATCGTCGACGGCAGAAGAAATGACGTCCCACCTGCAGTCGACATCAGCAAGATAACCTCTGTACGCTGGGCTTGCGGCCGTGAGCGCGAGCATGAGGGGGCCAACAGGAATGAGCTGGTCATAGACTGTACGCGCTTCTTGTACGCTGCATGCTTGGAAAGTGACTTGCAGGCAGCAGCAGCCCATGCCAAAGCCCATGGCATCCATGTAAATGTGATCTGCTTTTGCTGCGCCTTCTTTCGCCTCCTTGTCACCTGGGAAGATATCGCGGTCCCATGGAATGGTCGGGTCGATGAATGGCTTAGGTGTGTTAATGTCGTGGAAGATGGGCATGTTGATAGCCACTTTTTCCCCCCGTCGTTTTCGGATGTTAGCGGTGAGAGTGGGGAAGCGTACATGCGGATTGATCACCTCATCCGGCAAGAAGAGCGACTGGCTCGCTCGCCCATGTGGTTCATAGTGCGGTTCTGTGAACGGCACATCATTGGTGCCCAGCCGCGGGAAGCTTGTGATGGTGATTGGCAGCTCATTCGGCTTGAGATGCTTCCGAGCAATCTTTCGCCGCGCGCGCATGTTCTGTTCCACTTGTCGTAGCTCCTTGGGGGATGCACCGTACGGGCTGCCAGGCGTGCTTTCGAGCATGAATCTACCATATTCTGGGTGGAAGGTGGGAATGTCCAGAGCAGTACCTTCGCCTACTCCCTCCGCCGCCTCGCGGTGACTGTCGGAGAGCACTTGCAAGATCTCAGCCTGTCGTAGACTGAGCTTTGCATTGCGACCCTCGTCATCCAATGAAACGACAATGTACTCGATCTCGTCGCCCCACAGCAGTTTGTCGCCATGTCGGTCTTTGATTGCGCGCCAGAGATTGAGGAATTGAAGAATACCATGGTGACGAATGTGCCCTGCCAGCGGCTTTGCGTCCCTCCAGTTGAGAGGCGTGCCAAGTGAGAGCAGACCCATGATGGTAGATTTTGAGCAGCCTTCCTTCTCCTCAGCTGACAAGCCTGGAAGACCTCTATTGCGCTATCAGGGGAGAGGAAACGGAGGTGCGCGGCACTTGAAATAGCAGACTCAACGCAGCCGATCGCTCCTCAGACTCAAGCTTCTACTGGGCTGGGCGAAGGTTTTCTGCTACAGAGCGTCGAAGCTGCCGAGTACTTAAGATGCGTCGTCTGACGTTGTCGCTACCTGCAAATTCGTCTCAGCGGGTTCCGTACCCCGCCACGAGGCACAAGGCGAACGACCTATCGCGCTCTACTGTAGCTGAGAAGCTGGTCTACCGGGTCGCTGCCACCAAGCTGCTAGAGACGGATTGGCGATACATGAGAGCTGCCCCCAGGCCTTGGTCATCACACGTTTGCCCACTTGATAGCCCCCATCGATAAGCCGACCAATAAGAAAAAAAACCTGGTGTGATCGGATATACCATTCATCATTCGCTCCCACCACCAAAAGGCGGAATAAGACTCTCGTCGGCAGACGCCCGGATGTTAGCGGCGAAAGCGTTTTGCTGGCTCTGGACTCATTCCTCGGTTCCTCTCATCTTTCGCCCTGTAGCTACCTCCCCTTGATCTTCCTTTTCGGACTTGAGATATCTCAAGCAAATGCTCACAACAATAGGCGCCTTTGGCGCACGTGTACCCTTTTGGGGCGTATGCAAGTCCGCTCATGTACAGCACCGCAAGTACGAGTGTACGAGTCTACGATATGAGCAATGGATCCTCGGTGTTCATGACTCTGACTCTTGCGGTCCCTCGTCTTCGGTGACTAGGGTCTCGGACTCCCATGCGTGCTTGCCGATACTTGAAGGCAAGAAACAGACGTAGCTGCACGCGCGAGGTTCCATGCTGTTTTCTAAGTACGTCGGAGGCTATGCGCCGTGATGCCAAGGTTGGGCAATCAGAGAGCACCCTCAAACATGGGCAAAAACCCAGCTTGGTGCACAATGCTACACCTCTTCGAATTCCTCCTCTTCCTCGTCATTCGCTTGCTCATTCGCCGGGGATGCTGACATTTGCGGTGGAGGTTGTTCTTTCTGATTCTGCTCGTCAGGCTTCGCTTTCTTTTGAGTATCTGGTCCCCCTTGCACGCCCTCTGATGGAGCAGGCCGCTTGAGCTGCTGTCCCACTGTAACGGCAGAAGCTTCTGCGAGGGGCGCGCCCGCGGGCTGCTGATCCACCTCAATAAATTCATCTTCCTCATCTTCGTCCTCGTTATCGCTGCCGGCGCCGCTCCGGAGCGCAGCGTAGTATTCAGCCGTAGCATCGGCTGCATTCGCCTCCACCATTTGCGCAACTCTCCGTCCATCAGCATCACCACCGTCTTCATCGACACCAGCCTCTGCCGCCCTCCGCCTCTGCTCTTTGAGGCCGAGCGCTGTAGCCTCTCCGCTGACGGTCGACTCGAGGTGCCATTCGGGCAAGGCGTTCTGCGCGCGCTTCTGGCGCGCCGCTTCTTCAGCCGCCTTGAGACGTGCAGCTTCGGAAGCAGGGTCCAGCACAGCGGATACGTCGACCGAGAGGCCTCCGCGGGTCATGCTGTTCGTCGCACCGCGCGAGATAGCTAGACCGTTCGAATCGGTCTGCGCAGCAGAATTGGCGATATTGCTTGCAGATGATGAGTCAGCGGTACGCAAGGCGGCGACCTCGGTCGCCAACGCCCGGATCTCGTCATCGTTGATGTCGTACGCCTTCCACATAGTCGGCCCAACAGATGCGTGGATGACCAGCCAAGCTTCGACGTTCATCTCTGGAAGAGCTAGGCCTTCTAGCTTGCGAAGTCCGGCCATGATCCGTCCAAATTGTTGATTGAAACCTTGCATCTTATCCTCCTTACGCTTCGCGGTCTCTTTATCCTCGTCGAGCTCTAGCTCTGCAAAACAACCCGGTACATCGCAGCGCAAAGTATTTGTGCTGAAATCGAGTAGATGCGCAACGTCAAAGCTGTCATATGTCTTGTGACACTGCGGGCAAATGTAGCCTCGCTTGGTCAATGCAGAGACCGAGGAGGTGAGAGAGTCGATGGATTTGTAGATTTGTAAGACACGCCACTTTACGACCGAAAAGAATGTCGGAAGGTCAAGATAGTAGTATGAGCGCTTGATCATGCGCTGCTTGAATTCTGGTGGCAGAGGCGGCTTGTTGGGATCTCGTTCTGGTTGTTCGTAGCGTGAGTGTCTTCAAAGCACACATTATCAGAACCGTGTCATGATCTCAAGGCGCGTGGTCCGTCTCACATGGATATTAATCGGTCTTCAAGAAGCTTTTGACTTTGAGCTTTGAGGTCTTTTGTTCCAACGGCAAGACGCCGCGCAAGCATTACAGCGTCAATACTGCAAGTGAGTCTGGCGTCAGCAGCGAGGCCAGTGGTTGCGCGCAACACGCATCGCTGGCACGCACACGTCGAATTTCGCAAGCTGATCCATAATCATCACAGCATGGTCCTCATAGAACATGCGCACGATGACTTGACATAGTCTCTTGAGTTCTTTCAGGTCTTCTTGTGATGCTGGTCGCAACGGTGTCCCGTCTGCGCTCAAACCGGACCCATGAGTTGTTCCAGGTGCCCCCGAGGTGGCTTTGGCAGCGGCACCGCCCTGATGCGGGCGCCTGCTTTGGAGCATTACGCTGAGCCAGACCTGGACCTTCCCAGCCAGGCGCTGTAGGGATCTTGGCAGTAGACAAAATACCCTACAACTGCCTTCCACGCAGCCGGTTAACCAAGTGGTCTCGGATAGGCTCACTTGAAGTGGTGAGATCAGGCTCTTGTTTAGCATGACGCCTTTTGTAGAACGCGTGGGCACGCTTGCGGCTTGGTGAAGGAGTTTATTTGCACCGAATATGCGCACCTTTGCCGACTAGCAAAGGAGCCGCCAATTGTCGTCTGAACACCATCTGCCAGACAGAATGATTCAAAGCCTTCACATGCCTTCCATCCTTAATTCCCGCCGTTTGTCCGGCAGGGAATCCCTGTATTTGAGGATTGAAGTGACGGGAAGATGGTCCTTCAATTCTACCTGTAAACCCGTGTATTTACTCGGACACCGAATGCTCGGCACCTCAAAGAATAGCGGATAAAAATGCGTACAGCTCGAAATCAAAGCAAATTACCGGAGCGTCGCTCATCGACGGCGCACGTGAGCACCTTCTCTTGCAACCCTGTCTGATGTCGACGCCAATGGTGAAAGTGTACCGGTAGCCTCGCATGATACACCTGAAATCGAATGCCAGCTGAACCGTCAAGCGTATTCGCAATCCCCTGCCGCAAATGATCAGGCTACGAAGCCTATGTGGAGCAATGGTCGATTTGAGGTGGCGTGGAAGGAAGGCGAGGCGTTGAGCCTGAACAATTGGAGCAGCGCATGACAATCTCTCGATATCTGTTGCACATGGGGAGAAAGTAACCAGCCCCGGGCCGGTCGGCTGCGACTAGAAGAGAGGCTGATCCATGATGTTTTTGGACGTGACTCGTGTCGATACCATTGTTCTGGCAACGGTGGACCCTGTTTCAGCTCCGGGCGGATCGCTGTAGCCGACGATTGTCGTCGGTGTGCTGTTTGGAAAGGGCATCCTTTGGTGTTTCATCGGCTCTTATCGTGATTCTGCTGCGACATGAAGTCGATTATGCACCAACACTACTCTTGACACTCTTGCTTCATATACCAGAATACACCAATGACGTATATGAGAAAGATTCCTCTAGCGTTTTGGCTTGGCTCACCCTTACACTCCCTGTCATCCCCGGCGGGGTTGTGATGTTCACTAGTCCAATGGCAAGTGCACCTGCAGTTCATTCGAGCGCCGAGTATAGCTGACCGTACATATCTCAACCTCTGTGCACAGTATCGAAGTTTGGGCACCCAGTGGTCTTTGAATATCTTTGGCTGTATGTTTATTGTAATTTCGTTCGTACCGTTCATCCTCTGCTTCGCCGACCATCGCATCCGGTCATGGAACCGAAATTCCCGCACCTAAGTTTGCTTATTTCTGCACACGTTTTGCAATTCTCTCATGATAGAATCTCGAGTGTTGTAACAGCAAATGTGCTTGTTGCAGAAATTGCAGTAGATAACCTATTATACCAACGCTATGCTATTAAGGCTGCCGGCCGAAACGATGAGCCAGCTGCTCGAGTGCATGCTCGTAAGCCGGTCGCAGCTCTTGAAGGTCCGTGCCTTGCAGTTTTACCTTGCGCACATTCTTGCTTCGGCCTCCGCGCTTGAGCATATCCTTAAAGTGTCGCGCCTGAGAGAGAAGTTGAAGCCGAGCGATTATTAGTATCTCTGTTCGATTGATGTCACGCGCACTAGCTTTACGCTCACCTCTTGCTCCTCTACAAGGCTCCAAGCGTTGCCTTGCTTACCGGCACGGGCGGTTCGACCAACGCGATGGACATATTTGCGCATGTCGACAGGCACGTCGTATGAGATGACGTGCTGCACGTCGGAAATATCGATACCACGAGAGATGAGATCTGAACAAATCATGACGTCGATCTCCCCATTCCTGAAAGCTTGCAATACCCGCGCTCGCTCGCCGGCAGAGAGCTCGCTGCTGTAGTTGGCAGCTTTGATAACTCCTTCGGCACCGCGTTTCTCTTCGAAGAACTCTAACAGCTTAGCAAGTCGGTTGGCAGCTTCGACAGACTTGGCAAAGCAAAGTGCTTGACGGAGAGGCGCTTCCGAGCGGTGCAGAAGATGGAACAGTGCAAGCGGCTTGTCCTCTGTCGAGACGACGAGCATGTGCTCCTGCAGGGTCTCCGGAATGGCGTACTCGGTGTCGTCCTGCGCATCCTCCTTGGAAGATTTAACGCTGACATATATCGGGTTGCGCAGACGCAAAGACGCAACTTTGGCTGGATCGCGAGTCAGCGTGGCGGAGAACAGCAGTTTCTGCATGGACGGCTGTGCAATTGCGGCAGGATCGGGAGGAGAGCCAGACGATTCAGAATCAACCTGCAGCCACGCAGGGGCCAGCGCTCTGCGGAGGACCCTCTCTTTGACCGCATCAGAGCGGAGTATCTCTGCTTGGGAATGTCGCGTCGACCCTTTCAGGAGTTTGTCACCATCTTCCTTCCGGAGCTGTTTTGCCCGAGGATCAAGCATGGCCATTAAACGAGGGAGCCATTCGTTGAAGCTTTGACCTAGCAGTCGATCCGCCTCGTCTAGAACAAGGAAGCGCAAGTGCTGCAGGGTGAAGCCTGCAGTTGCGTCGGCATGGTCCATCAGACGGCCAGGTGTCGCGATGACGATGTCGACAAGACTCTCCCCGTCTCCATCGATGAGGTTACCCTGCTCTGCAGCAAAGGACTGCGTGCCTGTGACGCTCGCAATTTTGAGCCCGCTGCCCTTTGCTACGCTCTCGAGCGTCTCGCGAACTTGAGCGACGAGATCGCGGGTGGGAAGGAGGATCAATGCACGCACGCGAGGAAGAAGACGCGTACGCAAAACCTCGACGATCGGCACGCAGTAAGCCAAAGTCTTTCCCGAGCCGGTTGGAGCAGAGATACACACATCTCGAGGAGGTCGAAAGGGCGAGTAAAGACTGCGAGAATGTGGCGAGGACAGGATGATTGGTATGACAGACGCTTGGACAGCGAAAAATTTGTTGACACCGAGTCGTTCTAATCGATTTCGCATCTGGTGTCCAATCAGCTCGATGCCTCCTGATTCAGACATGACCGACTCGCCGGCTGCAAATCTCTCCAATGCATCTGACTTGGTTGTTCGCAGCTGACGTAGATCATCGGTCATAGTGGGATCAACAACAACGGGAGTCGCAAATCCCTGTGGTAGACCTTGCACTCGCAGCAGAGCTGGATTCGAAAACGCAAGAGATCGCGGCTCGGGGAACCGTTGCAACGCCGCCGGAGGACCATTTTTTCCTTCACCCGTGCCCGATGCCTCTTCATGCCCATGTGAGGGCGTCGGTATCGGCTGTGTTGATAGAATTGGAGGATCAATGTCTGGAGTCGCTGCCCCTGGTAACTGTCGATTGCTCTCTTCGTCCGTCTCTCCATGGTTCGCTTCGCTAGAGGACCCATCATCATATGTGCTCGACAAAGTTTCTTTCTCTCCTTCCGTATCATTGCTTTTCAAATCCTTTTCAGTTGCTTTTTGTGCTTTGACGGAGCGGTCCAGCGCCTCAAGTTGCCGGTCATCAACAAGCTCGTCGTCTTCTTGATCTTCCTTTGCCTTATCCATTTTCTTCTTCTTGCCCTCTCCAGGTTGTATGACATGCTTCTTTGCCTTTTGCTTCGCTTTTCGCCGCTCCTTTTTCTTGTTCAAGTACCGCTGCTTCGCTTTTGTTTTATCTTTCGCCTTGTGGTCACCTGTCGCCTTGCCTAACGCCGCTTTCAGTGCCGGGGCTGCGTGCAGACGAGAAGGATGGATATTCAAGTTTGCCGGCAGAGAAGAGATAGCTTCGCCTTCAGAGGTTGCAGCGCCGCCAGATGAAGCTGAAACATCGAGCTTGATCCGTTTCGCCGCTCGCTCCTCCTGTAACTTGCGCAAACGACTGGCGACCTGTGGGGCCGAGGCTCCGACAGCCTGATCGCCGGCGTTCGCCAACCCACTAGCGTCATATCGCTTGATGGAGAACATTTGGAAATGGGTGCTGATGCCTGCCTCAGAAATGCACGAATACCAGCGTGCTGCTTCTGACGCTTCCGGCGTGCTGCGCCACAACAAGAGCAAAGAAAGAGAATCATATTGTCAATGCAAGCTCCCACGACGAGCACTATTGAAGAAAGCGTGGCTATCCAATACGGATTTTTTTGAAAACCAAAAATAGTCCAAGCATTTTCTACCATTATCTTGCACTGTCGACCTGCAACTTCTTCACCAATGAGCTGTTTCCGGTGAACTGGCGCGGGACCGGCTTAAGCCGCTCAAACCTCCAGATTCAGCAAGGTAACTCCGAGAGTTTTACCATTTTCTTGGCAACATTTTCAAAGCACAGGCTCCCATTCAAATTTCACGGCCAGCCCGTTGGAAGCTGAGGCGATTCGAACACGTATTTCTTTCCTCGGTGTTAATGCTGCCCACGAGAAAGCTCAGTGCAATGCTGCGAAGGTGGACAGCAGACAGTACCTTGAAATGTCGACCAAAGCCCTTTCAAATCGGGAGCAGGAGACTTTGCTTAAGCAGACCAAGGCGGACGCCCTCAAGAAATGCGATGAATTTGTGAAGGGTAAGACATTGCACATCGTGTTCGGCCATCGTGCTTATATATCGCTGAAATGATGTTCCTTCGCCTTTCATTCCGAAATTCCAGCATTTGCAGATTGCTCGAGGGGAAGAACGATCAGCGTCGCCTGGGCATGTAGAGGCGATCACAAGGCAATGCAAGGGTGTTTGAGGCAGTAGTAAGTGGCATTGTACGGTTCAGGCTGGATTTCCCCCTTCGAAATCGAGTACAAATATCGCCCACGACTTTAGGAGCTGATCATTGTGTTGTGTGCGCTATAGTACATCCGAAGAGGCGATGGACAAGGTGCGGCGAGACTATCTCCAACACACACGGGGCCAGGGTGCGTCGCCATAAGTCTGCATCCCTTTCTGCATCATTCGGCTCCGGTACACGCGTCGCTGCCCAGGATATACTCAACAGCGTCATGTGTCTAGGGAAACCCACAGCCTTCTCACTAGCACTGTATCCTACCTCCCCTTAGATCGTGTGTATGCTCCATATATTGCCGGGACACCGTGGTAGTCATGAACATGAATGAATACGCGGAGGGGATAGTGCCGCTCCCTCATCGTTTGGCCTCGCTCATCACACTCGTGAAGCTCGGGGATTTGAGCAAAGTTCTCCCCTGATATTCAAGCTGAATCCTTGGAGCTTTGGGCTAAAACGCTTTGTCAAGAATTCAATTATTTGGTTGGAGATGGTCATGAGCGCGTGTCCGGCTTCCGTGTTCCAAAATGTCGGAGTATTCTCTCCTTCATTCCCCTACCTGCGTTACTGCGCCACTTGCCACAAGCCGGAACCGTTTTAGACTGTCCTGTTTCCACGCCAGCTGTTTCTGCCCTATCGCTCAATCGACTTTGATGTGGTTTGGGAATCGCATGTTGGAGGGAAGGTGCATTCACTACCCGCAGGGGCAGATGGCCGTCGCAGCAACACGTCAGAGGCACAGAGGGAAATGGTGACCCGACGGTGAGGCCATCTGATGACAACCCTCCGACTTGATCAAGAATGACCACGAGGAGCACAGAAGTGTGCTGAGTATGGGCTCGTCTTATTTATTTGGCGCCCTCCTTGTCCTTCTGCGCGCAGGCGCATTGGATATTCCATTCATTTCTCCCTTTCTGCACACTGCAGCCAGGAAACATTCGGTCAACATCAGCGGTGATCCATTGGACAGATATTTGGCCATCACCGAACCTATGACGAGTCTATCATGATCGCCTCTCAGAACAGTTCGAAGAGGTGGATCTGATGTGTGAACTGCGTTCTAGTGCCCACAGGATTCGCTGTTGCTCAGGACAATGGTGACGCCTTACAAACCGCAGGCAGCGCCCCTGCCGAAGTTGGACTTTGAAGAAATCCTCTTACCCCAATCGTCAGTCCAAACGCGCTGCTCCGTGTATGCGATGGCTGCCGTCGCAAGCAAGTAAGGTGCGACAAGGCAAAACGAATGTGCAACACGTGCGCATCGTCAGGGAATTGATGTACCTACAGCGACGTCCTTTGGCGACCTGGTCGCCGGCCAGTCCTTCAAGAGCATCTTCAGCGAGGAAATGGCAAGGAACGTTGGAAGGAATTTCGAGACAGCGTCCGGAGCCACATCCGATCCAACCACGCGCGGACGTCACGCTCAGAAGTGACATTCGCTACGCTGTTAAGCTTCAATATTCTGCTACAAGTATCTTGTTCGCAGCCAGCACCCCTTGTGCGAACCAGCACGGTCTAGACTTTCTCAATCTGCCGATATCAAAGGTTTAAGAACCTATCGCCTATGGCGTGAAAGATCTAAAGCTCTGCAGCAGCCCAGCTCAGACCGGAGCCATCACATCGCCGCCTTTCATCGTGGCCACTTTTGCAATACTATGAAAGATGGTGACTATCCAATTCACTATCATTGTAGAACCTCCGCCTGCGAAGCTGCATGGTCCACCGCGCGCGGTTTTCCGTGGTGCCCGTATCCCTATAGCATGGTAGCCTAATGTGCGGGATTTAACCAAGGAGCATGTCCTTCTGATTTCTCGTTACGGGTGAGCCTCGCTGTCCATGACGCAATGATACGAGGCTCGAGCGTTGTGTCTCCGCTCTTCTGCCTTTCGTCTCACCAGAGTGGAGGCGCATTTGAATGCATTTCTACCATCCAACCGATTGGAGTAGCTGCAGCCCCATCTGAGGTCGCAGGACTGGTGCGTGTCCGCCTCCTTCCGAAGTTCAGCAGTTCGACTGCAGAGGAAATGTGGCCTCGCAGCCATTCGAAGAGTGCGACTTCAAGAGAGATTGCGAGCAAGACACCCACGTCGTGCGCAGCCCGATTTCTGCGTTCGGCTCCGAGCGATTCGTCTTCAAGCCTTTTAAGAACACACTCGGACATTTTGACCCGATCGGATGTCTGGAAGACGTTAATATCGCCCACTATCGATGGGGAGAAGACAACCAAAAGCGACGGCATATATATGTCATCATGTCTGCTCTCATTAATGCGAGTCTCTTTTGCGGCGGGCGGATAGGAATCCGTCAACGGCCAAATCGACACGGCAGACCACATCGCCTGTGAAATGAAGAGCATGGGCATCGCCTTGGCGTTGATCAGCCCTGGAGACTTGCTTAAAGCTCATCAGCTCTCATCGCAATGGCGGTCGTCATTGATCCGCTTGAATGCTTTCGATTGTGGAATACATTGAAAGCCAGTTTCGCTGGATAACCTCATCTATCGAGTCACGAAATACTCAAGCTTCCACGCAACCGTCCTGGCACCAATGACGGAGCTTTCTCAACGGTGGATGATTTATGTCGGGTCGCTTTGGTAAGCGGTGCAGCGACCTGCTGACCGGGCTTCCTGCTGGCTTTTGCTTTTCTTCGACCGCGTCCTCACTACGATCATCCTGTATTTCAGACTGTGGCAAGACATTACCCTGCCATATCTTTTGGGAATGCGGGTCAAAGCGCTTTTTAGGATCTCTTCGTTCTCCTCGTTTGCCAATGTGTCAGCTAATGGTCCCACGCGCGGACAGTACGGTCATAAAAGATACCAGGAGCCACCTTTGAGGAAGGTGGCGACTTCAGTGAATATGAAGAATATTGGAGGCTCCATGTCTAAGAAACCGTCCTTGATGGGCGAAAAGCCCATCGACAGCGCGCTCTTGAAACTGTTGCGTGATGCAGCAACAGTTAGAGTCGCTGGCTTCCCTGCAGCAGCAAGCAAACTCAATGGCTGCCCAGGTATTGCCGTAGAGTGAGGAAAAGTTGATCCGAATCCAAAGGCGAGACACTTGCTCTCCTCATCGCTTATTCATGTTCAGGCTCCACGGTCACTGACGTAGATCGCATCTCAGATGGCTGGAAGAGTCGCAGGATAAACCCATTGACTTGAAGGCTCTCTGCGACACGGGTGTCGCTGGGTTTGGGACTAGGGCGCAGCCTTAATCGCTTTTGGTTGATACATGGGTGATACATGGTTAATACAACGGAGGCTGATCATGGCTTGCGAGCAGCTACGCTAGCAACATTATGAAGGTTGATCAAGCCTGTAGAAACCTTGGGCAGCCGACGGTTCAAGCCAGCATGAATCTATTTTTGGCGCTATACCGCGTTGATACCCATGTTTCCCTGGGCACAGGCCCTCTGGATCTTCTTGATAGACATGGTCGTTGCGCATGTGTTTGACCCCAATTCGAGACAAGCCAGTTCCTGAGGTCTAGCAGCTACTTCAATGAGACTTTCTGTGTGGCTTCAATGGTCCAGCTTGGGGCGGATCGAAATCCTAAAATGAGATGAGCCATGACCACAAACTGCTGGACGCGGGCTGCGTAAAAACGCCGACGCAAAAGGCACACCATGGTCTATGGACGCCTTTGGGACGCTGGTTCGCCGTCCAGCTTGAGCAATTGACCATAATCAGACGCACTGTGCATGGAGGCTTGGCTTTATTCCTCTTTCCGAGAAGCTAAGGGATTGACAGGCGGGCGAGGCACTAGTGAGGGTGTGTCAGTTTGGTCTGTGTTCGAGAGAGAAGACGATTGCGCAGTAGTCCTCTATCCTCCCTTGCTTGGGTCCACTATATGTGCTGTCGGAACTTCGCGAATTTCACATCTTTGCGACGCCCAGCCTGGCCCTTTCGCCAACCATGGTTTCGCAAGTGCTGAACGGAAGCACAGATGCAGAGGCAGGATCAACCTCTCGGCATAACCACATCGGCTCGTCGACCGGTTTGCGCGGCTCCTCGATCGCCACACGCAGCACGCCAGACTTTCTCGTCTTGGTGCTGGATTGCAACCTGTTCGGCTGGGCATCTGCAGCAAATGCGAGCAAACACAGTACTGCCACACAGCAGAATGGCAACGGCGAGCGTCATTCGAACCTGGATATCGGCAAAGGGGAAGGAGCAGCGGCGGAGCTGGAGAAGGTGCTGAAGGATGTGCTCATCTTTCTGAATGCGCACATGGCGCTGCAATACGACAATGGTGTTGCTGTATATGCTGCATCAGGAGCAAAAGCGTCAGTTCCGGCGGTTGTGATAATATCGATCGTTTTCTTTGCCGAAAGCTAATACATTTCATGCGGTGTACCTCCAGGAGACTTCTCTTCTCAAGCGCACCCCATTCGTCTTCGGCAGCTTCGACGGCGCTCGAAGATGAGGAAGGACCGGATGCGAATACATTCCAGGAGTTCAAGGCGCTTGACTCGCGAGTCTACTCCGGCATCAAAACACTCATGCAAGAAACCGCCGAGGAGATGGAGGATGGCTTGCTGAGAGACAGAGGAACACGCATGGACGACGGCGATCGAAGGGATCGACGGCGGTCAGCTATGAGCTCAACCGGTATCGTGGCAGCTTTATCACAAGCTCTCTGCCGTGCGTTGTGAATGCACTGCACTCCTCCCGTTTCTGCTCACCCAGGCTGATCACCCATAACTTGGTCGCTTCACGCGAGTAGACGTCCACCGTCTCTCTCTTTTCTCGTACGCCGTCTCGGCGCCAGGCGCGTCTGCGACGACGCTTTCCATGAATTCCAATCCAGGTGGCAATGCTCGCTCAAGCGAGAGCACACTGAGCGCCTTTCGTAGCCGGATCCTGGTACTCTCAGTGACACCAGACGCGAGCACGCAGTATGTCTCGATGATGAACTGCATATTCGGAGCGCAAAAGGCGATGGTGTCGATCAATGTGTGCAAGCTACACGGAGGGGACTCTGTTTTCTTGCAGCAAGCGGCTTTCCTCACGCATGGGAGCTATCTCCGCGTAGAAAGCAGAAAGGGTATCCTGCAAGTGTTGATGGTGCGCACCGAATCCTGCAAACAGCTGCCATCGCGCCATATCTTCTTTCTGCTGACACATCCCTAAATTGCCACGCAATCGCCGCTTCTGCATTGACAGTCGACCTTCCTCGCAAGTACATCGGTCTCGAAGATGATGAACCTGCCCAATGAGGACGAGGTAGATTTCCGTGCAGCCTGCTTTTGCCATCGCAAGATCGTCGATGTGGGCTACGTCTGCAGCGTGTGTCTGAGCAGTGCGTATGCGCTGCTCTGGAGTTTTTTTAGGGACTGAAGCATCGAGCTCGCACTTGCTGACAAGACGCTGCTCCCGGCTCTGTACAGTTTTCTGCGAGCCGCTGCCGGCATGCACGACATGCAAATCGCGCTTTCCTCGTCGGACGCTGGAGCGCTTCCGGTCCGAACACAAGCTGCTAGAGATTATTGGCGTTACACCCGATCGCTCTTGAAGTGATGCTCCGCGGGTATTTGTTCGTATTCATCCGTTCGTACATACTCGCTCGCGCGCACATGTAGCATAGTTCTCTGTTCAAAAGCTGCCACCCGCCTACACAACACTGGTTGGATTGCAATCGATTTTTTGCTGAACACTCAACAAAGTCACAGTTACAGCTACAGCCATTGTGGCGTCTGTTTCTTCGAGAAAGGGACCGTCTCATGCAAGCGCCTTGATAATGGCCTGGCCAACTCCCGCAGCACTGGCAGGGTTCTGGCCAGTGATGAGCACACGGCCCTCGGAGTCCTTGTCGACGAGCACCTTCTCCTGCCATGGCGATGACTTTTCAAACTTGGCGCCGCGCTCTATCATCCTGGTCTCGACAAGGTACGGGATCGCGTCAGTCATACCGGCCTGCTCCTCCTCCTCGTTGGTAAAGGCGACGGCTTGGCGGTCCTTCAGGATGTACGATCCGTCGCTCAGCTTGGTGTTGCAAAAGGCGACGGGAGCGTGGCAGACTGCCGAGACGGGGCGCTTGCTCTCGAAGAAGTTCTTAATGAGCTCGTTCGAGTGCGCGTCCTCTGGGAGATCAAAACATGGGCCGTGGCCGCCTGCATAGAGTAGAAGCAGGACCGGCAGCAGCAGTAGCAGTAGCAGTAGCAGCGAGAAAGAGGGGGTATCAGATCTCCGTGGGCTCGCTTGCTCACTGCATGTGAGACGTACCAGGGTAGAAGATCGCATCGTATCCGGTGCCCTTTGTATCGACCTCGCTCAACTTCTTGGTGTTGTTGACAAACTCTTGAGCTTCCGAGTCATTGAGGAACTGCTTGCACTCTGCGTCCTCCTTGAACATTTCCACGCTGGTCTGGTCGAGCGGGGCCTTGCCGCCCTTAGGCGAGGCAGCAGTTAGCGTGTAGCCGGCCTTCTTAAAGGCATAGTATGGGTGGGCGACTGCATTTTATTAGCAGGGAGAGGGGATGTCAGCACCTGTGCTACGCTGCGCGGGGTCCTCGCAGAATGCACGCTCGGGTAGGTACCAGCCGGTCGGCTTGCCGGTCAGCAGCTGATCGTGTGAGGTAAGGACGACGAGGATGCTTTTGGTCATTTTGGTTGCAAGAAAAAATGGGGAAGTTTGTAGATCAGAGCGAGCGCTCAAGAGATGCCGGCTGGGTTGCATGTCGGGAGCAACGTCTCTCGACCTCCAATGTACCTTATATATACGTGTGGGAGCACCACAGTTTGTCAGCGAATGGAAGGCGATGGAGGAGAGGCTGGCTCGAGCGCATCTTCAAGCCAGCAGCACTGCAGCGCAAGGACATAGTGACACGCCCATCACCACAGCGTGCCGCATGGAGATGCAGAAGAGTCTGCTTTCATCAAGCCCCCGGGGCTACCATTCTAGCAACAGGATGGGTTATAACAAAGACAAGAGCCGCTCGCTAAAGGATCCATACGTCGTACGAGGACAGGCCACCGTGTTCATCGTACACACAAGAGTGGCCCGATGCGTTACCGCGAGCGAAATCTCCTTTGATGCAGCTTCGAACCCTTGCCACAGCCTAGTCGATGGACCGCCGGCCGGCGCTAGTAGGTCTGACTCGTCCACCAGTGGTCACTGCACTAACAGCATGCACGAGGAAGCTGCCTCCGGAGCTGATCTATCTCGTAGGGCAACAACTTTTTGACCTCTCCACACATGCTTCTGCCCGTCCTGGCTGCAACTGCTGCTGCTGGTGCAGCGCCGATGACTCGCCCTTTCTCCCCGACGAGGCAAGCCAGGCAACGCTGACATCGACCTGGTACGCGTCGACAACACCGCGCGATGCTAAGCGCGCGCTTCTCAATCTCTCGTCGGTCGACTGGCAGCTTCGTGCGCTGCTAGCTCCTCTCGTTTGGCACCAAGTTGTCCTGAAGCAGCCATCTGATACAATCTTTTTGCGCAACCTGGCTCAGCGCTATGCGGTGGCCCCCCACGCGCCGAACGCACAGGCGGCTGCACCGCAACTGCCAAGGCCACTGACGCACGTCTCTTCGCTGTGCATCGCATTCTCGTCTGATCGATACCCCGGCGGCGTCGAGCAGTCGACGCTGCTAGATCTCCTCTCACGCCACCAGCTCGGATCAAAGGGGCCACTGCGTTCTCTGCGTTGGTCCGCCGAAACGCTGCCGATCCCAAGCTTGTGGCTTCACCTTGCACCGACGCTGCAGTGCTTTGACGTGGACTGCAAGACATTCTGGGGCGGCCACCCGAATCTTAGCAGGCTCACCAACCTAAGGGCACTCCGGCTGACCGGGTACGACGCGCATCTTCTGCCCCCACATTTGCCGGCACTGCTGCTTGCGCTGACGTATGTGGTCGATGAGCAAGACCAGCAAGGGTTAGATGGGGACCACAATGAATCTATGCGAAACAATCACGCTCGCGTAAGCGAGATCTTGACGCTTAAGCGTACCTTTCCAATGATGGCAGAGGAAGAAGCGGAGTATGCACTCTCTGTGCGGCGCGCCATCAGGGAGACCGGGGCGATGATGCTGAGCGGTGATGAAGACTACAGCGGCCCGCACATCGCCCCTCCGCCTGGTGGGCAGGACCTGGAGATACAGCAGACCTTCGATGCCGTTGATGCCGCTGCCGCTGCATTGCAACCACGAATCTCGGGTGGACATGAGCACGGCACAGGTGCAGAGGGGAGTGAAGCCGAACAAGACGAGGCCGATGGTATCGCCGTGTCCGCTTCGCGCCGCGCCTCACGCCTGCTGCACCTCTCCCTCTCCACCTCCAAGACGTCGCTGCTACACTCGACGACGCTGATCGAGGCGGGGGCATTCCGCTCGCTCGCCACGCTTGACATCTACCCCGTGACCCCGGAGCCGCCGCTGGACGCTGCGCTGCGCTCGGCGGGCGGGACGCTGCGCATCCTCAAGCTCGCGCTGGACATCAGCAGTGCATTCAGGCACTACGACCGGCTATGGGCGCGTCTCACGGGCGGCATGCGTGCGCTCGAGCAACTGCACCTCGACCCGCACCCGCAGCAGAACACCGCGCCGAGCTTTGGCGCGTTCGTGCAGAGCTGCGCCAAGCTCCAGAGCGTCGATGGAAGAGTAAGGTCCGACGCGGTGCTGCCGGATCTAGGCGCCTTCCAACCAGATTACAGGACCGGCACCATTTTCTGTTGATATTCATCTTGTCACGCTGACCACTGTTTTGGTTCATCAATGAATGAGCATCGTCATGCAAAGTCTATCGTGTGTGTGAAGTTCTGTCTCTCCTCGTGCATGCGGGCCCAACGCCAGCGCTCGCCTTCCCTTTATTGAGATGACGGACCTCAGGAGACCTTCCCTCTCCTCTCTCCCCTGCCCTAGTAACTCAGCCGCACGGCAAAGCTGACCTGTCCGTGCACAACGCTGACTATCGTTGGCCCTAACAAAGTAGCAGGGGCACAAGGGAGGATGTAAGCTGTTGAATAAATTTGAATGTAGGCAAGCCAACCAAAACAACACGCTGCCGCGGTCGGGCGCTCCAGCGCGCGGGAGGGAGCACACAGTGTGGTAGCGACACTGGCCCAGTGCTTGGAGGGGGTCCGCCTCCCAATGCTGATCGACACCTGTGGATCATCTTCCTGCTGTCGGGTCATTCAAAGGTAGCTACATCATCCATGTATTTTCATCATCGCACGTCGCGAACGTCTCGATAGCAGGCTGAAGTACACGGACGTCGAGCAAGGTCAGAGCCCGCTTGCGACCCGCCCGCCTTTCCGCCATCGTCAAGCTACTGTTGTCCGCCGCGTTCGAACTTTGAGCATCCCAGCGGTCAAGGCGAGAAGACTTGCTTTCTCTGCGCCACCCCCGTTTGACTCACGTCCACCTCGTTGCACTACGCTACGTTATATACGCTAGCATCCTTGGTCGTGCCAGACGGCCTCGCTGCAGCTTCGTCTCGATCCTTGCTTCTCTCGCTGTGTCAAACGCTGCAAGCAGCAGCGACGGCAACTCACTCTCCCGGACAAGATCATCACACGCCAACTCCCCCCTTCCTCTGGTAGCGGACACTCACAATGGAGTCCGATGAGCAGCTCTACCCAATTGCCGTCCTGATCGACGAGCTAAAGTCCGACGATGTCAATCTGCGCCTCAACGCCATCCACCGTCTCTCCACCATCGCTCTGGCGCTGGGTCCCGAGCGCGCGAGGGACGAGCTGATTCCCTTTCTACAGGACAGCCTCGACGACGAGGATGAGGTGCTGATGGCGCTCGCAGAGGAGCTCAGCAGCCCCTTTGTAGACTACCTCGGCGGCCCGCCTTTTGCTCATCTCTTGCTCGGCCCGCTGGAGAATCTCGCCGCGGTTGAGGAGACCGTCGTCAGGGAAAAGGTGGGTGTATCACCAACGGAAGTGCCAGGCGTGGGGTGCTTCTGCCACCGCATCCTGAAGTTTGTGCGATGTGGCTGACACCATTGCCATTCGGCTGATCAGGCGACCGACTCGATCACGAAGATTGCAGAGGTCCTCTCGCAACCACAAGTGGAGGAGCACTATATCCCGCTCCTGCGCCGCCTGAGCGGAGGGGATTGGTTCACCTCGCGTACCTCTGCCACCGCGCTCTTCAGTGCCATCTATGAAAAGGCCCAACCTGCCACGCAGGATGATTTGCGAAAGATGTTCAGCCAGCTGTGCAATGATGACACGCCCATGGTCCGGAGAGCTGCCGCGAGGGATCTTGGCGTGAGTCAGTGAGAAGCGGCTAAGCACTGATATCCCAACTGACCTTTGCCTGTGTTTGCTTCTTCAATAGCCTTTCGCCAAGAAACTCTCCAAGGAGCTCGTAGTCTCAGACATCATCCCTCTTTACCGCAGACTATCTTCAGACGACCAGGACAGCGTCCGGTTGCTGACGGTGCAAGACCTGATCGCCATCGCAGAGGTACTGGAGAATGAGGAGACCAAGAACTACCTCCTTCCAAGCATTCGGAACGCGGTTATCGACAAGAGCTGGAGGGTGCGGTACATGGTGGCCGACCACTTTGTAAAGCTTGCCGCGGCTGTCGGCGAGGAGATCGTACGTGACGAGCTGGTCATGGCGTTCGTGCACCTGCTCAAGGACAACGAGGCGGAGGTGCGCACTGCGGGTGCGGGCCAGGTACCCGGCTTTGCCAACTTGATTGACCAGGACATTATCCTGGCGCGTCTCATGCCGTGCGTGCGTGACCTCGCGAGCGACTCGAGCCAGCACGTTCGTGCCGCGCTCGCCACCCAGATTTCAGGCCTGGCGCCCCTGCTGGGCAAGGAGCCGACGATCGAGCACCTTCTCCCGCTCTTCTTGCAGCTGCTCAAGGATGACTTCCCCGATGTAAGGCTTAACATCATCTCCAAGCTCGAGCAGGTCAATGAAGGTGCGTCGCAGGGTCATTCTCCGCTGTCATATCGTCCTGAAGTGTTTCCGTTGTTGATACGCCCTGGCTGATTTCGCTTGCCTACTCCTCACTCACAGTCATCGGCATCGATCTCCTCTCGCAATCTCTGCTGCCAGCCATCGTCGAGCTGGCTGAGGACAAGCAGTGGCGCGTGCGGCAGGCGATCATCGAATACATCCCTTTACTCGGCAATCAGCTCGGCGTTCAATTCTTCGATGAACAGCTGAGCAACCTGTGCATGTCGTGGCTCGGCGACACAGTCTTCTCCATCCGCGAAGCAGCGACGGTCAACCTCAAGAAGCTCACCGACGTTTTTGGTGTCGAGTGGGCGCGGCAGACGATCATCCCCAAGGTGCTCCAGATGGGCTCGCACCCCAACTACCTCTACCGCATGACCACCATCTTCGCCATCACAACCATGGCGCCCTCGCTGAACACGGGCGCCATCGCGGATAACGTGATCGATACCGTTGCGCAGATGGTCGACGACCCCATCCCCAACATCCGCTTCAACGTCGCCAAAGCGTTCGAGGTGCTTGCCTCCGTCCTCAACCAGACAGCGCAGGGTAAGGAGCTCATCCAGCAGCGCATCGTGCCCGGATTGGAGAAGCTCAAGGACGATACCGATGCCGATGTCAGGTTCTTTGCGCAGAAAGCGCTTGATTCGCTGCGTAAGTCTTAAAGCACGCCTCTATTTCCGCAATTTGCGTGTCGGGCTGCTGATGCTTTTCGAAATTTCCCGTCCTACCGGCAGAAGGCCGATAAGTGTAACAGTAGATAGATGAATGAAATACAGGCGCACCATGGAAACGATCATGCAGAGAAGGAAACAGATGCGTATGCTCTGTGAAGCGCGATTACCATACAAAGAGGAGGGGGGCTTGCGATTAGATGACACCTCTAAGAAACTTGCAAATGCTCCCATCCGCGGGGTCCTCGCCAGCCCTTGTCCCCCGCCAAGAATCGATGCGTGCAGACCTGCGCGGCTGTTGGTCGGTCCTCTTTCTCGATGCAGAGACAGCGATGGATCAGATCGGCCGCGTCGATTAACTTGCCGCCACCGTCCGCCTGCCCGTCGTCCGACCCGTTTCGCGAGGGACTGCGCCGTGTCAGCCACTCGTCCGTGTCGCAGAGGTCAGCATCGGCGTTGGCGCTGGAGTCGCTGTTCTGCTGCTGCTGTTGCACCCAGTTGCCCATCATGCAGCGTTCTTCCAAAGCCAGGGCGGCACGCGAGCCGGACGCCAATCCGGCCACGGCCTCTTCGCCATTCCAGAAGGGGCATTCGCCGCACATTAGAACGTAAAGCACGACACCAAGAGCCCAGACGTCTTGCTCTTTACCCGAATACTTTTCGCCTTGCAAGATCTCGGCCGCGGCATAGTCGAGCGTCCCGCTGAACGTGTCGAACAGGCGTCCAGGCTTGATGTGTGCCGCACTGCCGAAGTCGATGATCTGCGCGTGCCCACGACCGTCGAGGATGACGTTCTCGTCTTTGATATCGCGGTGAACGATGTTGTGAGCGTGCAGGTATGCCAAGCCATCTGCCACCTGGCCGCAGATGCAGCGCACGTGACGGGCATCGAGTCCGTCCGGAGCGCCCTCCACAAAGTCGAACAAATCCTGTCCTTTGCCAAAGCAAGGCATGACGAGGTAGTAGAATTCGTGGTCTTCGAAAAATTCTAGCATCTGCGCAAGATTTGGATGCGCGGTGGCTGCCTCATTTGAAGCAGATTGCTGCCTCGCAGGCGTCCCCGGGAACAGTTTCTCAGGCGCCCATGCATCCAATTCTTTCGGCGCTTCGTAAGGCAATCGGCGCAGCTGATCCATGACGTGTATCTCGATCGGGATAGGCCCCAAGACGCGATGTCGTCTCCAGCAGTCGGCAAGAATTCGGCTCTTGATGATGTACTTGATAATGAACTCCTTTCCGTGCGGCTTTTCATCTGTGCCCTTCAGCTTGGCCTTCTTCACGAGCCCGTACGCGCCGCGCCCGATATCGCAGATGATGACAAAGTCCTGAATCGACCGCTGTTGGCCACTTGGGGGCGGCGGATAGCCGTACAAGGACCGTTGCTCAACACTCATGTCGAGGCGGCCAGCACGCGAAGGTGACAAGCGCATCGCTGGGTCTGCAACTTTGTTAAAGCGATCCGACGCGACATCGGTGAGAGATGGGTCAGCAACCTCGATGTTGAACTTGCGCGGTGACGATGACACGGACGTGATTGGCGTTGGACGTGACAGTTGCCCTTCAAGCTCTTTGCATGACATCACGCCCGGCACGAGAGAGACAGAAGTGCCCAACGGGGATTCATCTGTACGAGATCTTGCGCTGCTGCCAATGCGACTGCTGCTCAGGTGACGCTGCAGTTGCTCAAGAAGGCCGTGATCATCCTCGTCGGATCCGTCACTTTCCGAGGCGGCTCCGTCAAGGTCAAGCTCGGAAGGAGGACTTTGGACAAGCCTTCCCCCCGTTCTGGAGCTTCCCGTTGCAGTCCGACTGCGTGGCAGAGTTGGATTAACGCCTTGCTGAGCAAGAAACTGACTCCACTCCTGAGTGGTAGGTGTTCGAAGCATCGGCTTGTTGGCTGGAAGGCCGGACTGAGTGCCGCCCATCGATGGCCGACCTGACATCGTCAAAGCACTAAGCCGCTTGGTTTTGCGCGTAGCAGGTGTTGTGGGGCGGACGAACGCTGCAGCTTCAGATTCCAGGGCATCGGCATTGTCTATCTCAGGGGTAGCCGCCACGGAACCCTCGTCCTGCTCCCTGCACGTCGCATCGGCTGCGGCACCGTCAGCTTCCTCGTCCTCCTGCACTGCCATTGAAGATGTCATGAGATCCCCAATCTCTGATAGAGAAGAGAGGGAAGTGAAGCCATTCCAGTCTGCAAATGCAGACCATGCTGCGCCAAAGACATTGCCAAGCGGCGAAGATGGTCCCGACGCCGGGCTCACATCTGCTACGCTGGTTGTCGCATTGCTGAGAGGAGCAGATGTCGAAGCTGTGCCAAGAAGAGACATGATCGGTCGAGCATTCAGTGCGGCAATCCATCCGGGCGATGCCAGAGCTGTGGAGCTCAAGAAGTTTCCAGGCGAGGGAGGGACACTGACACTGGTCGTAGCTCGTGTCCATTTCGCACTTGGACCCGAGCTCAACTCTGCGCCCGACATGGCAGTCGATTGTGAGCTGGTAGCCATCACTTTGGCTCTCGCTTCAAGCACACTGAAAGGGGCATTGTCAAAGTTGACCGGCTGCATCGCCTTCGCGCGCGCTGCAGCACGACCGCCACCCGCACCAGAGAAGGCAGTGAACAGGTCTGGCTGGCTCAGCATCTGCGACCGGGTACGCGACAGGAACACGCCGGTATGCCGTCGTTGGACGTGCTCACCAACCCCTTCGGTAGTCCTCGCGGGAAGTCCTTGCGGCAGCGACGACGGCGAGGGCGACGGAAGCGGGAGCTGCTCGGCACTCAAACCAGTGAGCGAGTCTGCACTAGCAGTGTGCGAAGGCAAAGGGCCACTTTGTGCTGTGCTGTCAAAGAGTGGCTGACGCACGGTCGACGCCGCATCGTCAACCCTGGCAGATGGAGGCGACATGAGGAGCTTGACGGCCTCGCTGAGCCCCAAACCGTGACTGGCAGTCGGTGTCATGCTGGCATTGGTTGAGGGCGAGCGATGTAGGCTGTCCGAGTTGGGCGACAGAGATAGAGAATCCGGCGAGGGCGTCGATGCCGCTTCCGCTCCCGCTTGATGAGGCGATGCAGAGCACGCGGAGTCACGGAGCGATCTCGCGTTGGGTGTCGAGAGCATACAAGTGTCAATTGAGGGGCGAGATAGCTTGGTCGATGGCGAAGCGAAGTCTGCTAATGCTGGCTGATTAGCAGCATGCTCTATCACCTCTTGAGCTTCCTCGCCACCCCTCTGCTTGATGGGCGAGTCGCTAAGAGCGGGCGCGAGAGTGTCGCCACTAGCCGTATCGCTCACAGCATTGCTGCTCCTGCTGCTCCGCTTCTCAGTGCTTCTCTCCCCTCTGACACTACTGTCCTCCACCAGGACGACCCCCGAGTTCGGGTGTCGGCTACTGGGTACAGTGGGTGCAGCGACTGATGAGCCCGCACTTGCTGAGGTTGTGGCCGATTTGGGCTGCTGCTGCTGTGGAGAGATCGTGTGCAACAGGCTCTGGCTGAGCGCGCTGATGCCGATGCTGGAGATGCTGTCGCCCGAGAGGCGGCTGCCGGGCCGCGTGAGTGCGGTGGAAGCGGTGCCAGCGGAAGTAGCAGAGGCGGTCGACGAGTCAGAATGTGCCTGCGAAAGCAGCGACATGTGGCTGTTCACGCTGCCACCCGAGCTGCGGTGCGCCACGGCCGGACGCGAGGCATGTTGCGGCTGCTGCTGCTGCTTGTCCTTGCGTTCGTTCCCCTTTTGACCAGTGCCGCTGATGTCCTGTGCCTGTTGCTGCTGCAACTGCTTCTGCAAAGAACTGGCCCCCACCGAGGCAGGGACGTGCGAAGGCAACGCGGGGTCGTGCGCATCAGCTGCAGCCGAAGCTCTGCCTGCTTTTGAGAGCGAGGCTGATCCCGCAAAAGCGGCAAAGCTCGCGAGCGGGTCGACGTCGGCGAGGACGTCGATGCCGCCCTGGCGCACCCGCGGGCTGCCAATGCTCGCGATGCCAGCCGCGCGACCCCAGCTGCCTGCCCTCCCTAACGCACCCGCGCCCGAGCCAGAGGCGGAGGGGGACCCGGCTTCGCGCAGTGCGCTGATGCTGTCGCGCTGCTTCGGCCCATTGACAATGCCACTGGATACCTGCGCGTTGGACGCGGAACGCTGGCGCGCTTGAGGCTGCGGCGCAGAGAATGACGTCCAGGACTGATGGGCCGAAGATCCATCCGCGCCGGCTCGCGCTTGCGAGCCAGAGGTGCGCCGAACGTCGAATTGCGCGAGTGGGTCGGTGTCTTTTTCCTCCTGCTCGTCGGTTTCTCTACGCGCCTGGGCGTCTACAGCCGTTCCCCTTTTTTCCTCGCTAGGCGTCGTGGGCGAGAGCAACGCGGGCGAGACGGCAAACCGGCCCGTGAAGCCAAACCTGCCGAGCAGGTCGAGCGATTGGTTCTGGGACCCGCCGCCTTCGTCAAGCCGGCGCATCGCTGCGCTGCGCCCATGCTCGTGCGCGTGATGCATGTGTCCATCCTCGCCGCCGCCCGACCCGCCCCAGCCCTCTTCGGGCGCAGGACTCGGCGGCCCGCTGCCCAAGTAGCACTCGTTCTTGTCCTCCTGGCCTCTCCCGTCGTCGTAGTTGTCGAGGAAGAGGCTCGAGCGCCGTCGCCCCCGCCGGCGGCTGCCCTCCTCGTCGGAAGACGTCGTGGCGGTGGAAAGCGTGCCCGTCATCATCGCGCGGCCGATGCGCGACTCGGCCAGCTCCTCCTGCTGCCGCGCCGCGAAGCGGTGCGGCAGCGGCGGCATCGGCGGTGACGGCGGCGAGCACAAGGAGGGGTGAGCGGTGGGGTCGGAAGGAGCGGTGGAGGGTCGCGAGGCGCGTGCATTGGCGTTGCTTGTCTTGCCGATTGCAAAGTCGGACAGGAGGAAGCGTGAATGGCCCTCGGGCGTCAAGGGTGCATGCAGCTTAGTGTTGCCCTCTTCGTTGGGAGGCACAGCCAAGGGCAATGCGGAATGCGAGTGCAGTGCCGCTTGTGGGATGGCGACTCGCTTCTGCTCGAGATACCTCTCCTCCTGCTCCTTTCCACCATGTTCCCCATCAGCCAGCGGTGTCGCAGGCGCTTGATTCTGTACGATGGTGTCCATGCTACCCTGATGCGGTGCGTGCGCGCTGCGCCAACCGGTGCCGAGCTCGGAAAAGCCAAAGGAGAAGCTGGCTTGTCTGTCCTGGCCACTTATATCCCCTCTTGAGGGGCGATGCGGCGATGAAGCAGACCGGCAGGCAGAGGAGGAGGCCCGCGTAGAATCTGCATCGGGACGCAGGAGGTAGCTGTTGCTTCTGCTGCTGCTGCTGCTGCTGCTACTGCCCTTGATGTTCCCCTTGCTATTATCAACAAAGCTGCCGGTCGAGGAATGCTGCGAGAGCGCCGGTGACGTGGAGCCGGAGATGGGGAGGGACGATGGGGTCATCGAGAGTGATGAGCTAGCGCCATATCCGGAACCGGAGCCGAAGCCAGAGGCATGACTGTAGCCATAGCTACAGCCATGTCCGTAGCCATCTTCCGCCGTGCTGTGACTGCTGCTATTGTTACTACTGCCGTATTTGCTCGCATATACGCTGGAAGTCGGGGCCATGCCACGGCCTCCTTCCAAGGCGTCGCCACTGCCGCCCTGCAAGCCAGAGTGCGTTGGCGACATCCCGCTCGCGCTGCTGGTACTGCTACCAGCACCGCCGCTGCCACTGCCGTCCATAGTCCCCTGCCAGCAAGCGCGTGTTGTGGGTTCGGGCTCGAACGCGACCGAAGGCTGTATGCGTTCGAGCGGCATCTTTGGTGTGCCTTGCCTGCGTTCGCCTGCGGGCGTGCTTGCAAAAAGGCGTGTATCACCAGATTACTTGGGCAAGAAGAGGTGCGACTAGCGAGCTGGGTCAGTCCAGGTCGAGCAAAAAGTGGGTGCGCCAAGATGAACGATTCGCTCCTTGTTTTCTTGGGGGTTATTCCCACTCACAGCAGAATCCTAGTTTATGTATTTTCTCTCGTCCTTTGTAGAAGTGCGGCAGCAAATGCTGAGCACGGAAGAACGTGCGGAAGTACTATGGAGGCCACAAGCGGAGCGAGCAAGGAGCCGGTTAGCATGCTTTGCTGGGTGCTTTCTGCCTCGCCTGGAGTGCGGAAAGGAGTCTTTCGACAGCGATACGTGCAGGGAAGTGTGCAGACGAGCTAGCACCACCCGACCACCGAAGGAAGGAGAAGTGGAATAGACGCGTTTGGTCGGGGGGGGGTAACGAGAGCGTTGTGGTCTGGGTTGAGAGGCGCCGCTAAGTGAGAAGTAAGAGGTGGGCGCTCTCTACGGTACGATGCAAAGCAACGACCAAAGATCCCTTCCAGTGCCGCTGTGCGAGAACGGCTCGCCCCCAGGGTATGTCGTTGAAAGCAACTCCAACTTGAATATCCATCGGAGCTGGTGCTGGTGGTTAACATTGTTATACGAGTGACAAAGGATCTGGCGCGAAAACGTGCAAGCCACTGGGCGTCGGGTGTGCTTGTGGTGGACTTGGCACGCATAACCCTACTTTAATTGCTCACCGCTTGAACTTTGGCCAAGCAGCGATTTACACAGCAAGATCGGATGACTTGCCTGCCACCAACCAAGGAGGATTGGTTCCAAAGATGCTTGGTCACTGATACCCTCTACGATTGCAACAAACAGATTGACTTGCATACGCTGCGAAGCGAAGCGAAACGAGGAACCGCAGCAGTCGTGTGGCATGCAGGGCTGTCCTGTAATAATAAGTTTGCGACGTCTGCGAGGCGGTAGTAGGACTACACCGCTGGAGGACCGCATTCGCCCGAGTGGCTGCCTGGTAAACCGTCACTCGTCCCAACCGAGAAACGTCCAGTGGAGGTATTGAAAGGTATATTCCCTTTAGGACTTGGCATATTTCCTGGCGGTGTTAACCGATCGCCTTTGCAGCCGCGCCCCTGCTTGTCTTACGCTTCCCCAGCGCAACCATCCACAACTAGGGTCGGTCCGCAGGAGAAGGCAGTGCTCATCACCTTTTTCCTTGGAGCGTGAACAAGTAGACGCATCTGCGGCGGGTTCTACGTCCGCCAAGGAGTTTAACCTCATTCCTTGCTTATCACTGCCCTCCTTGCACGTGTTGTATGAGCGGAGGATGAAAATGAGTACGAGCCGGTCACAAGGCCGGTGGACAACATTTTTCGACGCTCTAGTAGCCGCACTCAATAAGGGACCGGCTCCCAGCATTTCGGATTTTGACCGACGGAATCGGCGTCCCTGCAAAAAGGGCTCCAGGCTACACAGGTGCAGCCGTGCTCTTAATCCCCCTCCCGCACCACGTCGAGGTCACTAGTGGTGGGCGCCCAGTGGTGTTTGTCGGGAACAAAAGTGGGAGCACTACGGGCCTGCGGCGACGCTTGCACGTTGACCTCGCTGGGCCGTTCGGAGGAGTGAAGGCATACGGGCCGCCACTGTTAATGAAGCTAACGCCGATGCCGGCCTGCTCGGTAACGCACTGGCTCCAATCTTGAAATCTCCTCACCCACCTTTGCGATGATCTCACGCATCTGTCGCCTGTTGCATTGCATTATCACACACATCCAAAAATTGGGAGCAGAGAAGGCGAGTTGCCCTAGGTCGGTCATGCTGAAGGCACTTCCGAGCTATTGCTTCGCCGATATGTGTCGCTGCTCATGTGCGCCAACGATCACGAGGAGGTCCTCGGCGTAAACCGCGACGATGATCACAGCGCCTGCCGCCCTGCGGACATTAACGCATGGCTCCGATAGACATTAACAATAACCAAAGTGGTACAGTTAGAACTTGACCCTTGACCAGCCATTGCACCACTTCGTTTGCTGCCAATTCCTGGGATCTACGGACATGTACATAAGTATGCTCAGGGCACAACTACAGTTTCGAGGACCCCCTCTTCTCTTAGTAGGGCGGATAACCATGAACTGATATACGCAAATACCAAAATCAAAGCGTGCGCGCAGCGCGGAACACAGCATCCTCATCCTGCGGGTACTCTCTCGCATATCCTGTGCTGTGCGTTCTCAAGGTGCGGCGACGACGGACGACCGCACGCGCAAATACCGAGCAGCGGGTAGCATTGAGTAGCAGCTCTATGGTGCTCTGCATGCCTACATGTGCCGCTTGGTTCATATGACGGCTTGTATCAAGCGCTGCTCTGCCTCGCGCAGCACATCGGCGCGCGTGTTCAGGCTGCACATGAGGTACACTACGTTGCCGAGCGGCCGCGCATGGATGCCCGCGAACAGCTGCTCCCCGGGCGCGCCAGCACCCGCTTTCGCCGCTGACGCAGACGCAGGCGGAGCCTTGCGCAGGGCTGAGACGACGTCGGCCGCAGCGTCGGACGTGTATCCGCGCGCGTCCGCGCTGCGCAGCTCGACGGCGAGGACGCATCCAAGCGCCATGGCGTTCTCGACACGCGCGGCGTGCGAGAGCTGCTGCACGGCGTCGGGGCACCAGAAGCTCCAGATGCGCGGCGGCGCTGCGGCCGTCGAGCGGTCCTGCGCGGGTGCGGGCGGTGGAGCGCGGCGGTGCCATGCGTGTTGCGCGGCGTCCCAGCTGCCACGGCGAACCATGTCGTCGAGCAGATCGATGGTCTCGTTGGCGACCTCGCAGCCGATCGGGTAAGCCGTGTAGCTATGCCCGTGCAGGAGCGCGTCGACCTTGCGCTCAGAGCGTGCGAACATGGCAAATATTGCCTCTGATGCGAGCGTGACGGACATGGGCAGCAGGCCACCAGTGAGAATCTTGGCGAGGCACGATATATCCGGGTGCACGCCGAGCAGCGCCGCAGGCGTGCTGAGGCCGAGGCGGTATAGGCCCGTGAATACCCTACAGTGGGAGGTGGCGGGGCATGCGTGCGTGCGCGGTGAGGAAACAAATAGGAGGAACGCAGACAAACTCGAGACTCACTCGTCAAAGATGACTGGCAGGCCCGTCCAGTCGCTGAAGCCAGAAGCGTGTTTGGCGCGCGCAGGCACGCCTGCACCGGCGGCGCTCGCAAAGAGGTCCTCACTCTCCCTGACGACGTCGACGAGGCAGCGCTGGAAGAGCGGGTCGACAAAGACCATACCTCCGGCGCCCATGACGAGCGGCTCGAGCACAAGCGCGCCGAAGCGCCTGCGCTCGTTGTAGACGAGGTGCTGGAGCGTACTACGGATGCGTGTGCGGTACGTGTGCGTGAGCGGGTCGGACGCCAGGCGCGCGGGAACGTCGTAGATCTCCTGCAGGCTCGTGTACGTGTACGTTTGTGCGTTGCTGTGCTGCTGCGCGGGCGCCTCGGAGTGCTCGTGGACGCGAACGCGGGCGACGCCGTCGTTGAACTGCACGCTCGGCACGTCGAACCAAAAGCCGCGGGGGCGGTACCAGTCGACGGCGCTGCTGTAGGCGCTCGGCTGACACGCGTCCATCGCGCCGATCGTGTCGCCGTGGTAGCTCCCCTTGAGGCCGATGACCTCCCAGTCGCCCGAAGATGGTGGGGTGGAGGTGCGCGTATCAGGCGGCGCATAGCGCAGGCGCGTCGACGCAATGGCCATCTTGAGTGCGATCTCCATGCCGGTGCTTCCATCATCGCTAAAGTAGGCGCGGTCCGCCCAGCCACGCCCGGGCGCGGTCGTCATTGCCGCGGCGGAGGCCGGATCAGGCAATGCAGCAGGCGCCAGCTTGTGTTGATCGTCGAGCGCACCAGGCTGTGCACGGCGGCCAAGTAAGCGCTCCGCAAGGCGCACGGCGGGGGCGTGCGCGGCATTGGGAAAGATGACGTGGCCGTAGCGCGCGGCGGTGCGGGAAGCGGCGAGCGTCAGGCGCGGGTGCGCGTGGCCGACGCACTGCGTCCACCACGACGCGCTTCCATCGAGTGTTGGCTGCAGCAGGCGCTGCGCGGACGCAGGTGGAGGGGCGGCGAGCGTGTCGAAGCAGTCGGCGCTGGCCGAGTCGATGACAGTGACGTCGCGGTCAGACTTGGTGAGTGTATGCTGCGTAAAGGGCCACCAGACGCTCTGGCGTGTGCGCGAGGCGAGCGTGTGCAGCTCGGCGATACGCTGAGCATGGCGCATGCGCAGGTAGCTCACCACGCCCAGCAGGCCGCCAGGCGTCTCCTCGCTGCTGCTGTCACCTTCCAAGGCGGCAGACGAGCAGAGGGACGACGGACGGCCATGGACCAGGGAATGGTAGTAGGCGCGCATTCGCGCGTCGTCCTCGGCCTGCGATCCGGCGCGTTCGGGCGGGGGGCCCCAGCGAGCGGCGGCAGCGTCGGCAGAGCCGCCGATGCCAAACACCCTGGTCTGCACGCCATCCCCGTATGCGCTGCTGCTGCTGTTTGTGCCGTGGAAGAGGTCGCGGAGGTAGCGCACGTTTCCCAGCTGGCCAGGCGCGGGGAAGAGGAGGATGGCCTGGACGTCGTAGCCGGCGAGCAGGAGGCTGTCGTACGCGGAGCGCGTCGTGCTGATTCCGCCGAGTGCGGCGCTGCCGATGAGGATCGTTGGCAGACGCAGCGGACGCAGCACAGCCGACAGCGATGTCCCCGCCGGCGAGGGTGAGTGGACGCCGCCGGCTGCCTCGACGTAGGCGACCGCGGGCACGGCATCTGTAGTAGCAGCGGCGGCCGTCGACGCGAGCCAGGCTGCTGCTGCAGCTGCAAGCTCGGCGTCGGTGGGTATGCTACTGCTGCTGGTTCCCGTTCCCGCATTGGCGGCGGCGGCGGCGGCGACGTGCGGGGAGAGCGGCAGAGGGAACGAGTGGAGCGTGGTGGTGTGCGTGCGCGGCGAGAAGCGGTGGATGTGCCTAGCCATCCACCGCGGGGGTTTGGTCGTTTTCAAACGCCGTGCGTTTACGTCAGCTTGCAACACACAAAAATATACACGCCTACGTAGCAGCACACACACACCCTGCATCCCAGTCGCCGCGCGGCCCGGTCTGGACGGGCTTGAAATAGAATGTGCGCTCGCCGGGGAGAGCAGCAGCAGCTGGAGTAGCAGCAGGCTGGGAGAGCGGAAGCAGCTCACTGGCGATACAGAGTCCCGTCGCAAAGATCGTCTTGCCGACGTCCGTGTTGGCGCCAAAGATCTGTGCGAACGGGGGGCAGTGTGTCAGCCCAGCTCAACTCAGCAGTGGGAACTAAAAAAATAGGCGCGTGTGACGGACCTGGTGGACGCGCAGGTGCGTGTAGAGGTGCGCCATCGCTGCGGCAAGTACGCACGCACGCTTCCTTGTCGCTGCGGCGCAATGGCTGCAGTGCAGATGGGAAAGGGGATGACAAAGCAAAGAGGTTAGAACCAAAAGCAACGTGAAACGTCCAGTGTCCCGTGTCATATATATCTCATCTCTATTTCATCTGAGTTCCACTCCCCCCCCTCCCCAACACAGTCCAATGGATCCGCACCCTCGTTCCTGAATGGAATCGAGAAAGTTGCGCGAGACTCGGTGCAACTGGAACTGCCACCAGACCTCTATATGTAGATTGCGCCCCAGGCGACCCCTAGTCGACCCTTTCCCGGGGATTCTTTCTGGGAAAAAGGGTGGAATTAGAATTGAATGGTGGGTGGCATGCTGATCGACAGTTGCTGACTTGCTGAGCACAAGAGGCAATAGACGTGTCTGCCGTGGAGGGACCTCGGAAGCGCACCCCATGCACGCATACCACGCCATGCCGCCAGGCACAGGACAGCAGGTGGCGACGCTGGACGAGCACGAGGTCGGTGCCACTGGCGGCAGCGGCGGGGGTGGCGCGCCTCAACGAGAGCATCGGCGCGTGGAACCAGGCGTTCCGTGGGTCTCGCGGCACTGCACCGTTCTGTGCCATGCCTTTTGAGCATGCTGACCCGAGCCCCCGCCGCCTCTCTCTCCCACTTTCTGCAGACGCCGCTGTCGAGTCGGTCGAACGGGACACAATCTCCCGTTTGGACGCCGTACTGCTCGACGCACCTGCAGCGGCGCCAGGCGATGAGCCAGACTGCGGCACTGCCGCCACCGCCACCAGCTCGTTCCTCATCGAGCACACCCCCGCCTTCTTTGAACAGGTCGCCGGCGCCGCCGCATCCAACGAGCGCTACGCTGCGCTCGTCCAGTCCAACACCGTCGCAGGGACCTTTCGCCACGCGATGGAGGCAGATTGGGCCGGGCGCGACACACCGACGACGACGAGATGCATGCGGACTCTGCCCCAGGTGACCGTGTTTGCTTCGTGGCGCGGTGCAGACACAAGCCCGCCGCGGCATATATGGCACCGTCACACTCGTCCCCGATCCCTGTGGCCGTGTCCACACGCCGTTGCCGCCACCCATCAGCCTACATCACCGCCACCGACCACGACAACGACTACGACCCGCTCGCCGTCGCCGGCAGCAGCAGCGACGGCGGTGAGAGCATTCTCCCGCTCTGCCTCTCGCACCACGACCCGGGCACGTCGGAGCAGTGCCCAGTCAACGTTAGCGTCCACGTGCTGAGCTCGTACCTCTCCGAGGATCAGCTGCTTGCGCTCGTGTGCGCGATGCGCGCCAAGGCCGCCGCCAACGCGCGCTTCCGCGCCGGCAACCTTCGGAGCGCAGAGCATGTATACGTCGCAACCATACACGCCGTTCTGCCTGCAAGCTTCCTCGACGCGGCCGTCGACGCACAGCATCAAGATTCCCACGATGCCCGTGCAGCGCCGCCAACCGGTAGCGCCAGTGGCAGCATGTCGCTCATGCTTCATTTTCAACGTCTTGTCCTCAAAGCGAATGGCGCGACGCCGATCGAGCCGAACGTCCTGCTCAACCGTGCAGCTGCGTAGCTCAAGCTGCAGAAGTACGTCCATTGCTCATCCCCCTCTGCCTCTTTCAAGTCGCGAGGGAGATGTGCTGACTCGCCTCGCCCAGCGATCGCTTCACATCTTTTGCACTAGATTCAAGGAAGCAGAGGACTCGAACACGCTCGTGCTGATCGACGCGCTGGCCCTCGTACACAGATCAGCGGTGGACGCGAGCTAGCGAATGAAGAAACGGGACCAGGAGAGTACAAATGCGGACGCGGGCGCGCACACATCCATGAAGCAAGATCGATGACCCGCTGGCGCCACTGCTGCTCATGCTGGACGCCCTTCGCTGCGCACGGCAGTCGTTCGCGCCCGTATGCTGCAGAGCACGAGCGATGGCACTCTCCTGCGCCCGCACCATCCGATCAAGCACGGCCATTCCTCGCAGGGGGATGCGCCTGCCCCTGTGTTGGCGCAGCAACAGCAGCACAAACCCAAGACCGAGGGCGCAGACGGCGCCCTCGTCGGTCTGCGCTGGAAAGGACTCATCCCGCGCGGAAAGGTGCGATGCGCGGTGTTCGAGGTGCAGCTGGAGCGCGACCTCGGTGCCCTGCGTGCAGAGGAGCAGGCGCAGGCCGAGACCGACAGGAAGACACAGGCGGAGGCGCAGGAGCAGGAGCTCGCAAAACTAAAGGAAGTGTCGTTTGCCTCTCTCTCGGGCCCGGAGTCAGATGTTCAGCTTGGGCAGCCCCAGTCCGTAGCGGCGCAGCTACCGGAGAACAGCTCCCTCTACGGTGACCACGGCCTTCAGCAAGACCAGGTTGATGCCAATGCGCCCGACAACCCCGCTGTCGGGTCCACAGCGATGAACGACCATGGCGCGCCAGACTGGGCGCACGCCGCTCCCGCTCATGCTCCGGAAGACCGTTCAGCTGAAGCTGTAGCATATGGTGATGATCCAAGCACAAGCAAAAAAGAGAAAAAGAAGAAGAAAAAGTCACCGGGAGAGACGCAGTTAATGGAGAGGAAGGACGCGGAGAAGTCAAGAAAGCAGAAGGGGGAAGCGGCCAAGGAGTCGCTCACTCCATTGCAAAGGCTACAGCGGTGCGAGAGGCTACTGAGGCATGCGAAGCAGGGTGAGTCACTTCCTCTCCTGGCCGTCTCACAGACAAGTCCAACTGACCAGCGTCGGGCGTTCATTTGCGCAGATTTCACCGACGCACTGGCGATCCACGCGAACGAGACGGCTCTCTTCGAGTTCGAATCATTGCGGGCAGTGGAGACACGAAGCTCTGAGCCTCTTTAGCCGAGTGTGCATCTCCTGCTTGCATTCTTCACCCTGTTCCCCACGAGCCCGAGCCCTTCAACACTTGTTCTTGCGACCGTCCGGTTCCCTCCCTCATTCACTTAGCAGGAACACAACTGTCCTTGACCTCCCCAAATTCTCGCACATCGCTCATACATGCGCAGGTACCAACACGCGTAGCTCCTTAATTCCGCAAGTACATTCATCTGTAGCATTTCAGCAAAGCAAAGCGCAACAATAGAAACGATCAATCAGTTGCATGTACCCTCGCGAATGCAATAACACAGATGCCTTGGCTACTGCTCACCTACTCCCCCAGAGCCAGCAACGCTCCGCCGGGCCAGGATCGCACCCTGTTTGATCGGTGTCACTTGCACCGCTCCTTCTCCCGGCTGCACGCTTCCACCAGCCCCGTTTTGCAGGGGTGAGTAGGGAGTTGTTCGCTGCTGTTGCGCTTGCGTTTGCTCTCATGTCTGCTGCTCAGCCGTGCTTTTGGTACCGGTGGCACCAATCGCCGAACCCGTGCCCGTCGAAGACTTAGCGAGGCGCCTCATTACGCTTTCCAGCTTCCTCTCGTTCTCGCTCATCTTGCCCCTGTCGGCGCTGCTTGCAACACTGGAAGTGGAAGCGAGGCTGCTGGCCTTGGTCCCGATACGGATATCAGTGGCGATTCGCGGCACGCCCTGCGCGTGCACCGCAGCGTGGCAGGCGTGGATGGCTTCGGACACCAGCGGCCAGGGGCCCTCAAGGTTTGTCCCATAGCCGCTGTCGAGATGAAAGAGAAAGCGGGTAGGAAAGGGTAAGCGAATGCCAAGCGAGATGAAGCAACCGGCCAGGCAAACAGCAGTAAATCAAGAAATGGTTCAGAGCCGGATGGTCGACTTTTATACTCACTGCATCTGTTATAAGATCAATACGCATGTGAAGCAACGCTCGAGCTGTCAGTCAGTCGCAGTATTTAGTCAAAGCAATATACAGCCCCGAACTGGACCCCTGTCACAGTGTATGTGGTGACAAGGCGGGGCACGCACCTTGAAAACCAACCCTTGAGCTTCGAAGCCTTCCAAGATGCGTGCGCACTCTGCGATGTGCTCTCCGACAGAAGAGCTTCCGGTACCCATGGGTATCACTGTTTCAGCAGGCATAGGACCACAGGCGCAAAAGTAGACATCCATGTCAGCTGGCCATTCGGGGGAACGGTCATGGAGCGACTGGGGACGTAACACATGGCCACTCACGGCAAAAGTCCGCCACGGCGAAGAGCGTGTCGACCGTGGTCATCTTTAAGATTATTCCAAGGGGTGAAAGCTGAGAACTCCCGACAGCTCTTGCGCTTTAGAATATGACGGTCCAGCGGGATCCGGATAGAGAGGATATGATAGAAGAGGATGTGAGTGATGCCATACTAGAAGGACTATGAAGATGACGTGTCAAGCTTCGCGTGTTGGCGTCATTGTGCAGCGACGCGCACACTCGGTGCAAATACATTCCCTTCACTTGTTCCCCCACCCCCCACCGTCCGCTTCTTTCATCCTCTCCTTTTCGCTGATGATGCACATGACCATCTTCCTGCTTCCTTGTGTCCACGCAGGCCCATCAAGAGAGCCTCGACAGCAGCTCAGACTGGAAGCGCAACCCGCTCCTCTTCTCCAGCAAGAAGAACAATACAAGATGGCGGCGGTTACCGCTGTCGGCCTGCAGATCGCCACGGGCGTACTCATCACGTATCCGTGGGAGGTGATCGAGACGACATACAAGGTCACTTACCAACCCAAGCGATCGGACCAGGCCGTCGCCGACGAAAAGACCTCGAATTTGGCTACAGTGTCGAAATACACAAACAGCTGGAATGTCGCGAGCCGCATTGTCCAAAAAGAAGGCTACCTCGGCTTGCTGCGCGGTCTGCTTCCCTCCTTCACTCTCACTGCGCTATACTCCTTCTCGCTGGACCTTTTGTCGCAAGCAGCCTTCCAGACCATACAGGTTAACACCCCGTTTCAGTTCCTCATCCTGCGCGAATCGACCACTGCGTTCACACGCGCCGCCTTCTCGCCTCTGACGACGCTCGTCACACGTTTCATTGCCCGGCCAGAGGCGCGCAGAGTCGTACCGGGGCCGCTGGCATTCCACCCGGGAGCGATTTACCGAGCCTGCACCTCCGATGCCGAGTCCGGTGCAGATGCTGGGAAGAGTGGCTCGCTCAAGGCACTGTACACATACAATCCACGTGTGATGCTCCTGGAAGCGTCTGCGTCCCTGACGGCCGGCCTGGCCAACTCGCTGCTCGTCCCGCCGCTAGTGCAGCTGCTGTACACATTCGGCTCGGGCTCGTTCCTACAGTTGAACAGCGAGGGATGGCAGCAGGTCGGCATGCTGGCGTGCGTCGCTAGCACCGGCGTGCTCGCCCGGCTCGTCAACTTGGCACTTGACACGGTGTCGAAGCGTCTGCAGGTGCAGGCATCGCACGGGTCGGACGACGGGATCGTCTGCCTGCGCCCGATGCCCTACCGCGGTATTCGTAACGCGTTTGCGCGCATCGTCGAGGAGGAAGGTGCCACAAGCCTCTTCCGCGGTTGTGGACTGTATGCGCTCAGCTCGACTACGCTTGCGGGGCTCAGCGTGCTGGTCGCCGTCGCCGAGGGGCAAGTATAGGCAAATGAGAGCTGGCCACAAAAGACGGCAGACAAGTAGCCGCCACAAGCACTGTTCCCAGCTCATGTCATTACACAACATGTATCATACCTGCCAAATGCGTCGACACCGCTTTTAGTATCTTTTCCCTCCGAAGCATATGCTTCTTTCACTTGCAGCATTTGGACGCTCGCCTGCGCCAAGTCGATCGCCTGGTGGTATGTTCGAGCGGTAGGTATACACAGCGGCTAACACCTCCGAACTGATGAACATAGATGGCGCAAGGCGTAGTACAAGACGACGCTCAAGCTCAAACCCGGCCGTCAGAACACAGGACTCGACGACAAAATTGTTCCAGAATCGCACACCACGACACAGTTCGTGCGCCACATCTTGCAGGCACGCTCAGCATGCGTTGCAAGCTAGGATCGCACACGATCTTCAATTGACTGCGATAGGAGGAGGGTTTTTACATGGCGTATCTAGCGGGATGCGCAGCGAGGCGAGTGAGAAGTATGAGCAAAAAGCGAAAGAGAGAAAGAAGCGAAAAAACGACCTCATTCGTCAGCGCTCGTTCATGTGGACACGATGTGGGCTACAGCGCTATGCGCTTGTGCGCTTCGCTGTGCAGAAAGAAATAAAATGAAAGGTCAAAACTCACTTCCTCGTCCACTCCCTCGCCGTGTTCTCGTAGCGCGGTCTATCCGTCTTATAGAGGTTTGCAATCTCCGGAACAAGCGGGTCGTCTGGGTTCGGGTCGGTGAGCAGAGAGCAAATGGAGAGGAGTACTGTGGAGAGAAAAAAAGAGTGTGAGGGGGGATGGACGTGTTCAGTTTGCGCGAGGAGAAACCCGAGGGTGGCACATAGCAGTGCCACGCTGCGCTGCGCACCTTTGCTGATCGTCAGCGCTGGGCTCCATTGGTCCCTGAGGATGTCGAGGCAGATAGAGCCGTTCGTGTTGATATTCGGGTGATAGATCTTCGTCTGGAAAGAGACCTTGGGCGGCTTGAACGGGTAGTCGGTGGGGAAGGTGATGCTGAGGAAGAAAACGCCTCCGGAGTACGGCGAGTCGCTCGGACCCATGATAGTTGCTTGCCAGTTGAACATGTTGTCCCCCGTCGGTCCGGCGCTGCATGATGACGGTGGGTCACGACCGAGGTCGTTGAGCTCCTTGTTGATCCGTTTCAGCGCCATCTTGTCTGCGGTTTGATGTGATCTGCTACGCTGCACCAACTACGCCGAAATGAGAACATGCGAAAGGGCTGTGAGCAGAACATTCTCGTGCTGGGAAAATAAGTAGAAGGAAGAAGAGGGGGAGGTGCATGGTGCATCTCATTTTCATAATCTCAGACTTGCAATGAGATCTGCAGCATCCTTCTTTGCAAGAGTTAACTTTGAGGCTTGGCAGCCACGAGGTGAAGAGGCCGAGCCTTATCTTTTCTATGCCACATCCTTCGCATGGTAGCACCTCCATGTCGCACTCATAAGGATAGAGGCGACCCTCTACCATCTGACTGCATCCCACCTGAGTGACACAGCACCTAATCTGAGCACTCCATCCCTTCTACCACGTTGCCACTCCGATCTCACAACCTGCACAACAGTGGCATCTGCAAAGTCCCCTTGCTACCCCCTGTGCATTCCCCGCAAGTATCATATCATTCTGCCCTGAGCTAAATGGAGAGGGCATGTGCTGCGTCGCATCGGCCTGGAACGAATGAACGAGGCAGGCTGCAAAGCACTCCTTGCGCCTGCCGTTGCGGCAGGTTTCCGCCCAGGCGACTTGCCCGACACAGCGATGCCGCTACTTCCTCTTCTCCCTTGGCAAGGGGGAAGATCCTGTCTCCTGAGTCCTCTCCCTATTCTGGCCCTCCTTTCGTCGAGTCCGCGACGCAGTCGAAAAGGGCGAAAGGCACTCGTGCCAGAGCTCCGCAGCGAGGGAAGGAAGCGCGCAGCGATCGCGTGTCAACTCACCTCTCGTCTCTTGTCTGTTTCTCTCTTCTCTCTTCCGTATGCCAGGCGCGCTGTGTGTCTTTTCGGCGGTCGTGACCTGGGTGGGTTCGCGGGTGGGGGTGTTGCTGGGTCCAGGCTGGTACGGAGTGAACAAGGGACGATGTGCAATGCTGGACGTGTGATGATGATGCTGTTGCTGCTATGGTGTTGGTGAGCGAGCGGCAGAGGGTTTGCCATGCGATAGGGAGAGTGTCCCAGTGCGCCTGTTGCAGGTACCACCGCCGTTGTCTTCTTTCCCCTTCTCCGGCTGACTGCCTTCTTCCCCATGGCCCCGCTGCGCTGCAGTGCTGCAAGTTTTCCTTCTCGCCTTGCCCCTGCCAGCAGCCGCCATCGCAAAGAGCGCTTTTAGTTCTACAGTCCTCGAACCAGTTGGTCTAACCTCCGCCGATCGGAACGGCGTCCCACGAATGAAGCAAAGAGGGCTTTCACAGTGAAGTAGCTCAGTCATCTTCTACACCGCACATTATACGTATTCTACTACAACACGTGTCGCTGCTGCTGCGTTGGACGCATCCCACGCAAGATGTCCATCGACGATGTTGACACACATGTAGCAGCGTCCTCGCCGGCCCAGCGTTGGTGCGTAGGACTGCTCTTCCGATCGATCTGTCCAGCCAGCGGCCTTGGGTAGCTGAGTCCATTCGCCTCAGACCCGAGGAAAGCCGGGGAGGCAACCTCAGCATGCAGCCATGTCGCAGCCTGCACCCAGCACGACCGCATCGAACGCTGAGCTCCTCGCTGAGTCGGTCATTTTTCCGCACAGCGGTCACAGAAGCCACAACAGGCTGTTAAAGGCGCCGATGGAGGAGCTGCTCGCGTCCGTCTTTCCTTCTCTCCTCGCTGACGGTGGTGCCCCCGCCCTCACTGCCACCACAGCCGAGAGCCGACATGGTGACATGAAGATGACCAAGGTGCCGCCGCACATGCCCAACGAGCACCACCTCTCCCTCTACCGTGTCTGGGCAAAGGCAGGCTGGGGAGTAGTCATCACAGGAAATGTAGCCATTGACCCTACGCACCTTGGCACGCCATTCGACATTGCCCTGCCGCCTCTGCTCGCCGGCGCGACGCTTGCGATCCAGTCGCAGCGGCAGCACCAGCAGCAGCTCGACAGCAGCGGTCAGGGTGGTAGCAGGCGCGCGGCACGCAACGCCGTGTACAAGATCTACCCGCAAGCAGACGCAATCCTGCACGCTTTCAAACGCTACGCTCGAGCCGTCAAAGGTCTGCCGGACTCGGACGCTGACCCCGAGGACGACGACCTTGGTAGCGCTAACGCCGACACCGATGCGAAGCGACCGCTTGCGATCTGCCAGCTGGTGCACGCAGGCCGCCAGTCGCTGCGCGGGGCCGGCCGCTCGCTGCTGCGCTCTCCTTGGGCGCCGAGCAGCGTCCCCATGCGGCCGTCGACTAAGGGCGCCTCGGCGGCGCTGTCGCTGCGCACGCCAGGCGCGCTGCTCGGCGCCGCGATCGACTACCTCATGTGGGACACGCCGCACGCGATGACGCTCGACGACATTGCGCAGCTCAAGGCGCAGTTCCTTGCCGCTGCGCTGCTGTGCCAGGCCACCGGCTTCGACGGCATCGAGCTGCACGCAAGCCACGGGTATATGCTCGCGGCGTTCCTGAGCCCCAAGTCGAACACCCGCACGGACCGGTACGGCGGCAGCGCAGAGGGTCGCGCGAGGCTGCTGCTCGACTTGGCGCAAGAGGTCAAGCAGGTTTGCGGCGAAGGCTTTGCCATCGGTATCAAGGTGCGCTATGGGTTCTGCGGCTCGCCTTTGGCATTCATCGAAATGGGACTGACCGCATCTTCCCTCAAACGCCACTCTCTCCTCAGCTTAATTCGGCGGACTACGTGGCGGGTGGCTTGACAGAGGATGACGCCTTGCAGAATGTCCTCTGGCTCTCGCAAGCAGGCTGCGTAGACTTTATTGAAATCAGCGGCGGCAACTATGAGAACCCATCGTTCATATCCCCCGACGGCTTCAACCCGGAGCTGGAGAAACTACCCACAAGTCAGAAAGATGGAAAGAACAAGTCTGCTGCCGACAAGAGTGGCAATACTGACACCAAGCCGCGCCAGAGTGGTCAGACCAAGCAGCGCGAGGCGTTTTTCCAGTCCTTTGCGCAGCGAGCTCGCCGAGTGCTTGAAGAAAACCCTGCTTCGCCGCTTTCCGCGCCACCGCTCCTTTGCATCACTGGCGGGTTGAAGACGCGCACAGGCATGGCGTACGCCATCCGTGCCGCGCGTGTCGACATGGTCGGCATCGGGCGCTACGCGTCCGTGCATCCGGACCTGCCACGTATCGTGACGGACGCATCCATCGCCGACGCCGACACTCTGTGCGCCGACCCGCAGGTGTACACCGTGCCCAACGTTCAGTACGCCGCACTCGTTCCGCTGCAGCTCGTTGGCGCCGGATGGAGTACGCTGTGGCACAGCGCGCAGCTCCACTTTCTCGCGAAGCAGGGTAGGGCGAACGTCCATGCTGGCGTAGCCGCTGTCCTGATGACTGTCTTGGCGCCGTCTTTCTCTGTCGCCAAGTCCTCTCTGCAGCTTATCGCTGTCATCCTCGTTGCCTACTTGGCTTCACGCTGGAGCAGTCTCCTGTCACGCCTCAATTAATAAGACTCATTGCGCCTAGAACGATCTCCCATACTTCCGAGTTATTTTGATACAACAAAAAGGCCCCTTGCAACGGGACCATCATCAAAATTTCTGCTGATGTATCGCATCTTACACGATTACAACAAACTGGTATAGAAATGTAGAAACCGATGCTCAACGAAGCTTTGCGAATGGATTGAGCGCAGTGCTTTGGTTGCGCTTCTCGATCATGCTCTTCCTAGGCGTGTTCAGGCCCCAGAATCTAAGCGTCTCGTCTCCGGCGCCCGTGACGATCGTCTCGCCGTCGGGGCTCATGGCGAGATAGAGAACACGCATGGTGTGCCCGGTCAGCGTCGCGACCTGCTGCATGTTAGGATAGCGCCACACTTGAATCTGATTCTGCACCTTGCCCGCTGAGTAGCCATGCGTGGAGACGAGCTCGTTCGACGTCTTGCTCCACATCAGATTGCAGATCTGGCTCCCTGTATCAATCTCGGAGGTCATGGTGCCGTTGAGCGTATTCCAGAAGCGAATCGTCATGTCCGCCGTGCCTCCACCCGAGGCAAGCAAGCCCTGCTGATGCGGACTCCATGCGATCGCCTTAACGGCTGCCTTGTGGTTGGTAAAGCGATATAGCGGACTCTCCATGAGACCCTCCCAGACGTACAGGCGATTGTCGTTGCCACCGCTCGCCAGTTGATTCGAATCGGAGTTCCATTTAAGCCCGCAAACTTCCTGTCGGTGCCCGCGCAGCTCTCGGATCGTATGCTCTGGGACACGTACGTCGCGATGATAAATGATGCGATCACGGCTCCCGGAGGTGAGGATATGCTCATTCCAGGCTAACGACCCGACTCGAGCTGAGTGCCCTCCCATCGTCCTGATCAATTTGCATGTCTCCGCATCCCAAATTTGGACGTTCCCACTATTTGTCCCTACTGCGACGTGTGTCCCCTGAGAAGAGGGGAGTGGTCACAGCGTCAGCTAGAGACCGGGGGGTCTATAAACAGCTTTAACACGCACCCTGCCAGTCCAGTTGAGCGAAGTGACCTTATCGCTCTTCCCCTTCAAGTCGCACAGCTTCGTAACCGCCGAGTCCTTTGCAGACCACAGATAGACGCATGCACCCAGCCCTACGCCCAGGACATTACCCACAGACCAGTCGACCAAGTTCAAGTAGAAATCGTCCTGCGTGGCAAAGAGCAAGATTCAGTCCATCGCTTTGTATACGGAATTGAAAGAGAACTCACGGCCAGCTCGGGTGCGTCCAGCACCTTGAATGGAACCTTGCTCAACGTCCGGGGTGTCCTCTTTGGGCTCTGCAGCAACTTCTGGCTCTCCGCTTTGACAGGGCTCGTACTGTATGCCTTGTGCAATGGCGAGTCGAGCGACTCAATGTCTCCTGCTGTGGAACTCCCGCTGAATAGTATCGGCAGCCCAGCTGGGCTATCTGACGACCCAGCATATACCCTGCTCACACTGCCCTCAGCACGGCGCCGATCCCGGGAGCTTGCGCTCGTTGGGCTTTGATAAGAGAAGAGATTTCGACGCGACGGCGTCCGGGGAGACTGATTCGGTCCGGACCCTGGGCTCGCTGCAGGAACCCCCGTCACTCCTCCGTTAAGAGCATAAGCCCGAGCTGCTGCCCCTGAAGCCAAATCACCGAACAGCTCCGTCCCGAGCACTGAAGAGAATGCCTGATTTGCTTCGGCTGCGATGAGAAGCGTGCTTTGCGGTGAATGCAGAGCCCTTAGTGAAGAACATGCAGCTTACTTACCCTTCTGTGTGTCCATATCTGCGGGGATCTTCCTCTTTTGTCTCTTCGGCGTGATCGGCTCGTCATCCAGCATCTGGTAAGCATCATGCAGATCGTCACCGTTGCGGGTTGGAATGAATCTGATGTTGCCGCGCAGTCCAGTCGTGAGCAATCACGCTCTTGTGACTCGCAATGTACCCTCACCCACCTGTCAATGTACGTCCTCCCTTTCCTGGGCGTAGTTGGCCTGCTGCCTCCCATGCTGCTGTCATAGCTGGTGGTGCTTCCCATATTGTAATCCGACTTACTTCTGCCGTTCAACCCCATTCCCTGTGCCATTTCCGCGATCCTCCCTGCCTCTGACGTGCTCGGCCCCGCCAGGGGATCCATGAGACTTGTCGAGGACGATGGCATACCTGCGCTGCCTGTTCGGTAGCCATGGAGAGACCCCGCAGTAGGAGAGGATGAACCGCTGCCGCCTGCCGACTGCGTGCGCAGCCTGCGTCCGAATTCGGATTGATACATGCCGACGGCTTCCGCGTGGGCGTGGTGCTCGGTAGTGGAATCTCGGGCGTGCAGCCGGCAAGGAAAGGCGCGATGGCACTTTGCTTATTAGAAGAATCCAACCGATTGTTTGTGGCCACTGGTGATGGAATTGGCGTCCTTTGTACCTCGTGATGAGGTGATATGGTTGGTACCTATGGAGGGTAGAAGCTCCGCCAACGGCGATTAGACGCCGATGCAGCCCCTGGCGTTGTTGATGAGAGTTGTGACAGCCAAGACTCAAGTGGCAGCTGAGAGACTTTAGACCTTGTGAAGAGACAACAAGCTGTCGGACGACCAGTACTGGCTTGGACTTTATACACCAACGAAAGTCAACCAGAGGAGGTGGCATAGATCCCTGTGGTAAGATGCTGAGATGATCCGATAGGTCAGTGTTAGTAGAGAGAGAGACCTGTTCTCGCAGGCTTTGTTTGTCTGCTCTGATGGTAACAGCACTTGACGCGTCTCTCTCGAAAAGTTGCCGACAAGCCGATGCGTATCTCCAACGAGACAGTCATCAAAGAAACACCTTTTGTTCTTCAATTCTCAAGTTAAGGTACAACGGATGCCCTTGGCGGTTTCGACCCTGTGTTTTGCACCTTTCTTTCATCCTTGAAAGATTCGAGAAGTCCTGTTCGGATCGGTTGCTTCTGAATTGAGAGATTTGGACGGACGCAACGAGTTCATCGCCCAAACAAGGATCCGCAAACAATGGAAGACGTTTTGCACTGCAACCGGCTCGAGTGTCGCAAGAACTTGGGCTCAGAGGGTATTGACGCTTCAAAAAGCTATCAAAGCAGCATATGATCGCCGTACTGACACTTCAAAGATCTGCTCTGCGCACTGAATGGTCTACATATAGGTCAAGCTGTGGTCACAACCTGCTCGCGTAAGGACGGCGCCGCACTGGACCTAGCTTGTATTTATCGGCCCTGACTGGCTTGCTTGCAGACATCTTTTGCCGTAAGACCAGGCGTGGCCATGTGCATTCTCCACAGCACGACGCACCATGCCCATTCCTGAACTATGGTAATCCCTGACCTTTGCGTCCCCTGCTGCTAAAGTCACCTGCGCCAACAAGTACTTCACCGAAACCAGATCCTGCCCGGCTTGTGAGGCCTCTCTCGATCAGCCCGACGATGTCGTCGTCTCTTTTCTCAACCCCAGCGCCGATTATAGGACGGTGCGCGGCTCAGACCTTTCTTAGAATCAGCGCGCCACTCTGAGACCCAAAACTGCCCGTATTGGTGCCATGTCATGACTGAAAAGCTGACTGTATGCGCCCAATTTGCAGTCCGTACTCGCAGGGTTGGCCCCAGGAATCGTCATGGAAATCGCTAGCCGTAGCTTGAGCTTCTGGCAGTATCAATGCAGCCAAGAAGTGCCTTTAGACATTCTTCAATCGAGCCGCGCCACGGCCTGTTGACGCTTCTCCATGCTCCAACCCAATCTCTGTCCCTTCTCTCGTTTCCCCTGTCAATACCTTCTGACCGTTCTCAACAGGCGATGTTTCAACGCTTGGTCCTTAAGAATGCTCAAGAGAGGGCTACGACTCTTGAGGCCCAACTGCGCACGACGATCAGCGAAGGTGTGTGCAGTCAGACATCGCCAAAATCGGCTTCAGCCAGGTATTTGTGGGGGGAGGGGGTCTGAATGCAAGTTATCTCCTTCTTACAGCCAACAACCAACTCGCTGTGTTGCAGACGAAAGTCAATGGTACGTCCGTACCGGATGCGCCCATTATATACGCATGCTTGACTTAGAGCACGCCCCGCCTGGTGCTTCTCAGACCTGACACAGGAGGTCAAAGGGGAGAAGAGAGTGTCATACGAACTGAGGGAGAAGCTTCGCTCCGCGAGCAAAGACTATGAACGCTTGAAAGTATGTGGCTAATCGGCAGACTTACTGTATGCTGGTGACCGAAGGCTCAACTTGTGCTCTTAGGCTCAGCTCGATCGTAACATGCGCCAGTCTCTCATTCCCGGCCGTACACCGGGTGCTATGCTCTCTGAAGCAGCTGCTAATGTCATTCAGCAACCAAAACCCGTGCACGCAACCCCTGCTCGCTTCTATCCTTCTCAAACGCAAATGGCCCGCAATCGCACATCACCGGTCGCTCAAGGCGGAGGCGGAAGCACTGCCAATTCTGGAGCCGCTAATGGCTCGACGGTTGGAGGCCTTGCACATGCACCGGCGAGCATCTGGCAAGCGCAAGCTCAAGCTCAGACGTTCTCTGCCGACGGCATTCATTTTGCGGGACCGAACACGTTTACGAGAAGCAACAGTTGTCGCAGGAGCACCCCTCGCTCGGCATCTGGCGATCATCACGCAGGCGCAGGAGATGTTATCATGCACGGACGCTTCGACAATCGCAGGACTGCTGTTCCGGTCAAAGTGAGCTGTGGCGAGTTTCTGCGGAAGATGAGTGCCCTGATATAACATGCGACGTTTCTACAGCGCACGCCCTCGCGCACACCATCTCGCAACACTTCCCACTCCAACTCCGACGTGCTTCAAAGTTCGCGTGCAAGCAATGGTCCTCTGGTCACGCCCAAGACCACGAGGACAACCAAGCCGAGCCTAAATGAATTCTTCCATTTGGACCGTTGAACGTGTCATCAGTTCAACTTCAGCAGTGTAGCGGAATATTGCTAAGCAGAACACTCAGAGCCAGAGGTACCAGTGTAGCTACCGCTGCCCTCTTCGCTGCCGTCGTCGCCAAGGTCTAGGTCCTGCGTCTCCATCTCGTAGCCAACCGCAGTGAGCGCATCTGCAATCTCCTGGGTCCGACTCGGGGTGCTCGCAATGGCGCAGATCGAAGTGTCCGGATCGAAAATTGGCAACACATACTTCTTGAGCGCCTCGCGCACTGCGGGCAATGTGACACTCTGTAAATGGGGAAAAGCCAAACATGATCAATATTTGAAATCATGCTAGAGGGCCATCAAACATTTACGCACGCCAGTCTCTTCAAGAAGCCGTTTGCCTCTGTTCTTGCCAGTACCCTTCATGACCGAATCGATGAAGCTTTCTGAAGCGGCCGCTCCGACGGTCCCTTCGCTATCAGCAACGCTGAAGTGCAAGCTCGACTTCGCGCTCTCGACTGTGGTCTCGTCAAGCTTCATCTCGCCGCTCGCCAAGGCCTGAATGACCTTGCGCGCCTCTAGAAAAGCTTTGGCAGAATCCGGCGAACGATATAGCGAAAAGCTGATCAGCTGCGATTCGGGGTCGCTGCTGATGGATGCTCCGTAAGCCCTATTTGCAGATACGTAATATGTCAGTCAAAAGTCGGAACTCAGAGCCTTAACAGGTCACTCACAAGCCTGCGCCGCGGATGAACCGCCAGAGGTAGGATTCCATAGCATTGAGCACAGCAACCGCAACTACTACCGCCGCATTGTCCGGGTGTTGGTAGTCCTCAATACCGCGGGCGGTAAAGTAGGCGTAGGAGCTCTCGATCGTAGGAAGCGAGCAGACCAGACCCTGTGTGACGAAAACACCAAAGATCCTGTTAGTGTTATAGGAGGGCACAACTTGGAAGGCAAGGCGCTCACCTTTTTAAAGGGCATCTTGCCGATAGGCGTCAGCACGTTTCGCGCCCACTGCACTGGAAGAGTGTCTTGTGGCTGCCAACCTGTGACGAAGTTCTTCCTGAAGCTGTCACGTGGAGCCTTGAGAGATAGGACGTCGCCCGCAACGGAGACGCGCATGTTCTCCGGGCGGAAGATCGTAGATCGTATCTGCTCAAACATGGCAACCACCTTATCTGGCTCGTCTGCCAGCAGCTGCGTGACCTCCGGAAGCGAACGAGATTGCTCAATGACAGTGTTAGCCGCACTGGATGAGCGCGACACATCTCGCGTCAGCTGCCTCAGCAAGGCGGCCGAGATGCTACGGCCGTCACGTTTCTGCTCTGGCAGTGATTGAATGAGCTTCGCCGCTGCGACCCGCAGCCGCTCAACGGCAAATTCGCCGCCCCATACCAAGTCGCGGAGCCAGGCGATCGCATTTTCGTAGTTCTCCTTTGGAACCTTCAGGTCGATGCAGATGTTCTCCGAAAAGCCATAGCCGACGCCGAGCGACGCCTCGTACTCGAGCGTGTCCTCGTCGAGTAACTTGATCACCTCCTCATACGAAAGCTTCTGCCCACTGCCGTCCTGTTTTGTGACGGGGAGGAGGAAGAGAGTCGAGAGGAAAAGAGTAATGTGTGGTCGCAGCTCCGCGGACAGGTTTGCGGTCGAAAAAATGAGGCTGACGGTCAAGAACGCTGAGGTCACGTCTATCTCGAAGGGATAAAATGCGGGTCAACTGCGTCTCCTCCTGAGGTTTCTACCGAATACCCACGATCGAATTGCACAAAGAAGGGCAAAGAAGCACCGTCAGCATCGACATGCGCCTGTACCTTTCTATCCAGTTCGGAAATATTTGCGCTTGGAGGCATTGGAGACTTGGCTGTCGGCAGGTTTCTCGCAGTTCCCACTGAAATCCACTGGATGCTGTCTACGCCTGGGATCTTGAAGCGGCTGAGCATGTCGGACGGAAATTCCTTATCGTTCTCCTTCTTCGCAAGTTCAAGCTTCTCTTCGAGTTTCTGGAGGCCAGCTTCGCCAAGCTCCTTCTTGCGCGACTCAACCAGTTCTTTCGTGTCTGCACGCAGCTTGTCCGCTAGTAGTGCCGATGGTCGGCCGATGACAACCAGACGCGCGCCGTCGACGAAATACCGTGTGAGCACATCTACCCATTGCTCCGATGTCCACGTGTCTAAGATATCGAAACGTCGCATGTCGTCCATGGCCTTGTCTAGGTCGGATCCGTCACGCTTCCCGTAGAGAAAGTCGGCCTGGCCGTAGACATCAAGCGAGATTAGTCGAGCCTGCAATGGCAAGACCGTGAAGAGGAACATGGCTTGAAGCACTCACAATGAGGACATCGGCAAAAGAGTCCGCAGGCTTGGTCTCCAGATGGCTAAGCAGCTTTAATCGATCTCGCTTGATTACCGTCTTCATACGATCCATGTCGATCCCTTTCTCCGCAACCTTGTTAAGAAGCACAACCAGTTCTCCATCGAGCGTGTCTAAGCGCTCCATCGGCACGCTGGAGAAGTACGCATAGAGCGTGGTGACGCCCGCCTTGTCTGCGCTGCCGAACGACACGTCCGTGCAGTAGGGGTCGTCGCGCTCGACAAAGGCATGCTGGACGGGTGATACAGCGTTCTCGGTCAGGTAGGTGCTCAACACACTGATTGCCTCGTTCTGGAGCCACTCGTCGATCGTGGGACCGAGCCAGGTGATCTCTACCTCGCCCATGCTCTCGTCCTTTTCGGGAAACTCGACGACAGCCGTGCGCCGGTCTCTGCGGTTGGGTCTTGCATCTGCTTGTACATTCTCTTCGCCTGCCGCTTTCCCTGGGATTGCCTCGATGGTGGGCGGTACGGCTGAAGAAGTCTCGAGAAAAGGGCGCTTCCAGCCGGGCGGTCCACGCACGCCAAAAGCGAGATGCTTACCCACGAGCTTCTGCTCGACGGGTGCAACGGCGTCGAGCAGCGCTTGGCGATCCAAGGGCCCACAGATGACGAGGGCAGCGTTATGAGGCGCATAATACGTCTGGTGGTACTGTCGGATCTCTTCGATGGACAGCACGCGCAGGGCTGACATGAGCCCGCCCGTCTCGCTCCGGTACGCCGAGCTGGGCGGGTAGAGCAGGCGCTGCGTCTTGAGCTCCATCAGGTCGCCGCTTGTGTTCTCACGGCCCTGCATCTCCGAGAAGACGACGCCTGCATCCTCGCCTTTGCCGTTGATGTGGTACACCTCGGTCACGAAGCCAGCGTCGGTCAGCGTGGGGAAAAAGACATGGTCGAGGTAGACGGGAAGCATGCGTAGGAACCCATCGGAGCCAGCCGTTGTCAACGTGTAGCCTGAGGTGCATGATTTGAGTTCAGCTGGTTGACTTGTGGACAGTTGGATACTCTTTCATCATGACTTACAAGTCTCAGTCCCTGATGTCCAAGCATTTGTCCCTTGCGCAAAAGCTCGATTCGCCAGGCTGTCGAGTACGCCTTTGTAGGGATATTGTTCACTACCGAGAAATACCAAGTGTTCAAGCGTGTGTGGGACCTTTGGAAAATAACACATGGTGTCAGTGTTGGAAGTTTGTACCGCTGAAAATCTCCCCGCCTTTACTCACACCACTGTCATTAAAGATCTCGGACGCCACTGTGATATAGCTGTTGAGCAGTGGACCTATTTCACAAATGTGAAGTGAGACGGTTGGGATGAGCATTTTTTCCATTGCGCTGAAAGTAGTCGATCTCGAAAGATCCATTACACCTACTTTCAAAATTGGCCCAAATGACGGTTAAGCCGGTGACCCGCGAGACCCACTTCTCAACGCTCATGTTTGGTGCATAGTCTAGCATCACTCTCCTGATGAGATCGAAGTTGCCTTGCGTCTCAGCGGCACTTGGCCCATCTTGAGCAGCATTCTGCTGCACTTGTGCTTGTGTCATGCCCGCTTCTTCCGTGGCGAATGTACAGAGTTTCTGTGAACGCAAGCTGCGTATTCGCATGTGAGAAGGCGAAGAGAAGAATACCGAAGGCCGTTTACCAGCAACCGCAGCCTTGGTGTGCGTGTGACGGGTGACAAACGTGTACGAGGGTGGCTTCCTGCAGATGGTCAAACGAAGGGATGTCGACAAGAAGGTCGGCATGTACCACGAGGGTCGTGCTTGGCTTAGGTTCGCTGGTTCACTGCGTCCGATGGTACTTCTCCGGTTTTAACACTTTTCAAGTGCGAAACCACCCAACAGCCTATCAGTGCCCAATCGTCTTGAGTCGTTCTATGATATACGTTTCCCCCGATTAGAATAACAGCATGGAGAAGCACGCCTTGGTTTGGCTACGCTCCCACACGGTCTGATGTGAGAAGAGATGGTGATGCTGACACCGATGACTGCGACGTGTGACTCCGATACATAGGGCAAGTCTGGATACTCTCAGAAATTTTAGGGTTCCCTTTAAAGTGCAGAGAGTTAAGCATTTTGCGGGAACCCTACCTCAAGCCTGGATCACATGATCCCGTGATCGTTCAGATTCCTGGAACAACATTGGGAAACCGACCTTGCATCAGTCCCCAATCCCGATCGTTGAGATCATTCATAGCCCATGTTGGGCCGCCGATGTACCCTAAACTCGCACCTGGAATTCCCGGCTCGCCGCACGAAGCTTGCAATGTAAGGCGCGCCGCCGAAGAGTTGACAAGAGCAAGCTGCAAAGTCCTGAGATGTCCATTTCTCCAGGGTCCAGGGTCCAGGGTTCAAATGCAGAACACCACAACAAAAGAAGACAGTGCCAAAAGCGAGGGAGCAGATGAGGGAACAGGGCTATGTGAAGAAACTGGGAATGACTGGGATCTCGCAGCCCTGGAGCCTCAAGCAACCTATTGGAGGCAGGATGATGAGTACCGAGTAGGGATGAGCAAGTGGCTTTGGGGGAGGGAAAGCTAGATCAGCCTGGCTCTGGGCATGAGGGCTGGGGGGGAAGACAGCAGGCAGCAAAGCAAGGTCTTTTTGGTCCCAGGTGGAATGCATGCGGCTTGTGCAGTGCCGCTTCATAGTCACTCCGACTGGGTGCGCATAGGCCATGCCCCACTCTTCCCGAAGGTCTGGGTCTCAGTCCAGACGCTAGGCTCGAGTGGGTAGGGAGGGCAATTAGACAGTGTGGCCCGGGCATACCCAACCATGCCGGCACTGCGCCACTTTGCATTATGCGTGATCTTTAACAGTCTGAAGCAGGGTGTCACCGTGGTCGCATGACGCCAGTCTCCTTTCGCCCCCCCTTTTGGGACTTCGGGAATCTGGGCATCAGACAGAGATAGTCGGCCTTAGTGCACTGGTGCCTGTGCAGCTTCCCATTGGTTGTTATGACAGGTTACACCTGCTCCAGAAATGTCTCACGTCTGGTTCGTTTTGGTTATGTCATCCGCTTTGCGACATCGAACGGGTTTCCTGCCGGTAATAGCATCGCAGCATCCATCTTCCAGCGGTAAGACAATCATGTGGCAGGGCGAGACGGGCAGCGCCTGGCGAGAGCGAACGAGCTACCGAGAGTCTGCGCAAGAGTTGATGCGTGAAGAGAAGCTGTCGGAGCGGTGCAAGCCTATTCGTTGCCTATCCCCCCAGCTGGCTGGCCATCCCGGAAACCGACTCATCTCCTAGCTCTTTTCAACATTGAACACTTCCTCCAGTAGGAGAAAGGGTTATGCTGCCATCTAATCTTTAGGCGCGTCATATCAATGCATTATCGTCGAGTACATGCAGAAGAACTCTTACCTTTGATCACGTCAGTGTCATTGGGTCTGGCTATCGACTGCACATCCTACGAGTGTCTGGTGGGCTCCGTCCGGCATCGGAACTCGCGGTTGACTCGACACAACTTTCCAGGCGATCAGCGCCTCCCCGCGGTAGGCTGTAGCACGACACGCAGAGTCGCTCGCTCCTATGGTCTGCAACGTCCCACCCCTCTTGGTCAGCCTTGACAGAGTCGGGCTTACGACAAGCGGAGTGCACGAAAAGATGGCGCCCAAGAACACGAGCTCGACCGATTACCCTGCGTTCCAGCTCGCCTCGACAGCCGAGGCGACCAAGTCACATTCAGACCACGCCTTACGTCTTCAGCGTCTCCTGCGGCCCAACCCCGACGTCAACCAGCCAGGCAAGCGACCCTGTGACCGATGCCGCTCGTTCAAGGTCAAATGCAGTCGCACTGTACCTTGTACACGCTGCACCAAGGCAAAGCAACCCTGCACGCATGACATCCCCGTCATGAAGGCGGGCCGCATCACGCTTCAAGAGATGGCCGCGTTCAGCCACATGGGCATCCCTTATGTCACATTCCGGCAGCGCCTCCGCGTCAACAGTGCTAAGGCGAAGGGTGTCGAGGGGGAGAGCGGTGGTGGGTCGCTGGCGAGCGCGCAGGCGGGCGCCTCCTTCAGCTCCGAAAGACATCGGGTTGGTCGCAGCAGTAGCGTCTCCAGTAGTTGCAGCGCAAGCAGTTCGCACACGTACGCTAGCAGAGGAGAAACAGCAGCAGGCCTTGTAGTAGCCGACGGTGACACCGAAGCAGGTCCTGGGACCAGCGCTGCAACAGCGCTGAGGCGAGCTGCACTGGTGGCTGCGGCATCCTCCTCCTATTCGGCTCTTTCGGACTGTAGCTTCGATTCCGAGATGTCCAGCACTTCATCCGTCCTCTCAGCAGCCAGCACGACGATTGCAAAGGCAGCCTGCATGGGGACACAGCCCAATACCGCAAACCCCGGTTTCACCCGCCTCCATTTTGCTGGCGCTAGCAGCCCGTCCAAGCACCCGAATGCTGCACTCGGTAGCGGTAGTCAGCACCCTTCCCACCATTTAGCACCTCATGCAGGCGACCACCAGGCATTGGCGGCGATACATGCCATCACACCCGGCCCTGTGCCCGGAGCAGGCGGGGATGACAACTCACCCTCGACGGCCTCCGAGCCATTGATCGAGACGCCAAGTAAGAGCGTCCCCGATGATCCGCTCTCTTGGCTTGATGACTTGCACCTCGTTCCATCTTCTGGCCACAAGCACTTCTCGCACAGGTCACCACCGCAGCACGCCTCTGTGGCCGGGAACAGTTGGGCAGGACCTTCATCAGCAATCAAGGACAAACCCCTTCAAGCGCAGCACGCACACTCTTCCTCTCGCGATCCAGCGCTCGGTCCGAGCAGCGGCGTTGGTGGCGTCAGCAGCGCGGAAGCGCATGCGTACCCCTGGACACTCAATTACCGCGTGCCGGTCCTGGAGCGCAGCACGCAGGACGTCGCGCACCCGCTCGCACTGGCCGTCCCGCCGCTCTTCCGGCGCTACCCGTCGAAGGCGGATGGCTTGCGTGCGCTGCACCACATGCATGAGCAGCAGGGCAGCGCAGTCGGACATCTGGTCGATCCGGAGCCTTTGCGCCCGGCTATCACACGCCGTTCGCTTTCAAATCCAAGCCTCTCGAGGTGGGAGATAGCGTGCTGAGGATGAACCCTCGCAAAACGCATGTTTTACTCTTGGATCATCTTGGGTGCGTAGCAGGCTTGGTGCCCTTGTAAGCTGGCTATATGCTGACTCTTTGCCTTGATGACGTTGCAATTCAGTCTCATCCAGGCCGTCTCGATCGCAGAGTGCAGCCTTGATTTCAGGACGTTGTTTAACCAGCGGTGGCATACGCTCGGGCCCGGTGGCATAGCCCTCAGTCCTCCCTGGGAGACCTTGAGTCGGGAGAACGAGACGAGCTACACCATCTGGCCCGAAGTCTCGCTGCAGACTATACTTGCTGCGATGCAGCAGGCACCGGTGTGGGAGGCGATGACGGCGGCAACGGCAGTGCATCAGCCCGGAGGCCGTATGGCCAAGCAAGACGGGCCATCAAGTGCAGTAAATGGCGGCGTGGGCAGCAAAAGCAATGAGCCGAAAAGGCGACGGAGCAGTGCTACTTCTGGCGTCTCCGCGAGCGATGTATACGCTCAGGCCAGACTAGAGTGGCACGTGGACTCTTGCAAACAAGCACAGCGCTTGCTCTCCAACCCCGCCGCTGCTCACCTAATCGAGATCGAGTATTGCGAGAAGAGTCAGTTCGCTTTTTTCCAGGGTTCGATCATTAACACGTACCTTCAAGACGCTGTCGCAGGCTACCAGCAGCAGACGATTGCTGAGAGAGAGATGCGTGACACACCCGCAGAGAACCCCGTTCCCCGCAGCGGTAAGCGGCCCACATTAAGCGCCAACTCGGCCGGGCAGCTGCTGGCACGAGCAGAGACGCGCCATCGGCTGGCACTGCTACTTAGTCTGCTCGTTGCATGCGCACAGTACATCGGACCACTGGAGCTGCAAGTCGACTCGGTGTGTACGTCCCTCTCGACGTGGGAGTTTGCGTTTACGGCAATGAAGCTGGCCTGGCGCCTACTGCAACCCCGTTCGCCGGATGGGATCTACAGAGTGGAGGAAGTCAGCCTTGAGGTCCTCGTCGCGCTTACCCATCTCGTCGATGCGATCAGGACGCACCCACAGCATACGGACATGAGCCATGTTGTAAAGCGTCTCATCGCACATCCTGCGACATATGATAAGATCATGTCCGACACCGAAGGCCATCCCCAGCGTCGAGAAACATGGAAGCGACTACTAGGGTGAGCATATGGGCCTGTTGCCGTGTGTATGTGTGCAAAACAAGAGTGTGGTAGCTAACATCTTATTTGCGCGCTATGGGCAGGTTTCACTTGCGTGAGGTCGTTGCTTACCGACTCTGGCAGCGAAGGCAATTGGGCCTGCGATTCGGCCCCATGCTGCGTCCACTGGGCAATTTGGTCACGCTCCCTGGTGAACTGGTGGACGAGAATTTAGGAGGGGGGCTTTTCCGGCAGCGCGCACGCTATGAGATCGCAGCGATTGAGCTCGACCTGCTCAACGAAGAGCTACTTGACTCGTCCTTGTTGGAGCCGTTGCCGGGTCCGGAGCATGTCGAGGCTCGAAGGAGGCTGGCGATGCGGAGAGAACACGATGGGCAGATGTTCTACGAGCGCTTACTGCTCTTGCAACAACAGACCTTATGTGTCGATGCCGACATTCCGCCCATGCCGCCTGGAGGCTACAGCACGGCGTACTTAGACCCGCTCTTTTATCAGCGGCACTGCTCCGAGAAAGCACTTTCGGCGTTTGCGCTGACATTGGATCTGATCGTCGCTGCTTTGAAGGTGGGTTTTGCCCGCAGAATGGTGAAGAATGCAGCGAAGTACGAGCAAGCTGTGCTGACATTCGATGTTGCTTGGGCTCGTTGCACTTGTGCGTCACAGGAGATCGACGCCGAAGGCCTGAGTCAGACTTTGGAGGACCATCTCTGCGGCATGCCCCCCAGCATTGATCTGAAAATTTCCCGCACGGGCGAGTGAGTAAAAGGAGGCATCTCCCACCACAGAGCCGGTGTTAGTATCTGACGGACACAGATGGCTGACCTTTGAACTTGCTGCCGTTGTCAGATGGCTCATGACGTCCGCCACCCATGTGGAGACGAACCGATATGGAGCCAACAGACGCCAGAACCGTAGGAAGGCCCCTAGTCCAGCCGCCATGGCCATGGTAACACATTGAGCCCAGTGCCACGCTTGCTTTTATTTAGCTCGTGTGCAAGTCGGCACCTTCCTCGTTTCCATCTCCTCTTGCGACAGGCTTTCCATTGCTTAATCTTTGTACTTGGTGCCGTTGCCTTGCACTCGTGTTGTATCAATCACAGTCAATCTGGAAAATTCGGCCCGAAAGCCTTGCGCCGCGCCTTTTTGAGTTCTGACTTCATCTTTGACCTAGTGCCGACAATATAAACTCACGTGCGTCGATTCATCCGCCCAAGCTTGCCACACGTGCATGAGCGCTGGAGATCTAAGGCCTGAGAGAAGAACACATGACGAAGGCAAGCAGATTTTTGATGCTCGTGCCCCTGTTCCAACTGGAGTTAGGACTTCTTCGGGCTCCAAAAAAGCGTGTACCGTGCTGAAGCCTCAAATGCAGCGCTGGTACTCGGGATAGCTCGCGGCAAGTGAGCTTGTAAACCCAGTTTCTTGCAGAAGAGTGAGCTCGATAATGTGTGAATGTATCTAAAAGGGAGCAGGCAGTTAATCCCCATGTGCGGCACGGTCTAAAGTACCCATCATTCCGCACTCTCCACGAGATGACGCCCGCACAGCTAGGGGTATCTAGCGGCCAGGCAGGTCGATCTTGGCTCTGAGACCCCTCGCTTTTCGAGCAGAGGGGAAGAAACTCAAGCCAAAAATGCCACGAAGCCCATCATTGCCCAATGCCATTGATGATGGATGCCAAGTGGTCGACTCGCTACGATGGAAAAGGGACATGTGATTCGACCATTCGACGATTCGAGGCTCTGCTCTGCTCTACGCGGCTGAACATGCCACCCCCCTCCCAAATCTTCGACCGAGGTACGCAAAGCAGCAGGGCATCCCTTCAACGATTCGATAAGTGAGGCTAGGCGTGTACGTTGCACAGGTGCAAGTGTATTTCCAAGTGTCACGACGACGGAAAGCAGCGGTGGCCGCGGGGCTTGGCGTTTGGCCCAATCTCCGGGGGCAAGGATACGATTCATTTCGAAGGGTAAACTCGACACTTTGGTCTAGAAGAGAGTGAGAGCACTGTGAATGCGATCTCTGTGAGTCGGGTCTAGGCCTTATACAACAAGCAGTCTTGGCCCACATTGATCTTCTTCGCGTATGCAGACGCTTCACCGCGTCTGCTACATGGAGCGAGGGCACACGAAGGTCCCTCTGCAGGAACAGCGAGGGTTCTAAGGAATTACCGAAATCTCTCTCTGCCCACGGAGGCTCCGAAACACCAGCGTGTCACGGAAATTTGTCGCCCCCTGGCAATCTCGGGACATGAGGCGTTTTTTGCCCAGTGCCAACGGCGCTAGCGATCCCAAAGCTGCCAAATGTTCATACTCTTGTCTCAGCTTAATCAAGAGCACCGACGCTGACCCCTGCAACAATCACGGCAAGGGGCTGGAAAGAAAGAAAGAAAGATAGTCAACACCAGCGCCACGAGCGCGGCTCACTTCCTCGGCGGCGGCGAGCGAGAGCCGAACATTTGATGCGGCCATATGATGGGAGCAGCGAGCAACGCCTGCGGCCATATGATGGGAGCAGCGAGCAACGCCTGCGGCCATATGATGGGAGCAGCGAGCAACGCCTGCGGCCATTGTTTGCATTCGGAATACGTAGCCACTGCTCATGCATCCGCGAGCTTTGGGGCAGCAGAGTCGCCCGGCCCACTGAAAGGCAGCCCGAGAGCCCAGCTGACCCGAAAGGACAGGCCGTACATTTCGACTGCGATCTTTTAACAGGTCCCTCACAAGCACTCCACCCACCCTCTCGCAAACTGACTCTGCGTGAGCACAGCGACCATACAGGAGGGATCTATAGCTGGAGCCGGGAGTGTGGCCCGCAACGAAAAGATCATTGGGAGAGGATTGGGCGCCTTGCTTGCTCGTCGTGCACGAATGATAGCTGTGGCGCTCTATGCAGCACTGAACATCGTCCGTAAGGCCAGCAGGGCGCACCTCGAATAGGGTGGCCGCCGAGCGAACGGATGGAGCACTTGCGGACTGTGGTCAGCTCCCAGCGCCTAGTGGCCAGTGTGTTTAAGTGCCACCCCTCCCACCCCGCCTTGAAGGTCGCCAAAGCACCGCATGCGCTTGGCGGGGAAAACAGGCTTCGAACATATTATTTTCAACACCATTCCGGCTATCCCGGTTATTTTGTTTCACCCAACCCAACTTGGGTTGAAAACTCTCTACATACTGCCTACTGTCTGCTCTCTTCACCTGTGAATTGTCAAATTTGTAATAACCCGCTGGCGGGGCAAATTCAGCTTTATTCGCCGAAGGGTTGGGTAAATCCAGCATCTGTCAAGCATTCGTTCCTCGAATACTGCGCGTGACGCCAAACGGAAATTTAACCGCGATCGCTGCTTTAGAGACAGGGAGCATGACAGGGCGGGCGCAATTTCGGTACAAGAGATCGAAACGCAATCGCTGCTTTGGACCCAGGGAACATGACACGGCAGGCGCAAAGTCAATGCAAGAAAATGCTTCAAAGGCATCTTGTATGACGCCAACACAGGAGTATCAGTGCGGCAGGCGACATACTGAAGGACAATATCAGCGTGCAAGACGCAAGACCGCCGCCTCCATCGGCATCAAGGCTATGCCATCGTTCACGTGGCTCATCGGTGCAGGTCGGTGCTCTCGGAATAACTTCTGGGTGGAAACGAATAGTTTGTCCTCAACTTTCCCTTGGCGAAGTAAGTGACATTTGGCTAGCTATTGTGTCATCCAGACTCGCTGTCAAGAGATAATGGACCTGCGCCTCATCAATCACGACACATCGGACAACTCGCGACGATCGGTGTTTTGACAAATTTTGACCCATGCCCACTTCGACTGCTCGTCGTCACCACGTCACAGATTCTCAGTCATTCGTTTCGCTGTCATTAGTCACTAGTCACCGTGACAGAAACCGCGCCGCTCTGTCATCAGTCAATGATTCAGAGTCCTGGTTCATTTTGCCATGGCTCGTGGAACAATACTGAAGCGAGCAACGCTTTGCTCTGATGCCACCGTTGGGCTTTACGCCTGTCTGACTGACGGCACGGTCCGTCCAAGAAACCATCCAACACGGTTTCCCTAAGTGCTGCAGCCATGCCCAAGTTTCATCTTTCTCGCTGCTTTCGCGACAGCCTTGCGCTGTAGCGTCAACGTGCCGAGATACAATTGCGGCATGCGCAGGGTGACCGTAGGGGTCGCACCTGACGCTTAACGAGCCGCAAGTTTCAGACTTCCGTAGCCGATTGATTGCAACAGGCCGTATAAAACAGGGCATGAGGATTACAAGCTGAATGGTGATGCAACCGCCTCCTCCCTAACCTCCTCTTTCTCGCGAATAACCCCTCTGACGACTTCCCTCCAAAATGCGTTTCACACTCTCCTTTGCGCTGGCTTCAGCCGGGCTCCTTTCCACCGCAGGCACTGCTCTCGCCGCACCGGTCACCCTAGCGTACGTCGGCGCGCCACCCGACCGTCGCTACGTTGGCGCTCCTCCTGACAGCGTTGGAGCAACCTACGTCGGCGCGCCGCCCGACCGTCGCTACGTTGGCGCTCCTCCTGACAGCGTTGGAGCAACCTACGTCGGCGCGCCACCCGACCGTCGCTACGTTGGCGCTCCTCCTGA